CATCATCCTATACATGTATATGTATACAGTTTGAATACTTCATATTACTAAAAGAAAAGAAAAAAAAGGCTTATCATGTAGGATAACTTACTAATTTTGACACAATAGGATACCCAGAAGCTATTCTACCAGAATGCATGATTATTTCAAGTATAATAAAATACCAAAATAGAGGCTATTATTGTCATCATATTTATAACAAGCCATAAATTAGTCCTTCTCCTATTTCGTTGTTATTTAGATAAACGACAGGACTTACATAATAAGCTGCAGTAGTGACTTGTTCTTGAACAAATAATTGCTTTAATCCGCCATCATATTTATTGATAATTTGGTAAACTGCTATAATACCTAACCAGACCATAGAGACAAGATGTAATAAATCCCAGTATTTATCATCATCATGTTGTTTATGAATGATGTCTCTTTCTTTTACAGACTCTTCCATCATAATTAATCCTGCTTTATTAAGATTATATTTATTTTTTTTTGCTGCCAACTATGATGAAGACTGAAGTATTTTACCATTTTCATCATGCTCTTGTGTTAGAAAACGATGATCAACTAGTAGATTCTCTTCATATTTTCTACGACGAGGATCTATTGCTGAAGGATAATGTTCAGCTATTGAGTTTTTTGTTATTGGTGATTCTCCTCCTCTCATGGCTATAATAGTTATAATTATTATTCCGTTACAACACAACATCATCATCATCATCATGTTGAATTAATCACCTGCTTGACTATTTGTAATTTTCTTTAGTCTACTTTCAGCTGAAGCTAATATCTTTTGTTGTCTTCTGGCTCGACGTTTTTCAATCCTTACTTGTTCAGCAATATCTCCCATTATACTATACTAACACACAAAAAGGAAATGAAAAAAGGTAGAAAAAAAAAAGAAGAAGAAGAAAAAGAAAGAATATATTTATATAGTAATAGTAGTAGTAATAGTAATAATAATAATCTTCATTATCAGCGGGGATCATTCTTATGATACTCGTTCTGATATATTACTGCAGCGGCGACAGGCGGAGATTGTTGTTGATTGATAGATCAGATACTACTACATAAGCACTCAAGTGAAATGAAAAGAGCAATGATATTAAATGCTTAATAATGAGAACCCTTAACTCTATTTTGTATATTTATAGGCTTAAAAAGTTCAAAGAGAAACACATTTTTTTCTCCTTTTGTTTTCTTTTTGAAAAAGGAATTTTTGTCATTGAAATATGAATAGAAAAAAATAGGCTAAATGATAACAGATAAGCTTATCCATAATACATCTCAAAGAGTCTAGCAATAGCTTAAATAGGAATATCATTATTGTATTCTTCTTTTGATCTGCTGTTGCGCTTCTAATAAAAAAGTAAACAATAGCAGTCAAGTTGATACAGATAGTAATAACTATAAACAATACATATTTTTTTTTTAAATTAATTATTGGGCCCTGATCGGCAGGCTATTATCAAATGTAAGCTACTAAATTACCTGAAACACGTGTAAATGTAAAAAAAAAAAAAAAAAAAAAAGATAGACCGATAAATGATGATCTGCATTGAATACATTTATATATAATCATCCTTCGAAACCAGATATTTACTTGCTGTTTACTTTCCCTTCCAAGCCTTATAGTTGGAACAAACTTATTTTTTGAATTCCTCTAGTCAACTGTTACAATCCATACTATAATTTCCAACTGTACTCATCTTGACTTTGATGTGTGAAATAAAAAAGCAAGGGAAAAGAGAGAATTCCTGGGCCCAGAAGAAAGAAAAAAGCGAAAAATACATTTTATTTAATATACAAAATTTGAAATTTTATTTCTAATTATAAATGTTCTTGTAAAAATTAAAAACAACAATATTGGGAATCCAAAAAGTTTGAGTCTGATAGAAGCGAGCTATCCGTTATTGCTTTCGGCACAGAGGTATAGAGGGTAGAAATACTATTCATTTTAAAGGACTTTGAACTGAAGTAACAAACCCTTAATGACGAACTTTAAAATGTCGGCAGAAAAATGGCATTGATTATTTATTTTTATTTTTTTTTTCTTTGAGGAAGTCTATAGCTCATGTCATTAATGGGCCTTTATAAATGCATTTATAGGACTTCATAATATTCAAGCTTGCTCAAAATTGGTGAAATATTATGGCAAAGAGACATAAATGCATCTTCAATATCGCCCAGAAAGAATCAGATTGCTGTAGTCGTCCTTTTGTTTTCTGCTGAGAAAAGTAATTTTCATTTCTTATATAAATCGCCGTATCGAACACGGTTTCCTTTCTCTTTTGGGAAGAAGAATTTAGGTTTTTACTGGTAACACATCATCTAATTTAAATATTATTCTAATAAATCTAATTTCCGATGCTACCACATATTTTAGGGAAAAAAAAAAATTACAACAACTGTTCACTTTTTTTCTTCTTCTTTAAGAGTTTAATAAACAAGTCTCAAAAAAGCACTTCTTTTATCCTTCTTATGTTATCATTTTATCCAATACACCTTAAACTATCACAAGGATCTCTACTTAGTAACATGATCGTTGAACCCACGATTCATCATCCTTCAAGTCATGTCGTTTTAAAAGGGTAATATAAATAACGTTTTTATACATGTCTATATTATAACATATTCTATATAAATATAGAAGTTCATCCGACTTCCCTTATAGAAGAGGTAATAGCTATGGACGTATTCCGGATATTTCGCTTTGCGTCAAAGCAAACAATTTACCACTGGAGATCATCTTTCTTTTCGAGATGAATTTTGTATATTTCATGAAAGAGTCTAAAATACTCCATCCTGACTCTTTTAAGCTCGTAAATGAAATAAAAGATGAACTATGGGGTAGAGCAGCCGTTTAAACTATAATTTGATATTATTTGTGAAAAAATGCACAATAGAGAGTAGTAGAAGGGAGGAAAAAAAAAAAACAATGTACCCACTTTTTCTTTTTTAATGTCATGTTTTATAAATTACATTTTCAGAAATATGAAGGATTGAATATATTAATCAAGACGTTCCTACTTGAAATTAACTACAAAGTTAATATTTTGTAAGCTTGAACAAACATGAATACAATGTATGTTGTATTAACAATCGATTAAAATAAGCTCAAGTAGAAACATTAAACAAAGAAAAAAAAAAATAATGTTGCATTTTAACTTGTTGTTTATTTACATTATTTCATCATCATCATCATCATCATCATCTTCATGTGAACTCGTTAATGGTGTATTTGATTGAGATCCATTAAAAGACTCAAATATCAGTGAGTTCTGTGTGCTATCATTCGTTTCGTCATGACTGGAATCAACAAATTGAGCCATAAATTTACGTCTTCTATTTTGTTCCTTGATATAGTCTTTATCTTCCATGGTATGCAATGAGCCATCATCTGGTATACTAACTCTACGACGTGAAATAAACAAAAGTTCATCACCACTACTACTATAGTCATTCTTATTATTGCCATCAAAAATAGAAGATTTATCCTTCGATAACCTTTTCTTTGATTTACGACTATTATTAAATGATTTCCGTGCCTTTTCAATAGCAGATTCAATACGCAGTCTATTTGAAATGATCGAGATCTTTGGCCAAGTACGAATTTGCCCAATTTGCATTAATTTACGAAGTCTATCTTCACTTGGATCTGCAATGATATAAAACCAATCTGATAAAGTCGATTTAGGCTAAATAATAAAGAGAGTAGTATAAAATGAGGAAGAAAGTTAACTAGAATACTTGGGATATAGAATACTTACCAATATTGTTACATTACCATCAAACTTTTGCAACCATAAGGAACTCCAATCTTGATCACGTACCTTTGGTAAAAGTTTAAGGGATTTAAGGACCTTTAACCATTTTGATAAATCTAATTTAAGTGTTTGCTCAATGGTTGAAGCCAAGAAGCCTCCACGCCAACCATGACCTTGAAGATGAGTGACAGGTCTACCAGGACTACCTTGATTAGCATAAAAAAATAAATGTACATGAGGATTGACTTGACTAACGATAGTATAATTGACATTAAATTGTGTGTTTAATGCGTGTGTAGGGATATCAGTGGATAAACTTCCATCCTTAAATTTATGTCCATAGTTGTAAGGCACGAGATGGTCAGATCCTTGCTTCTTTTGCATTAAAACAACTGGATTCAAGATCTATTATAATAGTACAATTAGATAAACACATACATACATACATCCATTCATTCATTCATTCTATATCACTTACACCAGGAATAGCAGAAGAAGCAAGTATAGCACTCCAAATGACACAATCAGGAGCAGTTATATAATTCAATAGCTTGGGAGGTGAATGAGGATCATAAGGAATAACGGAAATATTAAAAATTCGACCTGTCTTTTCATAAGCTTCTTTAAATGTAACTGAACCCTTACAAAACCACATTGCTTCACGACACCACTGAGCAGAATCAAATAAAGCACCTGTAGTTACAAATCGTGTCAGTTTAGTTTTCCAACTTTCATGACAGATATGAATTCTATTTGCTAACTCTGGTGTTAAAATCGAATTTAATTCTTCATCTGTACGTGTGCAGACAATAGCTCCCATTAAGGAACCTGCAGAAGTTCCAGTAATGATGGATGGTAATAAGCCACGATCTACTAATGCTCGGATCACTCCTAAATGATAGTAACCAAATCCTGCTCCACCTGATAAACAGAATGCAGTACGACCATAATTCTTTGAATACAATTTAAATGCAAGGCGTTTTTCTTCATTTGTAATATATTTATTATTTTGAAGAAATTCAATAGAACGTGTGACTGTGACATGATATGTTGATTAATACTGTTATATGTAATACACAGATATAAAAAGTTCATTTTACCTTCTTCAATGTATTCTTCTATTAAAGATTTTGTACCCAAATAAGAATTACTATATAATTGAACGTTTTCAATTCCAGCGAAATTTTGCTTCAAACAAACGTATAATACATCCATTAATTTGGTAGCATCTTCTGGCGTATCTCCCTTTCTATACATCTTTAAATGCTTGACTACTTTTTGCAATAGACGATAATCATAATAGGCGTAAGGAATTGTATTTTTCCATTCATCTTTATGCATATATTTATCTAACGCATCTGCTGATTCACACCATTCTTTGTATGTCTTTGATGCGCGCAATTTATTGCGAAGGGTTCGTTTTTTACCTCTCCTAAGAGAAATAGAGAGAATGATAATTTTAGACTCTGTGTCTATTTATTGTGTATGTAAATTATTTTTACCAACTGAATAAGTTTTCCCAAATACAAACAACTTGACGTAATAAAATATAAGCAAACAGCTCAAAAAATAAAATCAAGCCAATAATAAACTTAAAATAATCATTTTAATACTGCTACAAATCAACAAGTTTTGCATGCAATATATCAAACTTACAATGAATGGATAGCGTAAAAACAAATAAGAAATACCTTTTGGTTTTGCAGCTTCTTGTTCCTTTAATTTACGTTTAGATGTTCTTTTTGAGACGGGTAATGCATCCGTCCAAGCTGAGATATATTCGTGGATAGGATCATAACTGAGCGCTTTGATAAAATCAGCTACATGAGTTTCATTGACATATTCTTGATATAAATCATTATTTTGTTGACCATCCAAAGACCTTGTACCTGAATCGTCTGCTGTATTTATAATTTTATTTGTTGTCTTTTTAATTGCTTTATCTGAATTCTTGATCATATTGAAAAAAAGTAGAAAAATAAATAAAGCATGATGTTTTTATTACCGTAATAATAGAAAAAAAAAAAAAAACACAGCTAGTAGACATTCAATTTAAACACCTTTCATTGGACTGCTTATGATGTAATCAAATGATTGGTTTAGCGCTGACCCAAGCTTTGGGTTTTCTTTTTTCTTTTTTCTTTCCTTTTTTTTTTCATATGATGGTTCATCTGAAATATTACTATTGAAAAAAAAAAAAAAAAAATAATTTGTTCATTTTATTATTAGTAAGCCATTTACTACTATTCTCTTTTAAATAGTCTAAAATTAAATCTTCTGAAGAAAGTATTTTTACTGTCTTCTGTGAAGTTAAGATGGAAAGTATCTCGAAAATATTTATTATTATGTAATAATAATAGGAGCCATAGAACATTCTACAGTTAGCTCATCCACGATTGAGCAAAATTTATGTATTTGTTATTGCTCCTGCTTAAATTAAATCCCTTACATAAGAATAGTAATAATATTAATAATGCGTTAGTGCATAGATTAAAGTAACGGCTAAAGAGTTGTAAAAAAAAAAAAAAAAAAAAAAAAAAAAACTGATAGATTACACAAAGCTACCGTTACTATGGCAACCTCAAACATGATAATAGAAATAATATGAATACATTATTTAAATACAGAAAATTTGCTACTACCCCTTATTATGTACTTGTTTCAGATCATTTTTATTATGATTTAAAATCCAAAACCAGCTGTTTCTACTACTACAGCATTTTCATATTTAATTAAATATTATATTGGAAGCATGTAAACAAAATCATGGTTAGGTTGTACAAGCATGAAAAGGGAAACATTCCAAAAAAGAAAAAAAAAACGCGTAAAAAAATTTTTTTTTATGTTTATACTTACAAATATAAAAAAACGCGACTTCACTTTTTTTATTATTATTCCAGTCACATAAAAAAAAAACAAAAACAAAAAAAAAGGCTATAAAAGAAAAAAAGTGGGGTCAAACCATCTTTCAACTTTCCTTTTTTTTATATATATATATAATATACACATATTTAATATACACATATTTATATACATATAAACATATTCATATTTATTCAAACACAACATGTCGCCTATTATTGAACCTACCAATGAATTATCCAAGTTGTCTTTAAATGAAACCCAAGTAAACAAAAAATTAAATGAATCTTTAGAAGAAGAGGTTGAGGAGATTCTCAAGGAAAATACAAGACGCTTTTGTTTATTCCCAATTAAATACCATGAGGTAAATAATAAAAAAAATAAAATAAAAATATGAATATTTGTATATAGAATTAAAAAAATATACATACATAAATAGATTTGGCAATTTTATAAGAAAGCAGAAGCCTCTTTTTGGACTGCTGAAGAAATTGATTTATCTAAAGACCAAGTTGATTGGGAAATCAAGATGAACGATAACGAAAGATTTTTTATTTCCCGTGTCCTGGCCTTCTTTGCTAGTGCAGATGGTGTTGTAAATGAAAACTTGGTTCAAAACTTTTGTGATGAAGTTAAAATTCCTGAAGCTAAATGCTTTTATGGGTTTCAAATTGCTATTGAAAATATTCATGCTGAGACATATAGTCTTTTGATTGATACTTATATTAAGGATTCACAAGAGAAGGAGATGCTTTTTGATGCTATCGAGACAATTCCTTGTATTAAGAAAAAGGCGGACTGGGCTTTCACATGGATTTCATCGAATACTTCATTTGCTGAACGATTAGTTGCCTTTGCTGCTGTTGAGGGTATCTTCTTTTCAGGTTCATTTGCCTCTATCTTTTGGCTCAAGAAACGTGGTTTAATGCCTGGTTTGACCTTTTCAAATGAACTCATTAGTCGTGATGAGGGTCTTCACACTGACTTTGCTTGTCTCTTATTCTCTCATCTCAAAAATACTCCCACTGCTACTCGTGTTACTGCCATCATTACGGAAGCTGTAAGCATTGAAAAAGAATTTTTAACCGATGCTTTACCTGTCAACTTGATAGGTATGAATGCATCTCTCATGTGTCAATACATTGAATTTGTCGCTGATAGACTCTTGGTCGCTCTTGGTTTTGACAAACTTTACAATGTAGCTAATCCATTTGACTTTATGGATATGATTTCACTTCAAGGAAAGACCAACTTCTTTGAAAAACGTGTTTCCGATTATCAACGTGCTGGTGTTATGAATAAGACTCCTGTTGAAAAAACTTTTACTTTGGATGCTGATTTCTAAAATTCTATTCTATTCTATTTTTTTTTCTTGAATATTGTTCAAGTAATTCTTTTTAATTGTATATATCCATTTCATAACGTACAAGCATTTATCCCCCCCCACTCACCCCTTCTCTTTTATGAAAAAATAAAATAAAATAAAATAAAATAAAATAAAATAAAATAAAATAAAATAAAATAAAATAAAATAAAATAAAATAAAATAAAATAAAATAAAATAAAATAAAATAAAATAAAATAAAATAAAATAAAATAAAATAAAATAAAATAAAATAAAATAAAATAAAATAAAATAAAATAAAATAAAATAAAATAAAAAACAAACAAACACATAACATTTAGTCAAAAAAAATATTTATATGTATTTATATTTATATAAAGTGTACATCATCATTATTAAGCGTTTTTACTCATTTCTTTTAAATATTCTTCATGAAGCTTCTTTTGCATATCATATTCCTTTTGAAGTTTCTTCTTTCTACTCTTTGTAACTTCTTCACCATCCTTAGTATGAGTAGGGAATCCATTTTCATCAAACTTGGAGAACTCTTCCGATTGTTTAAACATATCTTGTGGAGCTACTTTACCCTTTTCAAGTCTTTCAAGACGTTTACGTTCACGTTCTGCAGCAGCGGCAGCCTTTTTAGCCTCCTTTTCTGCAGCAATGGCTAGCTTTTTTTCACGTGCCTTGATAAGCTCCTCACGAGGAACGAGCTTTACAAGTGCAGTACCATCGTCTTGATCATCTAAAGAAACACCTAACTCAACCATTTGATCATCACGAAGGGCATCACACATTTTCAAGAATTGTGTATGCTCTACCTTATTACGAGCACCAAGTCGAACTTGATCTCTAAAGGAAGAAAGAGCTCGCAAGTAAGGCATCAATATTTCTTCAGTCTAAGTATAATAATAATAAAAAAAAAGAATTAGAGATTTTATGAAATAAATAATAATTATCAAGACATACATTTCCAGCTGTTTGACCAGTAACAGCACCAAAACCAATATCAGCACCGTTATCAGCAACACCGAATATCTTCAACATGGATGTAATCCATTTAGCAATTTTGCTTAATAAATGAGTATTAACACCCTTGGCACCACCAGTGTTCATATATTTGTTAGTAGCACTGACTAAATCCATAATCTCGTCCATTGCAACAGGTGTATTAATAGAATCACAAAGAGCAGCATGAACTGCATCTTGCTTCTTTTGTAACAAGGCTAACATTTCTTTTTCGGGTTCTCTAAAACGATGCGTGATAGCTCCATCAGCTAGCTCAGTAGCACCACGGGAACCATCATTTTGAATCTTGTAAAGAAGTGCCTTTGTATTATCAAAATAGTTTTTCAAAAACTGTTCCAACTGAATAGCTTCTTGCATACTTGATTTCTTAAAATCCATCTTTGCATCCCATTGATGTAATAAAAAGAAGATACGAAGCTGACGAGCAGAATAGGTTTTAAGAGCTTCATTAATTGTAATAAAATTCTTGAGACTCTTACTCATCTTTTGACCTTCGACATGAAGATGACCAGCATGCAAGAAATAGTTGATCCATTGCTTACAGTCAAAATAAGCTTCTGCTTGAGCTAACTCGTTATCATGATGAGGGAAAGCCAAGTCAATACCACCTGAGTGAATGTCAATGTTATCACCAAGGACAGCACTTGCCATAACAGAACATTCAATATGCCAACCAGGACGACCTTGAGACCAAGGGGAATCCCAAACAGGCTCTCCAGGCTTAGATGCCTTCCACAAGGCAAAATCATTAGGGCTCTTTTTACCTTTAAGAGTGGTACCTAAAGAACCTTCACCATCCTCAATCAAAGCAGTATCACCTTTAGACCAAGGTTCAAGTTTAGCATAATGATGACCATTATGTCCGTCATAACGAGATGTATCAAAATAAACAGATCCATCAGCAACATAACCATAACCGTTGTCTACAATTTTTTGAATGTAATCGACAATTTCAGGAATATATTCACTTACACGTGTTTGAACATCAGGAGCGCGAACATTCAAAGCTTCCATATCTTCAAAATATTTACTTTCCCAATAAGCAGGAAGATCACGGAAAATCTTTGGATCATTCACTTCTTGGCCTTTCTACATCCCGTAAAAAATAGATTAGATACAATACTTTTATATATGTATATATATATATATATTTTTTTTTTAAAAAAAAAGAAAATATTTAATATATACTTTACTCTAGCATCTAACCAAGCTGCTATAATATCTTGAGAGGAATTCAAAAGTTCTTCTGCCGCCTCCTTTGATTTATTACCTTTTTCTAAACTAATCTTTGCATTTTGAATAGCATTATAAGAAGTATTCTATATAAAACCAATAAATAATTAAACATTGTTCATTTTTCTAATATGTATGTATGTATGTATGTAAAAATTCTTACCAATGCAGTAAAATTCATTTTAAACTTTTCATCCAAAACAAGTACTTTAGCAACTTCTTCAGGTGTCATTTTCTTTACAAATTCAGGCCAAGTAGAAGTAGCCAAGGTAATTAATTCAGTATCCAACTTTTTTAATTTAGCATTCGCATATTCCAACCAAGCTTCCTCAGTCTGTTTAATCATCTGTTCGTCTAATTGATTGGTATCCTTTCTTAAATTTTCGAAAAGATATTGTTGACGTGCACGTAAAATGATTTTATCGTCAATATCTGTAATATTCTGAACAAATAAAACCTCATATTTGAAATAATCTTCAAGTACACGACGAATGATATCCATACTCAAATATGTCCTTGCATGGCCCATATGAGAAGCATCATAGACAGTAGGACCACAATTGTACCAAGTAACTTGTTTACCTTTTTTAGGAATAAACTCATTCTATATAATGTTAGACGTTGAAGAAAACTTATATAAATGTATCAATTGTACCTTAGTTTTGGTGAGTGAGTTTTGGAATTTTAAGACAGGAACCGACGGTGTTGAAGGTGCGATCCATGGAGGTTGTTGTTTCGATTTAACATTGGCTTCGGCAGACATTATGTTATGAAATAAACGAGGAATAAGATTTTTTCTATTAACGTTGAATCTTTTTGTTGAATTAAATGCTATAGAACGATGTATAATTGTTGCAAAAGGCACAAAGCGCATACAACAGGAATAATAATAATAATAAAAAAAAAATTTGTTGTTTTGCTGGATACAAAAAAACAAGCAGAAACATGTAAAATCATGTGTAACTTTTATGTATATATGGTTAGTGGCTTAGACAATCATGGTAAAGCCATCATGCAGACTAGAAGAGCCGCAGTTAATAAATTAGGAGGTACAGATAGAGAGGACTGTACAATAATGGTTGCAGTCATTTCACAAATTCTGTTGTATAAATAATACAAAAATTGAATAAAGCACATATAATGAACCATCATGAAGTAGCTTTTTTCTTTTCTTTTTTTTTATCACATATTTTGTATGCATTATATATTACTCATTATATTTACATACAGAATGTTTGTAGATTTAAAGAGAAAAAAAAAAGAAGCATAATACTTGAAAAACTTGAGTTTTTTTTTTTTTTGGCTTATTTATCTGTTCTTATGCTTGGCTGTAACGATTAACTAAGTTACTGTGTAAATGTGCATGTGACACAGGTTTTTTTTTTCTGTTGTATAATATTCTGAGATATGTCTTGTCATTTTTTTTTTCTTTTTCCGTATTTCTTTTTAGTTGAGTAAATAGTTCCTAAGAAGACACATAAAGCAGCTAACCTTTCTTCTTTAATATATCTTGTATATAGGTAAAAAAAAAATAAAATAAAAATAAATAAAATGTTATTACTTAAATAGACTATTAATATATTTTTATTTTAAAGTTAGTTCTTTCACTTCATTATTATGAATATTGCCCAACAAAATGATGTTACAACAGAAGCATCAATAAAACCCATGTTTGAATTATGTGGACTGCATGGCAGAATTACTCTGGATAATGTCTATTTCAATGGACTTCATGCTTTAAGGAGACTATGCATTCGTAACCTATCTGACCAATCAATACTTATAAAGATGCGCTCAAATTTACGAAATCAGATTGCTTTTCAATTGGAAAATGAAAATATAACTAATCTTCCTGATTCATGTTTTCAAAGCATCGTTACAACTAATACTGTGAGCTGGTCTCGTGAAGCTAAAGAATACCCATTTAACCAGTTATTTAATTATATCAATCATATTGATCAGTTAAACTTGGAGCCTGGACAAACACGCACATTTATATTAGCTTTCTTACCAGAGAGGCCTCGTATTGATGATGATTCTCGCCAAAACAGAAATGATGATTTTGATATTTCAGTTGTCGAAGATACAGAAACATTTGACATGTTCAATGTCACTGGTAGTTTATTCTTTTTTGGATATTATTCATCTAATAATAATCAAGAAGATAATAACTCATCAAAGGATGTATTATCTACTTCCAGTTTAGCAGATTATCAAGTTTCTGTAAAATTTAGAGCAAGTGTATGTCAATCTGCACTTTGGACAGAGGTTGCTGAAACAGGTCTTAATTTTGACGACTGTGTTCTCGGTGAAATTTATTACAAGGATTTTTCAATACAGAACAGATCTGAAATTGATCTTTATTGGTTTATGAACACAATTGATCTTTCAAAATCAGATTGGATTCAGTTTGTAAATGCAGAGACAGGTAAAGTCTTGAGCCAAGAGGATCCTATTTCAAGTTATTCAAATAAACAAATAAGAATGCTGTTTATGCCTAAAGAAGTAGGCGAGTTTAATTATGATTTGCAGATTGAAAATGCAAATGATGCTCGTAATGTATTGCAAATCAAGATACATGCTAATGTTCGATCCGTACTAAGAAAGGAGACACTCATCGTCAGTAGTGGCCACGTTGTTGATTTTGGTGATTGTATTTCTGGTACATGGGCTGTTCAACAAATTGTATTGAATAATGTAAGCGAATCTCCTGTTGAAATCCGATTTTTACCTGAAGGTGCTGAAGTTATTTTTGATATCAAACAAGATACCACAGTCGTAGCAGATACATTTTCTGAGCGTCCAGAGTCTAAAATGAGTTTAACCAGACGTAAAATTAGTAATCATAATGGTGGTCGTACAACTGGTTTTAATTCACCCACAACTCATACAGGTCTAAGTGAGATGTCAGGTCCAAACAGTGAACTAAGCTCAAGATCAACTTCGCCTACTCCAACCCGTATAACAGATCATACAGATGGACCCTTTTCACCTTTGATAGATTCACCAAATAGCTCTCGTTTTCAACTTTCATCCTATCCAACAATACTCGAAGGATATGATCCTAATACGGCAGGATTAGATTTAATGAGTGTTGATGGAAGCGTCTATACAGAATCTAGTTCAGTAATTGATAATCCAGTTGGGTCTTCTGTAGGTGCTCCTACTGCCCTTAATACAACCGAAAGTTATACTCGTATCGAGGATTTTATTTTAAAACCGGGTACAGAGCGTGTAATTCAAGTTTCCTATCGACCTCAAAAGGATGTATCCATCAATGATTTCAATGCTGGTCAATTAATTCGTAGAAATTTTAGAATTCTTCTTGAATATGGACCTTTCAGATCTGAAAAACCAAAAGAAAAAAAAGTGATTCAATGTAGAGCACGGACTTGTACTTCATTTGTAGAGGCAATTCCTAAAGTTATTAATTTTGGTGACACAGATGTTGGCACTCTTAAATCCTTACCAATTAATATCTTTAATCGTTCAGATATTTTGGCACGTGTAGAACTTCAATTCACTTCAAAAGTATTAAATTGCTTACGCGGTGAAATCACAATCCAACCACGAAGTTACGTGGAATTGAAATTAGATCTATATCCTCGTAAAGTTAATCCTGATTACCGAAAACAAATTACGCTTGTCAATTTTCTAAATAGAGATAATGATCAAATTATTGAAGTACATAGTACAAATATTGACAAAAACAGGGTTACTTTTCATTCTCTCTTTTATCGTATTCTTACTGCAACAGGTGCCAATTTCTTAGATTTTGGTTCTATCGCTCTTAATTCACCATCACTTCGCACTTTTACGGTAGAAAATATCAGGAATAAACCTTTACGATTAGAAATTACGACTTCTTTACCAGAAGATATTGCAATTTATACAAGAAGCAAAAAGAAAATAGATAAAAATAGTCATACTTCCATACTTCCAATAGGGACAAGCCAAGTAGCATCATCAGCTATATCAGCAGCCGTTGCAACCATATCTTCAACTTCTTCTACTAACAACATTATTTCTTCCACAACAAACAATACAGTTAGTGCAGATTCTATTGAAAAAGGAGATCTTATTACCGATATACCCACTATAAAACCTCCTTCAACACCAACATCTCTCACAGCTAGTAGCACCAAAAGACGATCTAATCTTCTTTTAGAGTCTATTAGTAATCGTCGTATTGTAAAGACACAGCCCTCTATGGAGTCCTCCAAAACATTATCTGAATCGGAAGCAGCCAATCTAAGACGAACAACTGACGCCAAAAATGAACTCATGGTCGTAAGACGATTTCGTAATTCAATGAAGCAACTAAAGTTAGAACAAGCACATTCTTCTACAGCATATTTAGATTTAGCATCACCGCCGTTGAATTTACTCAAAAATTATAGAAGAAAGATGGTTCAAATGGCTTCTGAAAATTATTTAGCACTTAAAAAGAATCAAGGACGTTTAATATCAGAAGAAAAGGATAAAAACATGGATGAGACTGATATAGTAAGTTCTAATACGAAAGATATAAAGCTATTTTATAACTTGTTTATTAATTAACATCATATAATAATACAACCTATATAGTCTAATAATGGTATTAATGCAGTTATATCTAATAAGGATATAGAGAGTGTAGCAACAAATCATAGACATCATCGTCATGCCTCAACCTTGACAAAGGCGAATGCAACATCAAATTCATCTCTTTCAAAAAGAAGGGTTGATCCAAATAGATTGGGTAACCATCATACCACAAATGACTATGATACTCGAAATGCAAAAGCCAAGAGATCCTTAGGTATTACAGCAGCAAGGTACAAATCAAGAAAAAATCTTGATTGGTCAGATATTGCAGGAAAATCGCGCGTACCTTTTGAGGATTTGATCTCAGTACTTGAACATGGTTCTAAAGCTGCACCACCATTATTTCCAAAACAAACTGCAGAAGAAAAATTTGTACGGTATCAAATAGCATGGCGTCGTGAACTGGACCGACTTGTAGAAAAAGGTGTTCTTGTCCGTACATCTATTGTTGATGTTGACCCTAAAGGCGAAGAAGAAGTGGTGGTTGTGATTACTCCCTCTGGTGCAAATAAGCCTCATATACAGTCTGCACCTAAAAAACAGGATGCTCGTATCTTTTTAAAACTATTAGAGTTTGATCGTGATATAGAGCAGACCGAGTTTGAGAGCCTACTCGATTTAGGTCAATCAGAAATTCCAGTCCGTGAAGTTATTTTACGATCGCAGCTCGTACGTTCTGTTATGGATCTCGGACAAAAAAACATTAATTTTGGCCTTGTGGAGCGTAATGAACGACATACGAAAACAATTGTCTTACATAACCGTAGTGAAACACCATTATTATATGCTATTCATAAATCAGGCTCTATTGCCTCCGGTGATATTGATTTAGATGTGGGTCGTTATGGTGTCGTTCGTTCCTACGGTAAACGTGAAGTTGAGTTCGTGTTTGAACCGACTTTATCAGGCCCGTTTATGGAAAAACTGATTATTGAAAACATTCGTGATCGAACTAATGATCAAGTCCTACTTTTGAAAGCACAAGTACGTAAACCATCTACGTTCTTGATAAAGTCACTCGAAATGTACTTTGGACGATGTCTATTGGATCAGCCTTGTCAAAAGGTTGAGACAATTGTCTTGACAAATACCAACAAGCAGTCACGTATGTTTGAAATCCGTGTAGACCCTAATGAAGTCTCCTTTGGCCGTTACTATGGTGAATTTGAGTTTGATGTAAAAGAAGACGAAACAAATACATTATCCAAGGAAGCAGAAGAGGAAATTGAAAACCTTGAACAGAAATTGAAGATTGCACGACGTAAAGCACAACCTGATAAAGTTAAAAAGTATTTACGCAAACTTGCAAAACTTAAAAATCTGGATTATGACAAGAATGGAGAAGAAGATGTTATTATTGAAAATGATAAAGGGTCGACACCAACAGAGCCTACATCTTCGAGTACAAGTGCTTCTAATGGACTTGTTGCTCCCGTCAATAATGTGGTATTTAAAAAAACAGCTGAAAGCGTTGTCTTCCCTTTGGATGCTCATGCTACAAAGACAGTAAATGTGATATTTAAACCGCTTTTAAGACCCTTTCAAACTGAAGATATTACTGATGAAAACTCACAATCTAGCCCTATTCCAGTGAAAGGTCGTATTTTAGTACATGAATATAAAAATACAGATGTTTGCAAGAGTATTATCTACACAGCTGAGGTTTATACAGATGAATCTGCTTATATTGATGCCTTAGCTATTGAAAATGAGGGAGAGAATACTGGTGCAGCTTCTACTAGAGCAGATGCTGCTGCCTCTAGCACTTCTATGGCTTCTCCTCATACAAAGCTTACTACAAATACCAACACTTTAATTAATTCTACCATCACGGGCGCTAATGTTGCTACAGTTGTTGCTTCTGTTCCTTCCCCCACAGAAGAAGTTAAAGAGGAGGAAGTTGAAGAAGAAGCGATTAAGTTAGAAAAAGATTTCTTTGATGGTGGCCGTGTAGAATTAAACCAAAAGGTTGTCTTTTATGTTAGAATGACAAATGAATCCAAACAAACAATTAGTTTTGATATGGTCTCTGAAAAGAATCCTTCAGTATTCGATTTTAATGTTGATAGCGAGGCTAAGGAATTGTTACCTGGAGAGACTAAGAAAATTCGATTTGGTATTCAACCTACACAAGTGGGTAAACAACAATTCATGTTCTCAATTATCAATCAGCGTACCAATTCTGTACAGCCATATACAATTCAATGTCTAGTTCATCGCAACACATATTTGAATTTCCCATCTTTAGCAGACGAAGCAAATGGTATCCTTGATTTAGGATTCTCATACGTTGATCCAGGAAGTAAATATTCGCAAGTTACTCCTTTATTGGTTGAGAACACATCTGGTCAAGATATCTTTATTACCTGTCAAAGCAATTTATCTCATCAAGTATTGGTTTTTATGGATGAAACCGGTGAGCGAGGTCTCGTAGATATGATGCCACTGAAACGAAATGGAATAGCTACTATTTGGGTAGCTGTTCAACCTAATCTACTTACAGGTTACCTTGGTAGTTTTGGAGATGAATGTCGTGAACTTGTGGGTGGTCTTAAGTTTTCAATCTATGATAAAGATGATTTAACACAGGATAAAGAAATGCTATTAATGCATTCTCAAACAGTTAAATTTACCTCTATCATTGGCCAGTCTCATCTTGAGGTATCTACTCGTCTTATTAACCTTGGTTATACGGATCAATTACAGAAAGAATTCTATGGTGCGTTTATTATCAAAAATAAATCTGGTGAATTACCTTTAGATTATGAAGTAGAATGTGCTACGGCTAATATCGAACTTGACCGTCGTGGAGGTACACTGCATGGCTGGCGTGGGGGTAAACTTCGAAGAGATACTGATATGGATTATTTAAATGCCGAGAACGATAAAGGACGAAGACATAGTAGCAGCAGCGGCAGTTATAATGATGCTAATTCTGTTGCTCGTCGTAGTTCATATGATGAAGCTGCTTGTGCTGTCTCAGCTTCGCTAACACAAATTACTTTTCGTATCACAGCATATCGATATGGTCTTTTGAATGAAAAACTTATTGTAACTAATAAGAGGAATAGCCAAGAGGTATTCATTATTGATGTACGACTCTTTGTTGATTGTAAGAAACTGGATGCATGGGCTTTACCTTCTAAAGAAATTCTTCGTAGTTTCATTCCTAATCATTATCATGACCAAACAGAGCATCGTGAAGCAGATCCTTTACCAATGGTTAAATGGGAAAGTATCTATATATCCCCTGTTTCTCAACATGACAACGATGAAGAGACAGTTTTGCAATTGATGGAATTACCTGAAAGGGATGCCATACGTCATTATGTACGTGAACTTGATGTCGCCAACACATCTGGACAGCCAATGCAGCTTGTTGTGATGAGCGATATTGATATTACAGCTGGATTTGTGGTAGATGAAGATAAAATTAAGGCGGCAAGTGTGGAGCATAAAGAAGGATTATTTATACAACGCAGTGGTCAAATTTCGTTACAGCCTGGACAACGTATTCGAATTCGAATCCATAGCCCTTCAGCCGAAAAACTAGATGAAGAAGGTAGAACTCTTGCGCTCCAAGGCAAGAGTGGTTCTTTAAAGGGCATGTTAGTTATATATGATGCTCGTCAAAATCTAGAAGTACTTGCTGTTGAATTAGAAGCCTTATTTTGTGTTTCTCATACAGAATTGCTTGTTGATTGTGTTGACCTTGGTAAAATTGGGCACAGTACATCCTATAAACCTTCTCGTTTTGAATTTCAAATCAGCAACTTGGCAGATGTGCCAGCAACCTATCACATTCAAGCACCTAAATTTATTAATTTTACACCATTGGATAAACATGGTATTGCTGTCAAACAAAAGCGATTTTATATTCCTTCTCGCAAGACTCAACGTATCGAAGGTTTATTGATACCTACTGAAATGCCGGATCAGACATCGGGTCTTCATGAGTTTAGCATCCGTATCGATAATTTACGTAATAATGCAAACACAATGCATCTTCACCTAAAATACCTAATGACTGTATTTGAACTACGATTTGACCGTTTATCAAGTAATGGAGAATTGGTGTTGCCCACTTTGTATCATCCTATTGCCTTACAAAACTCTCCCTGTGATAATTGGTTCATTATTCATAATAAAACGGATGAAGATTTACGATTTGAAATTGGTGCGGATATTATACCTGAACTTGTGCCGTATGTTAACTTGGATGTTCTATCACGATATACCAACTCTCCTCTTAAAGGTGATATTGCTATTGGTCCTCAGGGTAGTATAGAGGTCAGAGTGAGAGCAACACCTAATGAGGCCTCACGCTTACCATGTAACCTACTTGACTTTACAGATCCTCTAGGGATCATTATGGCCAACCTGTGGGTTATAACATGTGCCACTGAAGAAGAAGAGTCGAGAAATCAAATAAGAGAGACAATCCCAGTTCGTTGTGTATTCAATACTACACCTACTTTTGCTCTAGATGAACATCGATTAGATTTCCAATTAGTAACGTATTATCAAGATGGTGACCATGATTATTCAATGGTAATGGACTCTACCTGTATGCCTAAAAGTCGACCTTTAACGATCATTAATTATGCCACCAAAGTTCCACTTCGATTTAAAGTAACGACAGAAGGCCCAGCCGAGTTTCCTGCACATGAAATCGTCATGATTTCCAATCTAAATGAAGATGGCACTGGTATAGTCGAACCTGGAGGAACATTAACGCTTCAAGTTGGTATTCCTAATCCTAAAGAAAATATGCCAGGGCAACTTAAAATTCATGTAGAGGATTTAGATGCTCTAGGAGAATTCAAACAGACTGTATCAATGTATGTAACTGAAATTGTATGGGACTTGTAGATATAAAAATTTAGAGTAGTAGTATTATTATTGCTAACATGAGTAGAGTGCGTATTTTTTTTTCTTTTTTTTTTTTCTTTTTCTTTCTTTTTTCTTTTTTTTTTGTTTTTTCTTTTTTTTTTTTTATACAATAAAATATCACATACATATACATATTGGTATAAAAAAAAATGAGATAAAAAGTATCTTACATGTTTCATTCATTGATTCTATAATAAACATATCATGTGCGTGTATATTTTATTACAAGATATATATTCATATGTCTTGATTTACACTCAATTTATTAATATGATTCTTTCTATAAATACACGAAAAAAAATAACAATAAAAAAGAACGCCGTGCAAATGTTCAGTATAGATTATACATATATATACATATATATATATGCATATATACATATTTTATATATTGGAATTTTACTTTCTTGCGAAAGTAACCTTCATTTCTTGATCTGGACCAAAAGAATGTCGAGATAATTCCGTCTTTGCAACAACAGCTTGAAGCTCATTATCATATTCAACAAAGGCAATTGTCTTCTTTGTAGGAATCATACGAACTTCTCTAAAGCCAGGATAACGCTGGAAGAGGTCGACAAGCTGTTCTTGAGTAATTGTTTCGGGCAAGTTTTGTAAGAATAAAATCTTATTTGGGGGTAAATATTCATCAGGAATATTAGCTGTAGGATTAAAGTGAGCAGATCCACTAGCTATAAATAAAAACAGATAGTGTTATTATAATGCATGATACATACGAATACAACAACAACAAAAATAAAAAAAAACCCATATTTACGTTTGTTTAGTTGCCTATTAGCCTTGAAACTAGGTTTATGTGATCCAGGAAGAGGTAATTTAGAGATTTCTTGTTTTTTAGTCATTCGTCTTTGGTAATGAGAATCGTAATCACCATCTTTTTTAGCATGTACATCTGATTTAGTACGTGCAAATTGAAGTACCATGGGTTTATCATACAAAATAAAATGTTGTAATTCTTTAATGGCTTTTTCTGCATTTTCTTCACTAGGAAATGCAACAAATGCTTGACCACGCATACGAATATTTTTATGAGCCACGACATCTAATACTTCACCGAATTGTTTAAATAATGTACGTAAAGAGTTTTTTAAAACTAAAATTTAAAATATGAGTCTTTTTTTTTTAAAAAAAAGAAAGGAGGTAAAAAAAAAAAAAAACCTTCTAATTTCACTTTTTCATTAAGATTGCTAACATAAACTGTTCGGCAAGGTACTGTATTTAAAGGTTGTTTAGCAAGAGGAACGCCATTGACAATACCAGCTGGTGGTACAGTTTGAGTGACATTAGGGATAAAGGGTTGAGGATTAGAAGCTGGTGGAAATGCACCTTGTGGTGGTGGAGGACCATTATGAGGTAAACCACCAGGAGGGGGCATACCACCAGGAGGAGGTATACCACCAGGAGGAGGGAAACCACCAGGTGGTGGAAAGCCTGCCGGTGGAAAACCTGCTGGGGGTGGAAATGGTGGACGAGGAACACCACCTGATGGTTGTTGTGGAGGTTGTGACATTAGTTTATTTTATCTTTTTTTTAAAAAAAATAAATATAAAAAATATAATTGAAAAAAAAAAAAAAAAAAAAGAAAGAAAAAGCGAGTCTTTTGCTTTAATAAAAATAAAAAAGTTTCAAAAATTTGAACTCAAAGTCACATAGCAAAAAAGGATCAACGCGATTAAAGAAGAATAATACAAATCTCCTCAATGTGATCCTTTCTTCAATATCAAGCAAATGCATTAATTTTAAAAATTTTGCTTTGTTAGTGATTAGATCAACTTAAAAAAAAAGTAGTCTACATTTATTTAATGATTATTAATGTTAACTAGATTTTATAAAGTACAATTTGTCCATCTTATTTCCGCAATTATTAAGAAATGCAACAATTTAAAATTGGGATGGTAAATACTGTCAAAAAAGCGAAAAAAGAAATATTGCTATACTGTATTACATGAGGAAACAAAAAAATTGATTTATAATACTTTGTGTGATAAAAAACAAACAAACCAAGTTTATAATTACTAAAAGTTGAATTATGTCAAATGTATTTACTTTTTATTTTATTTTGAAGTCGTTATTGTGACTACTTCCAAAAAACATATCAAAGGTATTACATAGACGATGATATTTAAATTTATCTCTTTTACTTATACAAAGCTACTTTAATACATTAAAGTATAGCAGTGATAATCTATTTTTATTAAAGCAACTTATTTTCTTTTTTTTTTCTTCTTTTTTTTTTTTTTTTTTTTTTTTTTTTAATATATACAGCAAAAGAATAACTCCATTTGTGATGATGTAAATTTTGCAAAGTCTTTTTTGACAGTTTTTTTTTTTTTATATTAATGTTGATCGTAAATTTAGTTTCAACATTGATGACCTCGTAGTTCATTTCCCTTATGATAAAATATATCCTGAACAATATCAATACATGTGCGATTTAAAGAAATCCCTTGATGCACAGGTATTAGTCATCATAGTTTTGATCTATTCACAATCGATATTTATATGTGTTTTAGGGTCATTGTGTTTTAGAGATGCCTTCTGGTACTGGTAAAACTATTTCTTTACTATCACTTATTATTGCATACCAAATGGTTAGTACACTGTACTAAAAGAAAGGAAGAAAAAAAAAAGAATAACTTTAAGAATGTCACTGACATAATACGTAGCAATATCGTGAACAACATAGAAAATTTATTTATTGTTCACGTACAGTACCAGAAATTGATAAAGCACTTGCAGAATTAAAGAATTTAATGGCTTATCGACGCTCACATGGATTAGATGAAGATTTTTTAGGAATTGGATTAACATCACGTAAAAATTTATGTTTAAATCCAGTAGTAGCAAAAGAAACAAAGGGTCGAGCTGTAGATTCTAAATGTAGAAATTTAACTGCGAGTTGGGTACGAGTTAAAGCTGGTGTCGTAAAATCAGGAAGACAAAAAGATAATAAGGAAGAAGAAGGAGATGATCCTATGGACGTTGATAAACATCATGTTGAATTATGTAATTTTTATGAGGTAATATAATTATTCTAATTATGCCACATAACATATGCTACATAGGTTACATATATTAGACATTAGAATCGGCAAATTCACCCAATCCTATTCCAAATGGCATATATACATTTGAAGACCTTAAAGAATATGGCAAAAAGATGCAATATTGTCCATATTATCTTGTACGACGAGCAGTAAGTAAAAGTTTTAAAAAAAAAAAACTGCATAAATTTTTGTTTTTATATACTTAAATTAAACCAATAGATTCCTTTTGCCAATGTTGTTATCTACTCATATCATTATATGCTTGATCCTAAAGTAGCAGAACTTGTATCGAGAGAATTATCAAGAGATTGCATTGTAGTATTTGATGAAGCACATAATATTGACAATGTATGTATTGATTCACTTAGTATTGATTTAACTAAGCCTATCTTGGACGCAAGTGCAAGGAGTATTGGCGTATTAGCTGAAAAAATCGAAGAGTAAACTATACTTCAACTAAGTTAGTCTATTTATATTAATCATAAAATATTATAGGATAAAACAAACAGATGCAGAAAGATTAAAAAATGAATACACAAGATTAGTAGAAGGATTACGTGACGCGAGTTCTGCAAGAGATGAAGACACTTTTATGGCTAATCCAATCTTGCCGGATGATATGTTAAAGGAAGCTGTACCAGGTAATATTCGACGTGCAGAACATTTTGTAGCCTTTTTAAGAAGATTTATTGAATATTTAAAGGTAAGTGTCTATTTTTTGTTCTCCCCCTCCAGCTAGTGTAGAATGAGATTGACAAACTATTTCTTTATTTAGACTCGTTTACGAATTATGCATGTTGTTGCAGAGACACCTTCTTCATTTTTACAACACTTAAAAGACGTAACTTACATTGAAAGAAAACCATTGAGATTTTGTGCAGAACGTCTTTCAAGTTTAGTACGAACATTAGAATTAACAGATCTAGAAAACTTTAGTAGTTTGCAAAAGGTTGCAACATTTGCAACTTTAACTTCAACTTATGATAAAGGCTTTTTACTTATTTTAGAACCATTTGAGACTGAGACATCAACTGTTCCTAACCCTATTCTTCATTTCACGTAAGTCGTTTTCCTAAAAAAAAAAAAAAAAAAAAAAAAAAAAAAAAAAAAAGGAAGAAAATTAGTGTAGATGAATTAATAAACCTATTTTAGTTGCCTTGATGCATCTATAGCTATAAAGCCCGTATTTGACCGATTTAGTACAGTAGTTATTACTTCAGGTACTTTATCACCTCTAGACATGTATCCTAAAATGTTAAACTTCCAAGCCGTTGTTCAAGAAAGTTACCCTATGACATTATCAAGAAATTGCTTCTTACCTATGATCATCACTAGAGGTTCAGATCAAGTCGCAATCAGTTCTAAATTTGAAGTACGAAATGATCCAGCTGTTGTGCGTAACTTTGGTCAAATTATGGTTGAAATGGCTAAAATTGTACCTGATGGTATGGTTTGTTTCTTTCCTAGCTATTTATATATGGAATCCATTGTATCTATGTGGAATGAGATGGGTATCCTAAACGAAGCCTGGAAATACAAATTGATTTTTGTGGAAACACCAGATGCAAAGGAAACAAGTTTAGCATTAGCTAATTATCGAAGGGCATGTGATAATGGTCGAGGTGCTATTTTGTTATCTGTAGCAAGAGGCAAAGTATCAGAAGGTATCGATTTTGATCATAATTATGGTCGAGCAGTAATTATGTTTGGTATACCATACCAATATACAGAGTCACGTATCCTAAAAGCGCGTTTAGAATATTTACGTGATAATTTACATATTCGTGAAAATGACTTTTTAACATTTGATGCTATGCGACATGCTGCTCAATGTGTAGGAAGAGTTTTACGAGGTAAGACAGACTATGGACTCATGGTATTTGCCGACAAGGTAATTATATAAAAATTATTTAGAACAAGGAAGGAAAAGAAAAACTAACACGACACGATACATATACATTTTTATATATATATTTTTTAGAGATTTGCAAGGGCTGATAAAAGAGCCAAGTTACCAAAGTGGATTAACCAATATGTAACTGATGCCTCTACAAATCTATCCACAGATATGTCAGTTGTTATTGCTAAAAAATTCTTGAGATCGATGGCTCAGCCCTATGAATCAAATCAAACAGGCGTATCTCTATGGACATTGAAAGACATTGAAAAGCATACAAAATAAGATTGTTACAAGGCAAGCCATCCATTATATACAGTATAAGTTTTTCTTTTTTTGGGATAAAATGGGCAATGATTATCAAATTTTATTACAATGTTCTTCAGAAAATAGGTTAGAATAAAAAGACTTCTTTGGGGTATTTGTTTAGTAAATAAAGAATTTTCAGTACACGTCTGAAGTTATCAAAATAAGTGCATCCATCATTCTTCTTGAAAATGAGTTTAATTCAAACCATCTTCCTAACTTGTTAGTTGCTGCACAATTATCTCTTTGCTTTTGGCTTTTTTTTTTTTTTTTTTTTTTCACTCATGTATATTATTCCAGTCTATCATCAAATATTTCTGCCTATCAAAGACGGATACTACTACAAAATATTCTTCTATTAAATTATGAATATACATTACCTTTATATCATCTACCGTATCATTCATAAAAAAACCAATTTTATCATAAAGAATGAAAGTTAATGCTAAAACACACACACACAATATTCACCTTTATGATCTCTCTAAGCCATTTTCAAATTTGTAGAAAAATAAAAAAAAACACGCACACATAGACACATACACATTATGTTGTGGCTTAATTAGCCAATAAAATCGTATCTCATTTCCATTTTTTTTTTTTTTGAAAATTTTCTTATTTTTTTTAACATTAATAGCAATGACAGAGATGGAGAATCACATGAATATTGATTCCAATAATACAAATATAGAAGAAGATGAGATTTTAGCAGAATATCCTATTTATTTAACAACAGAGCTTTCAAAGTACTTGTATTTATTCCAATATCCTATGCGATCCACACCTTTTACAACGAGAACAGGACCTAATGCAGCACGATTAAAGCCAAAAGCAAAGATGGTTGAGCTTGATTTACCATTAGACACTAGATCCCCTAACTATAGTACTGAAAGAGGTGAAGATTTTGCAATGGGTTTAAATGATAAGACGATCAAGACAGCCTATGATAGGCGCATGGAAGAACATGAAGAAGAAATGATGGGACATAAATCAAAAAAGAAAGAAGAAGAATTGCTGGATAGAATGACACTTACTTCTACTCAAGTGCCTAGTCAGACCAAATATGTTGTTGGCATTATACGTGATGGTAAGATGACAACTATTAAAAGCAAAGAAAATAAAATAATAAAAATAATAATTTCTTTTGTTTTAATAGAGGAACTTCATATTACACCTATTAATACAACTGTACAATTAAGACCTGGTTTTAAATATATTGACAAGATTGATGAAAAATGGAAAGCAGCTAATAAACGTATTCAAGATGTAGAGAAGCAAGAAGAAAGAAAACAAAATGATACGGGTACAGCACAAACTGTCCAAGTATCTGTTAAAAATGCAGAACGTGAAGGCAGTATTCGAAAGAATTTATATTCTATGGCTGTAAGAAATGCAGAAGAGGAAGAATGGCAGCCAATTGTATATTACGATGAAAATGTAAGTATTTTTCCCTCCCCTTTTTTTTAAGAATATCTGTGTATATTTAAATTCATTTATTTATATTCATGTAGTCACTTCAAGCTGAAGCAGTGAGTGAAAAATTATATACACAATCAAAAGAACCTCTAAAGTGTACTACAACTAAATCTGAATACCTCGATCAATTAAGCAGCGTTAAAGCATAAAATAATTGCATGTGTAATAAAAAGGATATATTTGCATTTACTACTTGTTATTTTTTTTTTCACTCAGAAAATATTACGTAATAAAATCAAGTATAATATAGGTTATAATGGTACGTAACAGGCCATCCTAATCCTTCTCTCTCTCCCCCAAAAAAAAAACTCCCTTCTTCTCTTTTTTTATGGGGTTTGGGAGGGGGAGGGAGAAGAATGACAAAACAGATATATTTATTTTTATTTTATTTTTTGTTGTCAGTAAAATACACATAAAACGTCTTTTGTATTATTATTAATATATGTTGTATATACTATGATAAAGACCTAATTTAAACTATGGACATGCATTTTTGTGTTTAACAGTATTATAGCTTCGTAGAAATGACGCCATAATGCATTATATAATTCAGGTACACGATTTTTTTTTCTTTTTTATAAAAGTGTGAAAAAATTCATTTTGTAATTCTATTGTATGCATAACATTATATCATGATAAAAATAGAAAGTATGTACATATTACTTGATATATGTATAAAAAAAAAAAAAAAAAAGTTTGGTTATACATTATCCTTTGTAGCATTATACTATTACATGATAATTGTTTCACATTGTATAACTACATTGAGCCCTATGATCTTACTGTCAAGTAGTACCATTTTATTACATGAAAAGATAGGAGAGAGAGAGAGAGAGAGAGAGAAAGACTTTATGATTCATATTTATCATATATAGTCTATATATAAAATATAAATCATAAAAGATTATATATTAATAGTAAGATCAAACTATGCATAATTGCATACAAATCAAAAAAAAGAATGAGATATATTAAAAAGAAAGAAAAAGTGATGGGGTTTATAGTGTATATTCCGTAGTATTATTTAGGAAAAGGGTGATGATCTTATATGTGTAGCCATCTAGGGTCAGGGGGTGTATTTGTGGAAGTTTATCAACTTAGTCTTCATACGAGTGTACAACGATAATATATAAAAAGGATAATAACAACAATAAGACTATCTTCTCTCTCTCTCCCCCCCCCACCGCCTTTTTCTTCTTCTTCTTTCATTTTCTTCATTTCTCTCTTTGTTAATATGTTTTGTGGAGGAGGAAGATCATGTAATCATAATTCTCTTTTGTTTTCGAATAACAAAGTAAATGCAACTTATTATCAATCCTATAACGCTATTTCAAGAATGATTCATGATTTTATGACTATAAATTCATCAAATAACAAATTTACTTATGGATACTGCCCACTATGTTCTCAAAAGTTAATAGTTAGAATGAATGGTTTCTTTGTGTATAGATGGATTAGTACTCATTTTGCTACCTATCATCATGAATGGATGCATGTTGTCGTTAATCTTCAAAAAAAATCATAATAAATTGTACAAGCATGAAACAGAAAATAAAAAAAAAAGAAAATAAAATTGAATCTTTACAAGAATGTAATCGTTATTAGATTTGCATGCATGCAAAGAACTACTGCATAGTCTCTGAACCCCTTTACTGCATAATTGTGCCATCTTCTACCGAAAAAAGGAAAAAGAAAAAGGCTTAAATAGGTTGGAAGTTCTGGATCAGAATAACAAAAGTTCTTCAAGTAGCCATTATTACAAGGATTCTTATAGTTGGAGCCTACTCCTTTGATAAGTTTTTTCTCTATTCATCCTACTGTTGATCACAGGCTAAAGCAGCTCAATTGGGATTAAATTCTGATGGGTAAAGAGGAAGATATAGGCTACCCTTATCCGAAACAAGTGCCTTTCTTTGACTATTACCAAAAGAAAAAGAAAAATTAGCCCACAATGAATAAAATTCAATAATAGTACTTTATAATAAATATTACCATATAAAACTTTATGGTCTTTTTTCATGTTGTGATGTTTTAGGAAATATTGATGTGAATTAAACTTTGGTCATGATAATCGTTTTGGCTGCTTCTTTAACTCTATCAATAATATAACTTGATTTTTTTTTCGCCCAGTATTCTTCATTTAGGGGGGGATGGAGAACGAATTTGATGAAGAAAACAAATAATATGTTTATGGCCACAAATTGCTTTAAAGGCATTTAATGTTTTGTGAATTGAGGCATTATCCACAATAATATGCGTATTATGTAATCTAAATCTGTTAAAAATGTATAGATTTATAGAGTTCAATAAAGTCAATTTTCAGGTCCTGTATTCCTATTTTTTCTTTTGGTTTGTTGGATTGATGATAGTTTATGAAACGTCTTCCTCTATATATTTAACTCATAATGTTCGTGTAAGTATTAGAACACTTTATCCATACAAACATGAAATTGGTTTGTCTTCATCCCTCCCAAGATATATTCAAAAATTATCCTATAAAGTATTATGTTGTCCTCATTTCACTTATGATTACACTAAGGTTCGCCTTGATACGATGGCACTTAAGCATAGCCAAGTAGGCTTACTATAAAGTGTCAAAGTAATGTATATTTTGATGGTGAAAAAAAAAAAGAATAAAGTAGAAACAAAAAGGTTTATTTAAATGTTTTGTCGTCATATAAAGTATTATTGTCATGTATATCTATAAATAATTATGCAATTGAATACAACAGCCATAATTCCCAATTGAATTCTTATTATGATGCTCAAACACTCTAAGAAGAAGACCCATTTGATGGTTTATTGAATATATTGTTAAAATTCTTGTGAATTAGCTTTGCTGTAAACATGAAAAGAATAACCTTTATACCTGTCATAAGAAAATGGACATTATTTGCCAAGACAGTATCTCAAATGGTAAGTGTTACTACTACTACTACTACTACTATAAATGAAGCTACATGTATATTAGAATCATTTTCAAATGCGAGAAAAGAAAAAAAAATAAAATAAACATTCATGTATACTACATCCAGATATATTGTATATCAAACATCAAATGATAGACTTCACTTTAGTTTACAATTTATATAAGACTGTTTAAACATTGCTCGGGAAATAAGTTGTGTATTAGATGGAATTCAAGAAATATTCTTAATAATCAGTGATATATACCTTAACAAGAAAAGACAATGATATACACATAAATTCCTTCTACCCCTGAAAAGATTAAATATTGACTATCTCGAAAAAAAAATAAAGAGTTATTATTCATTTTTGACTATCTTATGTTATTCAAGAAGTGAACACTTGAAAGAGTAACTGCTACGAATAGCAACAATAAAAGAGATGCTTTAATTCAGCCAAATGCGTTTGACAGCATGATGGCATTAATCCTTAACATGGTTACAATTATTTAATGGTACTTGAATTAGTACTGTCGTTTACATTATTTACTTTTTGAAGATAGTTCTCTCTTGAGTAAAGATCACAAACTATAAAGGAACTTGATTATTGAATATAAACTTCTAGATGACTTTTATTGGAATAAATATCTACAGTGATCCCACAGGCTATTCCAAGTTTATGCCCCTTATTCAATTGATTCTTTGGCATAGAAAGGATATATCGTACAAGAAGGAAAACTCAAACTATTCTTGTAACAAATTTCATATTTGGATACTGATGCTTATTATGATAATGAACTACATAAATAGAATAGTGTCTCATTTATGCACTGTCCATAATCATTCAATCAACTTGATTCATGTTTTATCACAAATTTCAATGTAGATTAAATATCCTTGTCCTCTATAGATCAGCTCGTTTACAATGTCCTTAAACTTAGAGACTTAATGAAAGAAGAAGCATCCATTTATATATCACAAGACTCTCTTTATTCAAGAAAGAAAAGAGATACAATTCTGCGCATATCTGATTTTCTGTAACAAAGTTTTATGATCATATTTTCAATGATTCAGTCTATTTAAGTTTATCATAAACGTAGTACCTTCCTTTCTCTTTCTCTCTCTTGTTTTTATTTACATATATATATAAAAAAAAATATACAAAAATATTACAAGTCATTGTATTCATCTTCAATCATCCAACGTTCTTGAACATCACTCACATCTTCATGATATCCTGCTTTCATAGCTGTCAACATGATCGATTCATTTCCTTCAGTTAAACCACCAAATATAAAACCACCTGCTTTGTCTATCACTTGTTGTAATTTTGTCATAGAATCTTTATCTTCTACGCATAACGTATAAAATCCAACAAGTGAAAAATCCTGAATCAACTCACAAAGTGCCTCGTTTAGTTTTTTATACTTTGAGCCAAACGGATCTTCATTCAGTGATTCTAGTAAATAAGAAAGATCCATGACATCTGTATAATACTGAAGATTGAATCTGAGTTTACCGTAAGATTCGATCAAGTCTACTTTTGATAGGACGTTAACATGAGGTAATTCCAACTGAATCATCATTTTCAGTGCTAGAATCAATACCGAAATGTATTTTGCTGGATCTGTACAATAATGAGCATCAACCATGTTCACAGCTACCAATCGATAATCAGCTTTTTCAAGAGCCTGTAAAAGATCTTTAACAGCTGAATGATGTGTAAATAACTCTACTTGTCCCGGGAAATCAAACAATATGTAATAATCATCGCCCAATTCCTTTAATTTGTCTGTTAACCAATCCATATTCTTTAAAAGATATTCAATACAAAACATGATGCCACCATTAGGTCCTAAAGATAATTCGTTCATCGTATCTTCTAGTGTAATCAAGTCAAAGATATTGATGGCACAAGGATAAGGGATGTTTTCATTAGCAGGATCTAAATTAACAATCGCTACTTTTCTGTGCAAATTAAAAGAAAAAAAAATGAGTGATAGATTGTTATTAGGATCAAGATTTTAAAATTATACCTTCCAATTGCTGTTAGATATTGATAGGCGCCCCAACAATAAGTTGTCTTGCCTGAACCTGGTGGTCCTACAATGACCTTTTGTACTTGTAAGTTATTTGGTTTTCATGAATAAAAATTAAATTTATATATTTATATAACGATTTACTTGTCCAAATGGCATTTATTTATTTGAAATCTAAAAGAAAGTGATAGAAAAAAAAAAAAATCGATACCTTTTTTTTTTTTTTTTAGTATCCCGCTTTTTTATATATGTATTACAATTAGACGGTGTTTAAAGAAATCTTTTATTTCTTTCTTTTACTTTTACATCTTATTATGGGTCTATTGTCTAATTTATTTAAAAGGAATCAAACGACAACTTATACAAGATTACCAAATTCAACAACATTTATTATACCAAAACGATGGAGACCTTTTACAGTTATTAAATATACCATTTTAATAGTGCTCACTATTGTTATCTCCTTCTTTACCATTTGTCAATTACAACTTAATGTTCGAGTTTATTTACGTAACTGGATTTCTCATGCTGATGATGCCTATTATGAACCATTAGCTGGATGCTTTGATAGCTTACCAGATGATAGTCCTTATTTGAATGGTATTCAACAATATGTGTATGATGTAGCCCCAGGCATAAGTTTGATGGAAGATTATGACTGTTATGATTTTGCAGCTACCATCAAGGCGGATCCTACCAAGGCCTTGAATGAAACAATTATTTATCATGCCTATTGGCGATCCGATTTATCGCCTGTAGGGCCCAAGCAGCTTGCTACTTTAAGATCCTTTTTCGCTACACAAAACCCAAATAATACGGTAGTTTATCTATGGTCAAATGGAGATTTGTCACTCTCCCCTATTATTCAAGAGATCAAGAGCCATGTGGGTGACCGACTTGTGACAAAGATATACGATCCTCATGAATTAGCCAAGGGGTCCCCCATGGAGGGTTCAGGACATCTTGATTTTAAAGATAGCAGTGGGTATTTAGATGGAGACCTTGTTCGATTATTAGCTATTTATCGATATGGAGGCATGTGGTTTGATATGGACAGCTTATTTATTCGAGACATGGCACCTCTGATGGAGCATGAATGGTTATCTCAATGGGATTGTTTCTTACCGAACGGCTTCCCCTTTAATGGCGCCTTTATGCGATTTCACAAGCAATCCCCTTACCTGTGTGAGATGTTATCTGAGTTAGCCTCGGGCCCTTTACCTAGACCTGATACGATTGATTGGGGGGGATACATGTATTATAGAATTTATCGACGTTTATTACATCATGGTATTCGACCATGGTCCGTTTTACCTTGGTGCTTTACTGATTCAATGGTCTGCAGTCCCAAGAACTCTATGCCAAATGCCTTTATTGAAGCAGAGTTTAATCAAGATCGATTATTACAGACCTTTGCTTATCATTGGCATAATCAATGGAAGAAAGAGCCTGGCTCGTTATTTAAGTTTTTAGAAAATAGACATAAAAATGTGACTGGTTGGTAATAAATTATATTAATAAATAAATAAGCGAATAAGCGAGGTACTGCCCAAAAAAAAAAAAAAAAAAAAAAAAAAAAAAGAAAGTGAGATAATAAGAGGGATATTCTACATGTGTATACATGTGTATACATGTATATGTATATATATATGCATATATGTATATTAATTTCATAAATTATTCGCACAATCTCAGGAAAAATTTGCATACATTTTTTATTTTATTTTTTTTATTTTTTGCACAGTTTGCACATTCATTTTTTGAAGATTAACTTGCTCAATTTGCCAAATAAAATTCGCACAGATTCGCAAAATCAACATAGCACGATAGACTTTCGAATTTTATCAAGAAGATGGGTACGGCAATGAATCAGTTGAAATGGAAGTAGACAATGACGGTTATCCTCTTGTCGACACTGTCAACTTTGACAATTATATGGACTTCAAGCTGCCTGAGACAACCCCTAAAGCATCCAAGACCAATTACTTCAGTACCAGCTGAACCAGTCACTTACTACAAAAAAAAAATATGGGGACGATGTTAAGGGCCATTTTTTTTTTTTTTTTTTTTTTTTTGGTCCTTACTGCGGGAAAAAGCAGAAAAACAGCTTGGTGTTGCCCCGTCGAACTGCTTATGACTGGTTCAAAAAAAAAAAAAAAAAAAAAAAAAAAAAAAAAAAAAAAAAAAGACCAAGAAGAGGAGATTTCTAGAAATGCGGCACCATTGGATAAAGGTCTGAGATTGTGCGAATAATTTATGAAAATAGTGTTTATAAATGTAAATTAAAAAGTAATTATAAAATATTATGTGTAAAAAAATAAAAAAAACAACATACACACATTTGTATATATATTTTGATATATGTATATAGAATAAATAATTATTTAGTATTTAAGAAAAGAAGCCAGTTCTAGAATTAAAGAAATTAGATTAATTTTGATTCATTCACTGCTAAATGATTTCAATGCTTTACCTATTTCTTGTCATAAAAGTCTTTGTTATCAATTGTAATGTCTTGGGTACATTTAATTTAATATATTCAAGATCCAATATTTGAATATTATCTTGTTGCTGATATAATATGTGAGTATGCTATATGAAGTGTATATAGTTTGTATTACCTTTTCAAGTAAATCGTCCAACTTTAAATCAATCTCTAAAACTGGTTTATCACGACCTTTATAATGAAGACCAATAATAAAGGTACCTGGTATAGGTGAAGAGATGGTCAAAAAGATATTCTGGCGTCTATTTTCAGGCACCTCTGTTTCTGCAATAATACCATCCCTTTCTAATTGTTGATGAGTAAACTTGAATGGACCTTGTTGATGACTATGTTGACATGGTTTCTTTGTTTGATCCATCACGATTTCAACGCCTACTAAATTATTTTTTTTATTACTACTTTGCATCCTTACGTTTTGTAAATAGGCTTTATAACTCTCTAATTGACTCTTGAGGTAATTATTATGGTCTAGAATAGTCTTGTAGACACTTTCAAGTGATTCAAGTTCTTCCATCACTTTTACTTTTAGATCGCCAAGATGAGCTAATTCATTATTGATTTCTTCAACAAGAAATTGATGATTATCACGACGATCAATCACATTGGCCTCTTCTAACTCACGAAGCATTTCCTTGACTTTAATGCCCTTATGAACCAATTGAGCATCCTTTGATGTACCTGCTGCTTCTGCTATTTGATGTAATCGAAGTGGGGGGCGTGCAAGGAAAGGAAGAGAACGAATGATTTGTACAAAAATCGATTTAGCTTCCATATAAAGAATATCATTTTGAGTAATATTATTCTCTGACATGAGTGACATTGTTAAGTCTAGATAGATAAATTAAGCTCTAATATATATTGTTGACTCATATAAAATAGAATTTTACCTTGGATTGGCATTTCCCATCTACTAAACAAAGGTAATTCAATGGTTTTATTTTCTTTTCTTGATACTTGTGGAGGAACTAAGCCGACTTCAGAAAGTAAGACACGTAAATGATCCGTCTCCTTTGGTGCAAGCACATGAATATGTTGTTGTAATAAAGATATTGTGTTATAGATTTCATTAGGTGTTATATTGATCATGATATCCTTTTTACTAAGCGCCATGTATTGATCCATCTCTAGTTGTTCATAAAAGTCGACTACTTCACAGAGATCATTCAAGAATCGAATGGTACGATGTTTATTTAGTTCAACAAATGGATTCGTTGGTATCATATAAGCCTCTTTTGCATAAGATGGCTTGTTTGCTAAATTTTGAAGCATCTTTGCTACCTACTCAATAATAAAATAGATCCAATCAGAAAAAAAAATCATATTAAAAAGAAAAAAAAGGGCCTACGGGGGGTGAATAGGAGAATTACCAGTGTTAATGTAGTTCGTGAATTGGGACCAGGAATACGATCCACTAGCATATAAGCTTGTGGAGTTACGATAGCAGGATTAACAAAACGTAAAAAAAAGAAACCACCGATGAGAGAAGAGATAGCATGCTCTGTAGCATCAGGATATTTTCTCTTTGTCAGAGAACGAATTTGTTTACAAATCCAACGAATTCCATAAGGGACTTGATCTAAAGAATCTATAATAGTTGATAAAAAAGAATTTGCAATTTCCATCAAGGATTTTAACCTTGGAAGAATGATGGTTTGAACAGTTGAATTAGCAGCTGCCATTTCAGCTGTTACACTTCTAGGAAATCCGTCAGGTAAACTACCTTCTCGTTCCATTTTTTGAACTAATTCTTCATACACTTTAAGAGGATTAATTTGAAAATTTAAATCTTTCTGTTCTAATAGATTATTAATTTTATCAGATAAAACTGATTTAAGATAAGATTGTCCAGGTCCACGTCGAGTATAAGTTGTCATCATACGTGAAACAGGTGTATTTGCGCGTAAAAGAGAAGCAAATTCAGTAGTTGTTTCAAACTGAGCAGCCAATACATTCTAAAAATAAGTATATAAATATAAATATAAATATAAAAAGGGGAGGATGAATTCTTTATATATTTGTACCTGGAACATGGTTAATAACAAGTGTTCTTCTCTACTTTCATATTGATTACCGTAAAGTGTAAACATAACTGTTTGTAATAAAGTATCAATTTCTGCCAAGTTTACTAAACGACATAGAATTGCAATATGACGTGGTTCACTTTGTAAAAGATAAAATAAATTTCCATATTGTTGTATACGACGATCGTCAATATAATGATCTTCATCTTCTTCTTCATTATCTTCTAAACGAGAAGTTACTTCGTGTTGCTATCATTATAATATAAAATATAAACTTTTCAAGTTCCCCTTATTTTTTTATTTTTATTTTTATTTTTATTTTTATTTTTTTTTTTCGTTCGTTCTTTTAGTTATATATTTCTATACCTCATCAAGTGCCATTCTGTTTTGAATCAATAAACCAATTCTAGCATCCAAGAATCGTACGTCTCTTTCACGCATAAAATTTTTTTTAGATTGTGTAGAGATTTTATTTTTTAATTCACGTAAACGTTTTTGAGCTAATAACAAGAGTCATTAATAAAACATTAGAATGTGTTATATATATATATGTATATCTAATCACCTTTTGCTAATTCGTCTTCTACTTCAACATCTTGTTCTGCAGCCATAGAATAAAATACAGAAACAGAATATCTTTTTGAACCTCTTCCTCGATTACGATTAGAATGATGATTGTTTGCAGCTGCAGCTGCTACTGCTCGACTTACAATGGAGCCGTTTTGTGGATAACCAAACGACTGAACCATCCCACTTCGTCGATCAGTCATTTTTTTTAAATTAAGATTTATAAAGATTAAAAAAAAAAAAAAAAAAAATATGTATTTATATATTTATATGTATGTATGTATGTATGTATGTATGTATAGAGTAGAGAGTAGAGAGAGCGAAAAAAAAAGGGGGAGTTTATCTTTAAATTTTAATTTATGTCTATTGTTACACTAGGAACAATTGAAAATTATTACAAAAAAAAAAAAAAAAAAAAAAAAAAAAAAAAAAAAAAAAACTTTATTATTATTCTTATTATTATCGTTAAATTCTCAAGTCATATTCATATTCTTGTTGTGTATTTTGAGCTACCCACAATACAAATGTACTAAAATAAATGTTATATAGAATTCTACTACGTGTAATTAATTCTATTACCTTAACATAATCAAACTATTTTGTACGACTCCTGCAATACCATAGTTAATATAAGGTTGTGCAGATTCCAACTGAATTATATACTTGATAATCAATACACACTACAAAAAAAAAGAAGGATTTATACAAAGTCTGTCTCTCATTTTTTGTTGTCTTACACATGATCCTGCAAATCCTCCTGCAATTAAAGAAAAGCCAAGAAATAAGAATAATCTTGCTTTCCAAATTAAATTCAAATCCCCATAAGATACTGTATCATCCTGTAATCGATTTTTATCTATTAAATTTATTCTAGATATTTTATAATTAGTGGGAGATTGATTATGTAATATAGTCAGTACTTTACACAATCATACCAAAAGTCGTCAGGATACCCGAGAACCAATCCTCAAATCCCATATGACTCATTCCATTGTATTTGGTTGAATTGATGACTGCATCTATAAAAGCCCACCATCCAATAGCAAGCTTAATGAACAAAATTACAAATTAATGTTGATTATTATTATTATTTGTATCCATCGTTAAAAAAAAAAAAAAAAAAAGAGGGCGATGTAATTACCAAACCACCTGATAAATAGACACCTATATTTCTTCCTTTACGAGATAAAAAGCGTAAAGGATTTCCAATTACAAATATAGAACGTGGTTCATCATCATATATATTAGTCTGCATTCTATTTCTTCAATTAAAAAATTATATATAAAGAAAAAAAAAAAAGAAATATGCTGGACGTCAATACAACAACAAAAATTAATAAGGCAGGGCTTTTTTTTTAAGTATAAATAAATACACATATTATAAACATTTGTATTTTCAAAAAAGTAATCATTTTTCTTTCCTCATCATTGTCAAATCGAATACAAGATGATTTATATTTACAATTATAGATAAAACCTTTTTTTTTAATACATATTTTTCAATAATATTGATGAAATGTACTTTAATGGACTATTCAATATAACACTATTCTTTATATAGTAGGATACAATTTATTTTTATTTTTTACAATACATATGTATAAGAAGGAATATGCTTAGTTTTATCGACTGGTTTATTTTATTTTTTGTTAAGCATCATTTCATTAATGGCGGTAGCATAATGTCCAAAAAAAAAAAAAAAATATACAGATACACATACAGTAAGTGATAACTGAAATTAAAAATTAAAAAAAAAAGAAAAAAAAAACTAAGGACAGCCCCCCTCCACACATTTATTTCCCCTTGCTTTATTTATATAAAGAAAGAACGAAAAAGATGAGAAAGCCAATTTATAGTTTGGCAAGAAAGTTGGGACGCATGTCCTGGAATAAATACAACTTGTATAATATTGCACATAAAGAAGTTTCCAACTTTCATAATAAAACATTATTTCAACAGAAATGGATTTCAAAAAGAGAAACTCGAGCTTACCACGGTGATGAAGTGACAGAACGACAATTCAAAAATAAATTCTTTAATCCAAAGTTACCTACTGTTCAATCTTCTTCAACAGAAGTTCATCCATCTGTAGCTGTCTTGACATTTGCTGAATTGGAACGAAGATTAGATTTTGTTGTGTTTCGATCTAATTTCTGTCCTTCCATTTATGCTGCTCGTCAATTATGTGTACACGGAAAAGTGATGGTGAATGGTAAAAAGGTAAGAATTAAGAATACATATACAAAAAGACTCTACTTTATGAATGGTACTAAAGAAATTATTCAATTCCTTTCTTTTATCAAGCTGCCTTATCCTTCACATAAATTAAAAGATGGTGATATCGTCTCAGTTGATCCACATGCTATTCAATTTTTAAAAGGAGAAAAAGGACAGGAATTAGACTTTACACCTAAACCATTTTCACAGCCTTTTTTGTTTGTACCTGAATATCTTGAAGTCAACTATAATACGTGTCAAACTGTCTTTTTAAGATCTCCTATTTCTAGACCAGGACGATCTGAAATTCCTTCACCTTTTCCACCAGAATATCATTCTCTTGCTTATGAATATTATGCTCGTAACAAATAACGATTGTAGTCTGTATTTGTATAATAATAAAGGGGTGAAGATAAAAAAAAAGAGGTTTATATATATAACCATGTATTCAATTGTAAAGAAGGGAATAAAAATGTATATAAATACATATATATATATAAATATACTTGACAATTACAATTTGTATACTAGTAAGAAGAGACACGATGAATAGAATAACACTTTATATATCTTTGCTTCTAATACATGAAAAGAGTATTCATGGAGGCTAATATTATGTAATAATAATAAAAACACTCTACTTTGTACTTGCTCTATTAATCAGAAGATCGAGTATAATGTATATGAATACAAGCTTTATAAATATGGATTCAACTTTTTGTGTAAATGTTACTATTTATTTTAAAAAAGAGTCAATATAATTGGCTAGTCCTTTTTTTTTTTTCTTCTATGTTGATCTCTAGGAAAATAGATAAAGAATAGGATGATATCTTTTTGTTTTCATCCTCTTTATCCGATTTTACCTTTAACACTGAATAGTATTCAAGCACAACTCAGGTTCACAGGTTGTTTAAGAGAAAAGTTTGAAATATTAGGGTAGGTTAAAGGGTTTAGTAGTAGTTCTGTGGGAGGGGATACTGCGTATTATAGGCGTTAGTATGATTAGGATAAATGATGATGAGACAAGATAGATGAAATAGACACATCCTTACTACAACCACAAAACTCTTTCAAAGTTTGCAATGTAGAGAAAAATAAATAAATAATAATTTTATTATTTTTAGTTATTATTGCTTTTATTTAAGGAGTAGGAGAAAAACCTGCAGCAACACAATGGCACATGCATACACCTAATGCCGCGTTACAGGCAACAATTGCTGCAGGAATACCAGCACCACCAGTGACAGTTCCAAAAGTAGAACCAGCAGCTGCGTAGCAAGCAACCGCAACTGCATTACAACCAGTTTGTCAAATTCCATATGCTAATGGACCAGCTAAAGCGTATGAGACCATAGAAAGAATGAATAAAAGCTTTATCATTGTTTTGTATTTTATTTTTTTACTGTTAATGATACAGAAATAAATAAAAGAAGAAAAAAGAAAATTAAATTTACTCTAATTGACTAATAAGTAGTTTCATTTATAGGATCGAACTAAACCTGTTACTGTCTATGTTCTCTCTCTCTCTCTCTGCGTGCGTGTATGTGTGCTTTTTAACATTATTAAGCTTATTTTTTTTTATCTCTCTTTTGTGTTTAGATAAATGTAGGGACTGGATCATAAGATTTTTAACTTAATTCAATGAGGTAAATAGTCGTACTAAAAACACATTGTGCATTTCTATGATAAATCTGTCTATATACATATCAAGTATATTCATCTTTGTACAAGAAAATAATTGATAAAGTCCTACCTTTAAAAGCATACCCTCTTCTATTACTGTTCTTTGTAAGTCCTGCTGAGAGAATAAACTAAGAATAATGCAAGTACGCATAATAATTGATCACACTCAAAGAGCATATATTAGTTGTAGAAATAAATATATGCAAAAGACATGGATTTATTTATTATAATTCTTGATAGTATAATGGTTATATCATCAAAATGTAATTTTGTTCTTTTTTTTTTTTATCTTATTATTAACTCATCATCCTTATTCACAAAAGAAATAAATAAATACCCAAACATTATTTACCCATTTTGTATTAATTCATATTTATAACTCATAACTTGACTTTATCTCAGATAAAATATTATTAACAGCTTTCAACGTACTTCCTCTGCCTCTTTTATTCTATTTCCTTACTTTATTTCATGTTAAATTACCTGTAAACCACAACAATTTTTAAAGAAAACAAAAAAACAAAAAGAATAAGAATGATAGACTCTGTATGTATGCAGTACCAAATAGATGACTAAAGCCTATTCTATTTGAAATAAAATCTATGTGTAATTTCCAAATATATCAACCATGTTTTAAAATATAGATTTAATCTCAATATAATCATTAAAAGAGCCGACATGGTAAAGGAGGCAGATCATGTAAATTATTTGATATATATACACGCATATATATATCAAGAAGGAAATAGCTGATAGAATAGCACTTTTTTTTTTACAGTGGTTTATACAATGTGTGTTGATATGAATTCGTTATCTATACATTACGATCTTTATGTTTATGTATATACAAGTGGTGTTATCAGATATATAAACAAAATGACAGCTCATGAAGTATTGACTATATAAGTTAAAAAGTATACATACAATACTGTATCTTTTTATTTTATATTTTGATATACAGTCAAGATACTATAAACATATATATGTCTTATTAAACAATAGACTCATTTTTTATTTATTATTATCAAGTGCATCTACAGTCATATACACAACTATTAAGTGTAATAGAGAGAAGGTAATCAAAGAATAATATAAATACAGATATATTCAATGAATCAAGTATCTTCTTTTTAAAATATTCCCGGTTCATATAAGGCTCTACTTTTATCTCGTCTTCTTTTTAAAATACATATATATGTGTGTTATTATACATTAGTAGATCCATAACACGCGTTTGGGTATTGTAAAGATCTTCCGTTTGAAATAGAGGATGTTTCACTATCCAAATCACCTTCATCTTCAATAGATATCAGTCCTTCTATTACATATCTTCTTCGTTCCTGACTTTTAGAAACGAGACGATGATGAGAATAAAGAACATAATGTTGCAATAAGAAAATTGAATCATAACCGACTACTATTAATCCAAGTCCACTATTGTAGTTTAAAGTAAGAAGAAGACTATTATTTTTTATATCTAACTTATTTAACTTACAGTTTAATATTATCCTAAATAGATACATGTATTATTTTAATAATTAAAACTATACGTGTATATATATATATATATATTAACTTACACCTTGAATGCCAGACCAATCTCCTTCGATATATGCATCCAAAAGTAATTGTATTATAGACAAAATTCCTCCTGATAAATCCTAATTGAAAGTGTTCATTTAAATCATGTGACTTTCAACATACCAGGAAAAAAAAAGTGTATTTACCCAAATAATATATTGAATACTCCATCCTTGAGTTGATTTTCTTTTATAATTTAACCAAACCTATAGATAATCATCTTTTGTTTAAGAAAAAAAAAAGGAAAATAGTGAACATGTATTATTTACCTGAGGCAAATATTTGATAAAACAAACTATAAATTGAATAAAGCTTAGATAATAGATAAAATCAAGCCAATTAGCGCCACCATAATGGATAGTAGATAGAACTAAAGCTGAGCCCATGAGAGTTAACCACACAAAGGATGCAGCAAAGGAAGATATTTTTTGATTTTCGCTTTTCTATTATTTATAGCAGCAATTCCCTTTCAATATCAAATAAACCTATTTTTTTATATATAATATAAATATATACATTTAACCTACTTTGTAAACGCATGTTTGTAATAAAATAAACAAGGATATAAAAAAACCATGAATTGAAAATACAACATCATTTATACGAACAAGATTATTTTCACTAAGTGGATGCCTTGAATGATCTATTTAAAGTCATACTTTATTTAGTTATATTCATAAATAATAGCTTGTCTTTTCTTCCTTACATTCGTCTCTAATTCCTTTATTAAAATAAAGCGCCAAGTTAAATATCTACACGAAGATGTAACACAACATAAAATAAGATTATATTTTTATCTGTCAAAAAAATCTATCCATCTTACTGAATAACAAAAGAAACCAAGCAAATTATAAAATAAGAAATCTATCGAAAGGCCACGAACACTTTGTAGATAATTCATTATTAAGTGCAACTCTCTTCAATATAATGTAAATCTACCTTTTTCTTTTCCAATTTAGAAATACTTGTGGATAAAAGCTTATAGACCAAACAAAGAAATAAGACTATTTTTTTTTTAAAAAAAAAAGTACAGAAATGTCAATTGTCAGATGCATTCAAAGAAAAAGAATTCAATTCATCAACTTTACCCAACCAATAATGTCTGAAAGGATATCTAATGTAGTTAATCGTGTCATTTGATGAACGCTAACTAATACCATATTATTTTGTTATATTCATAAAAGAAATCCAAACAAATAATTACTATAACTGTCATGCCGCTGTTACTGTTTATAATTTAACAGTGACAGGTAAAAAAAAAAAAAAAAAAAAAAAAAAAATAGTAAACTAATTTAATACATGATGACAAAATCAAAATAGCCTTTGTAATGAAAGATACTATTTATAAAGTCATATTATATAAAGAAATAATCTAATTAATTGAACTGTTTGTTTTAAACTTGGACAGAAAACTAATGGAATATTTAATCATGTAAAATGTATTCCAAATGATGTTCATGTCGTGACTTTATTAACCATTTTATAATTAACAAATAAATAAATAAACACGCGCACACACAATCTGTTCTATTTGTCTCGGAATATATAAAAGACTGTTCTATGTTGATAATAATAAAAAGACTTTGAACCCTCTTAGTCAACACGAAATTTAGTTATTAAAGCTGCTAGGATGCAATAGTGGCACACATTATCCGATAACTTTTATCTTCAACTTAAAAAAAGAAAAAGACAAGGGATAATTCATATATGAAATCAATAGTTACAGGGAGAAAAAAAAAAAAGGGAAGGAGAAGAAAAGACAAGTCATGATATCAGTGCAGACCAGTTAAGGAAAATATGAACAAAATTAACAGGTAGTACAATAATTCTAGAATTTTTTTTTTTTTTATATCTTTACTATTTCATTATGTTTACAAAAGTTTTACTTTTTGGGAATTATAACTCTATCATCTCGAGAATATATTTGCTCAAGTTTCTTTTTTATACTATTGGCGTAGTTTTCATTTTTTTTTTTTTTTTTTCGTTAAATATAAATATACATTTATTTATAAACATGAGGAGCTTTGTCTATTTGAAGGGGAGAGGTCATGTACAGTGTAAATATGTATGAGATATATGGAATGGATATATTTATAATATTAAAAGTGAAAATAGATGTAATCCTATTCTACACGAATTTAAGGTAATACACAAGTAATTTATGTATATGCAAATATCTTTACAGCTTATATGCACGCGTATATAGTAATAAATTTCGTGAATATACAAATACCTATTAGATGATATAATAGTATAAATAATATAACACTTGTAGTTAACATAAATATAAGGAGGAAGAAGAAGTAGCTCCTAACATATTATAATTGATCAAGTACATAGAATGAAAATGCTTCGAATCACTTGATCCTCAATAGTTACAGATCGGACCGATATTATTTATATTTATATTATAGCAATAGTTCTTCTTCTTGAATCAGCATTTATAAAAAGAAATACAAGGGGGCGAAAGGTAAGTAAAAGAAATCTTGTGAGTTATTCATTATACTTTAAAGTAGTTAAATCAATCTTTCCTCCTCCTTCTCCCCTTTTAGTTTTACTATTATTATTATATGCCGATTGGTATATGCGATTGACCCTAAAAAAAAAAAAAGACAATAATGTAACCAATAAATGACCTTTTCCCCACAATTCTTTTTTTTTCCTGTACAAACAAAAGAGATATGATTAAAAAAGATCCCATCACCTTTCCACCCTCCCCCTTTTTTCTTCTTCTTCATCTAATCATCCCCACCTCCTTCTTTTTAACCTCTAATATAAATACATATATAACAATTTTTATCCTTTCTTCTTTTTCTTCTTTTTTTTTATATACCTTTTTTTTTTCTTTAAAAATAATAATATACATGTCCAAAGCTTCAAATGAGAAGCCTCTTAAAAGAGTCAAAGTCACTTTAGCCTGTACTAGTTGTCGTAAAAAAAAGGTGAAATGTGATGGAGTTCAACCTACATGTTTTAGATGTCAATCTATTGGTATTTGCTGTCAATATTCTGGACATCCGAAAAAAAGAGGTCCACCTAAAGGATATGTTGAAGTCATCGAAAATCGAGCACATAGAATAAAATCAATTTTATGTCAGCAATCAATGGATAACAATTCATCATTATCAGGTTAGAGACTATCCATATATACCTCACCACTACTACCACCACTACCACTACCACCACCACCACCACTCTCCCTTCCCCCCCCCTCCATACCCTCATATATAATATATAATAGATATAAGATTCCCAACTTTATTTAATAATAATAGTTGATTACAGTCACGTTGAGAAAATACAACCACCTTTGAATTCATTATTTTGTTTAGTCACTGATGCAGCTGAAGCTGTCTTTGATCAAGAAAGGACAGCTACTAAATCAAATATACACGTACGTTAAAAAAAAAGAATAGAATAATATATATATATATATACTGTAAAGAAAGAAACAGAACACTGATAAGGTCCATTCTTTATGACTATAACTCTAGGGCAGCAATGGCATCTTGAACGCTTTTCTAATGACTGATGATGTACTTAGTAATAAGTACATCACTTTGATTTGGACCGAGAATTTCTTTAATTATTTCAATTCAATCTTTCCTATTCTTTCAAGACCTCATTTTAGTTTCCTGCTTGAAAAGAATGAATTGAATCCTTTATTGAAATTAGCTGTCTTCTTATTAGGCTGTCGTTTAAATAATGATGTAAATGACTCTAAAGATGAAAAAATGTTATATCAACAGTTGGATTATCTTTTGAACACATCTTATGATACAATACATGATCTTTCCACTGTACAAGTATGTTTGATCTCCCTCCTTTTCTTTCTCCCCCCTTTTTTTTTTTTTGCTTTTTTCTTTCTTTTATTTTATTTACTTTACACGTGCTTTTTCATTTTACTTTTAGGCAACTATTATCATGTGTTGGTATACACATCTTGCTGGTGATAATCATAAATCTGCTTCTCTTCGCTATTCAATGGCTACATTGATTCAAGAAATGAATTTAGGCTATGAAACAAATAAAACAGAAGATACACTTGATGTAGAAATGAAAAGGCGCGCCTTTTGGGTTTCATATGTAATAGATCAATGGTTATCGATTTGCACGGAGAGTGAAAGATATTTGACGGCCAATTTTAATACTAAATATCCACAATTAGAGGATAGTCAATTATTCGCTTTATTACAGCATCAACAGTCACAACAAAAGGAATCCTATGTATGCTCTCTTTCAGTCGAATCTGCACTTCAGATTAACTCATTCACTCAAATGATTCTTTTATCAAAAATCATAGGCCACTTATTGTACCACGATAAAGTGGAATCTAACTTGACCGAGTGGTTATTGCAGCTTCCGTCTTATCTCGATTACGGGAAATCAAATAATGATGTATCACCTTCACCTGTGGCCAAGTTATACCGAATCTTTTATTACACTGTTCAAATCATCATGAATAAACAAAGGAAGACGGATCTGAGTACAAGCATTTGTCTTTCCGCTGTTAATTCTATCTTTCATATCTCTGAACAAATGCTAGAACATGGACAAGAAAAGTATCTTTACAATGTCTTTTTCATATCTCTTACATTAGCTGCTACTACTACTACTACTACTGCTGCTGCTGCTGCTGCTGCCTCTATTCATACCCCAGATAGACTTGATATGTCTAAACGAATTCAACTCCTAAAGAAGTTGAACTGTAGTTTGCTATCAATGGTTGATTTTAATAGATTATTAGATTATCATTTCTTAATGAATCAACCGGATTCTAATTCGTTTCATTTTATCTATCCGTCACCTACCAATTCCTCTAGTTCTATCTCTTCTAGAGAATCTAAACAAAGTATGAACAAAAAACGTGTCTATGTTGCAGAAGAGTATACAGAGCAACCTGATGATGATGGCGGTGGCAGTGGCGACGGTATTTCTATATTTCAGCAAGACTCATTCATCGATTTTCATAAATCAGATTCTAATCAGCAACAAATGATATTAAATCATTCGGATATCCCTTCTTCTTCAATTACACAACAACAACAACAGTCATATGACCTCATTCTAAAGGACTTATTTTCAGATATAGACAATAGTACTACACATTTATCTGATTGGATCGTCTCTTCATTTGAAGCCTCTAATACATGTTCTCCAGCTTCTTATTTTACACCATCACATTCTCCTTTACTTACCTTTCATATAAAAGAAGAAGATAACTTAACTTTTAATTTGTTATCAACAGATCAACAACAACTTTTTACTAAATTTACTTCTTTATAAGCGATTAGTTTTAGTCACTCATTTCTTTTCATAATATATATAAATATGTATATGTAATTATGCTCCTATATATGCTATCAATTCTATACAATGGATCTAATCAATCTACATGCATTATATACACAATTTAATTTTATTTATTTAACGATATGGCATTTACACATAATAAAACTGTCAAACGACTTTTTTTTTTCCTTGGCATTATACGAAATGTAATATTTTGAAAAGATAGTAGTGGAATACAAAAAAAAAACTTGTTATTTTAGGAAAGAAAAGAATGACTCGAGATCCTATTGTCTCTCTTCCCTACGAAAAAAAAGGGGGGGTGTTATCTATGCAAGACCTTTATTGATCATATCAAATAATAATAGTGGGTGTTTAATTATTATTTGAATTTATAAAAGATGTCCATTATTAACAAGTTCTGTAAAAGAATCAAAGAGTTAACACATGATAAAACCATCAAGCGTCCTGCATGTAGAAAAATGATGATTTATCCTCACTTTTTTTATATACATGTATAGCATAATAACAACAGAGACATGCCTTTTGCATATATAAAAATGACTAATAAAGAATGTATTACTTATATTTTCGCTTTAATTCCTTCATTATTCTTATAGAGATCATCAAAAAAAAAGTCCTTAAAACTATACTTTGGTTACAAGTCTATTGCCCAATAAAAAAAAAATTAATATAAAATCTGAAACTAGGTATACTACTACTGTCAAGAAATAGGTTGCACCTTATTTGGAAGGCTAAACGAAAATTAAACTCAAATATGACTTTGAAGAAAAAAAAAAAAAAATAGAGGCACTTGTAGGATTATGGCAGACAAAAATATTTATTAGCTTGAAAAGCCAAAAAAAAAAAAAAAAAAAAATAATAATTCCGGGTCGGACTTACTTTAATGCTTAGAGTGTCTATACAATAAAATGTAACTTCTTGAGAGGTCAACATGAATCCTCCTCTTTTTCATACATCTCAATATGGTAAAGTAGAACACGCTATAAATAAATATAAAGGAAAAAAAAAAAAGATAATAGATCATCAATACAATACAAATGTATAAAGGATGGGAGAAAATAGAACAAATTAGATGGATGATTATTGAAATGGATAGATGTTCAATTTTCAAAATCATGATTTTTTTTTTTGTTCTGAGTGTAGAATGGAAAAAATAGAAATAAATATTTATACATAGTTGACAAGATGATCTATCAAAATCGCAATTCAATAGATGAATTCAATGAAATGTATTCTAATTCTTTTTATTATTGATTTTGTAAAATTAGGCTCCTACCAAGAAGTCTGCCGGTAAGAAGGTTGCTCCCGCTCCCTACCCCATCAAGAGTAAGCAAGCCCCTAAGGTTGCTGCCAATCCTTTGCTCGAAAAGACCCCCAAGAACTTCGGTATTGGTCAAGATGTCCAACCCAAGCGTGATGTTTCACGTTTCGTCAAGTGGCCCAAGTACGTTCGTCTTCAACGCCAAAAGAAGATCATCTACCAACGTCTTAAGGTCCCTCCTGCTATCAACCAATTCACTCAAGTTTTGGATAAGAACACTGCTACTCAACTCTTCAAGTTGATGCACAAGTACAGACCCGAAAGCAAGACCGAAAAGCGTGATCGTCTCCGTGCCATTGCTGCTGCTAAGGCTGAAAAGAAGGAAGTCCCCAAGACTGACAAGCCTATGGTTGTCAAGTACGGTATCAACCACATTACCGCCCTTGTTGAAGCTAAGAAGGCTCAATTGGTTGTCATTGCCGATGATGTTGATCCTATCGAATTGGTCCTCTGGCTCCCTGCCCTCTGTCGTAAGATGGGTGTCCCTTACTGTATCGTCAAGGGTAAGGCTCGTCTCGGTGCCCTCGTCCACAAGAAGACTGCTACCGCTCTTGCCTTGACTGATGTTGCTGAAGCTGATAAGGCTGAATTGGCTACCCTCGTCTCTGCTGTCAACGCTAACTTCACTGAGAAGTGGGATGAAAACCGTCGTCACTGGGGTGGCGGTATCATGGGCCCCAAGTCCAACGCCAAGATGGCTAAGCGTGCTGCTGCTGCCGCTAAGGAAATTGCTGCTCGTCAATAAACACATTATTTTTTAGATAATAAAAATAATAACTAAACTTTTATAACAATTACCCTAAATTGAAGTTTTATATATGTATATATATATGTGTGTGTATGTTTGTTAATGATACTCATTCATAAGAGGAGGATTTGAATGAAATAATAAAATAGATCATAAATTACACTTGATAATCAGGAACGAAGTCAATATTTCGTCTTTTTTTTTTTTTTGGATAATATCTAGATAATTACAAGCAGCTGCTAATGATAGACTTGAGCAACGAGATCATTTCAATTTTGGTTGAGGGGGGGGGAGGGTAAAAGAAAAAGAAAGTATGATATTATTACACTGGATGAAGAATTTTTCACATACTATTATGTAATAGACAAGCTTGCCCTGTTATCCTTTTGGTAATAAGATGTGCAAATATAAAAAATAACATAATGATTCAGCTGTGATTATGTAATAATTTTTTTAAGAAAAAAAAAAAAAAAGAAAATTAGGCTGAGATAGAATTTTTTTTTCGCATTCATTCAGGTATTTTCTAGATACGTTATTAAGCTTATTAGTAATAAATTATCTAATTTAGAATGAGCAACCGATGTCGGTCCACTTCCATGTCAAATAAAATTCATAACAAAATCTTAAAACTGTGATATGGAAAAAAAAAAGTCATAAAATATAATATACTCTAAATAAATAATAATAATAATAAAAACGCACACACATCTAATAATGATTTAGGCTGCTCGTATATAATTATCAAGTATGAGATAATGTAATATATTGAGAAAAAGATACTAAAAAGATATTCAAGTCTTCATTTGGAAAAATTAGCCCCAATATTCTAAAATAACGGTTTTACAATCTTCTTGGCTAATAACATTTACTACTATAAAATAAAAAATGGTAAAGCTTATAATTACCGCCATATAACATTCTTTATCAATATGCACTATAATTATAAAGATAGGTAAATAAGGTGTTACTGTGATAATTATTATTGGCGTTATTTGCAAAAAAAAAAGAGGGGGAGGGGGAGAGAGGAAGTTGTTGATTTGACCATACACAAGTTGAAGGGTAGTAAAACCTAGAATAAAGAGAAAAAATAGTGTTGCAGTTGCTCATAAAGTAAATGCTAAAAAAAAACGTACAAGATGGGCATTCTCTTTTGTATGTAAATAGTATCATGAGCACTCTAGTTCCTTTCTGAACAATCGGTCAATACCTTATTATGAATTATGTTATCATCCATCTATTTTTCTTGTTATTCTTTTTTTTTCAAGATACATGATTAAGCAGTAATTATCTCTTATTATTGTTAATAATTTACAACTTGATTCTTCCCCCCCTTTAATAAATTGTATGTAAAGAAGAAGAAGGATCAAGAAGACTAAGTATACCGAGGAAAATATTTTCCAGTAGGGCATAGATCTTTAAAAGTAAACAATAGACAATTTTACCAAAATTATTTGTAAACATTTACATAGAATCCATTTTTGATAGAGATTCATCATAAAAATAACCCAATCCGCCTTCTGTAAATCAATGCACGACTGTTTAAACATTACTCATAAAAAAAAAACTTGAACGTGCCTTTCTTCTTTTTCTATTCAAAATATCATTCCTATCTTTGAAACTTTTTGTAAACACTACTTCAGTTAGAGTAACAAAGTATTCGTGAAATAAAAATAAAAAAAAAGCGATAAATCAGTAAAGTTATGTTGACGGGTTACGCCCATAACTGATAAACTGGGATAGTTTTATTTAACTACTACAAATTTTGTTATAAATCATAACTTGGATTGAATTTGAAGCCAATGATGTTAATCTTCTCGACATCGATTGAACAAGTGTAGCTACAAATCTTCCCTATACACCTTTTTCTTTAAGAAAAAAAAAATAGAATCGAGGAATTTTAAACAAAAAGGGATTAATTGGTTAAAAATAGCACACAAATACGTTGTGTAACCAAAACATGTGAATCAGCTACTACTCCTAATAAAAAACTGTCAAAGTTAAATTGATAAGCATACAGAAATAGAAGATATTCTATGTATTTGATCCTGCAATCTCACCTAGGCTATGCCTTATCTTGAAAAGAAATGAGCGATCTGACTCATTCCTCTTGATTCCTCTACTTCTTCTCCACCACCTCCACCACCACCAACAACAACTAATAACACTGACACCTCCTAGTCCATTGTTTGAATGGTTATCTCACTTTACCTCTCCTTGAAACGATTTTACTATTAATTCGTTTTTTTTTTCTAGTAAATATACAAATGGATGTATAATATTTCCTCTAGCTTTTGTCCTTCTTCTTTACTTTTCTTATCTGTGTCTTAATGTGCTTATTCTCTATTCACTATTTTTTTTTTCTTTTCTGAACTCACTAGGGCATAAACTACACGCTTATTGGTCTTGAAAAGAGTAAAACATATCGTTATCATATATACGAGATTAGCTGAATAATTATCAGTTGCTGACACTTATCTTTTCCCAGTCCCAAAAGTCTTTTTTTTTTTTTTTTTTGAAAAAAAAAAAGCGGGCTTCTAAATCATATATATAATGAGCTTGTGAAATTGTAATTCGACATCTTTCATTTCTCTTTTAAACACACAAACAAAAAAAAAGAAAACAAGAAAATCAAGAAAACAAGAAAATAAGAAAGAATAAAATGGTGGAAATACAATCAAGGATTTATAAAAGTGAATTCGATTCTGTTGAAGATGCCCTTAAGGATTTTGGTAAGTTTTTATTTCCGAGATTCCATTTACTTGTAACTCATTGCCTGTACATGTTAATGTATACATACATACATACATAAAAAAAAAAAGCTGAAAACAAGTTTGTCATTGTGATGGATAACGAGGATCGAGAAAACGAAGGAGACTTGATTATTGCAGCAGAAAAGATTACAACAGAGCAAATGGCTTTTTTAATTCGTTATTCAAGGTAAGCAGAGAAGACAAAGATATAAGGGGGGGGAAGGAGGGAGGAAAAAGAAAAAAAAAAAAAAAAACTAAAATATTAAGTATAGTGGTTATGTCTGTGCTCCTACAACAGCTGAACGTTTAAACGAACTTAAATTGCCATTAATGGTAGAAAAGAATACAGAACTAATGAGAACAGCTTATACTATTTCTTGTGATTATGCACATGGTACAACAACAGGTATCTCTGCTCATGATAGAGCTTTGACATGTCGTAAGTTAGCAGATCCCAATAGTCGACCAGACGATTTTATGCGTCCTGGACATATCCTTCCTCTTCGTTCTGTTCCTGGTGGTACCTTTAATCGTTTTGGTCATACTGAGGCAGCCGTTGATTTATGTCAATTAGCAGGGCTTGCACCTGTTGCTTGTATTGGTGAATTGGTAAAAGAAGATGATATTGAAGGAAATATGGCAAGAAGAGATGATTGTTTTGCATTTGCTAAGAAACATAATATTAAAATGATTACGATCAAGGATATCATTGCTTATAAAAGATTACATCAGCAAAACGTTATATAATAACTTAGAAACGAAAAAAAAGAAAAAAATTAGAGGAATTGTGTAATAGTATTGGTAATAAAAAATTCCTTCCATATATAATTATAATAAAGATGTATTCATATTTTGGTTGTTGTATTTGTTTATCATATGTGTATTATGTAATACTATTTTTTTTTTTTAAAAAAAAATCTCTATAAAAATAATTCATGTCCTCTAGCTTGTGCATATTGCTTTCTTGAAAGTGAATGCTTAGCAACTTCTACATCTGTTTTAATATCTCTTATTAAAGCATCTATAATACAGGCAATTAGGTAAATCATTCATAACTATAAAAGTTTTTTTTTTCTTTACCAAGGGAAGGATAATTTTGCTCTGGTCTAATATAGCCTAATACTAATACACGAATAGGTGCATCATAAAAATCTTCAGGAAATTCATGAATGACATGTACTTCCTAAATACAAGTTGTATAATATTATTATTTTATTCATAATTTTCGAGGGGAGGGGGAGGGGGGAGGGAAATACTTACAGCAGATCTCTTATCATTTTTAAAATAAGGATTCCAACCTAAGCTCATGACCATTGGATAAACTTCACTGCCTGATTCACCGATTTGAGTCCAACCATAGTAAACACCAGTCTCAAGTCCAGAGACTAATGCATTAATAGCCTCATCTGATAGATTAGCTTTTTTAAAAAAAAAAAAAGAGAGAGAGAGAGAGAGAGAGAGAGGGACCATAAGTTTAACATGTTATAACCATTTTATATAATTGTTATACCTGTTGGAATGCCTAACTGTTTTGAACCTCTACCATAACCTTTAATAACAGTTCCTTGTAAAGCAAAAGGAAAAGGCTGCACAGGTGTTTCAGGTCCCACTAAAAGTGGACGATCAAGGTTAATGTCAAGTTGTTTATTTTCTATAGACATTTTAAAATAAATAAATGTATATATTTATAAGGAAAAAAAAAAAGAAAAAAAAAAGTTTATATGCTGCTGTAGTATTTTATTCGCTGTCTTATAAGATTTTCGTCGTTTTTTCTTCTTTAAATAATTTTACTTTCAATTTTTCACGGTGATAATCACAAATGTCTTGATGATTATGTTCGATATCTTCTAAAGAAGTAGGCAGCTGCTGATTGTTACAAATTAAATCTAAATGTAATAATGGTAATTCCCAATTTGGATTCTTCTTTTTTGCTTTAGCAATACATTCTTTAAGCCTTTCTTTAACTTTAGGAGAAGGATCAATAGATAATTCAACTAAAGTAGTCTTCATTGAATGTTATATAACTACAACACAACGTTTTTTGCTGACTTGTATATATATTTACTTGTATACCTCAATTTTATCTCGTATCTTTTGAACATTTGGATTTATATATTTGTTGCTTTGCAAGTTTGTTAGTTCTTTAGAATTAAGATGTGTTGGATTAGAGTTGTCGTACTCTGTTGTTATAAACTCTTTTTCAAAACGCTAAAAGAAAAAAAAAAGTATCAATGAAAACAATGTTATAGTGAATAGTAGTAAATTTACTTTAAGTCTCTCGACTAATTTTCGATTATCAATAATGCTATCATAATTAGTTTGTAGTTGTTCTTTTAATACATTATTATCGTCTATTTCTTCTTCTTCTTCTTCTCGGTTAAACTGATATGAAGAAAAGGGTGATAACTCATCATTATGTCTTGCTAACTCTTCTTCTGTTAACGTAACATTACAATGGATGGGTTCTGAAACTGATGATTTAAGTGTTGAATCGCATGCTAAATCGTATGATCTGTAAATAACTATTCTTATTCATTGATTAATCCCTTTCCTTTGTTTTTGTTTTTTTTTTTTTTTTTTTTTTTTTTTTTTTAGAAAAAAAAAATAATGTTCTCTTACTATCTGACCTTGATTGATTTGAAGGGTCAATTGATTCAAGAGAAGATATAGAAAAAGTTGAATCTCCATCTATACTCGGATGATTAATACTTTCTTGGTCAATGTATTTATAATATGTATAATCTTTTGAATTGACAGACATAATATGGTAAAAAAAGAAAAAGAAAAAGAAAAGAAAACAATGAATATATAGCAAGCGGTAAATGTAATGTACACCAAATGTATGCACACACACACACACATGCATAAAAGGGGGATTTCAAGTAAAATTTTATTAATAATTGTAACGATATCTATTAGTAGGTGGCATTACAGCATGATGAAATGCAGGCATTGGATGATGGTAATAATCAACCGGAGAATAAGGTCTATAGTGTCTTTGTACATAATATCTTGGACCTCTTCGTTGTTTAGACGGATAATCATAATTACTACAAAAGCCACTATCAAGAAAGTCGTTTTCATAAACCTCATCATGATTGTCTATTTCATCATAGTAATCATCATAAATAAGAGAGGTTCTAGAGGAGGAGGTATCTCTTCCTACAGATCTACTACGTCTAGGTTTTATGTAGATTGGTTGTTGCTGCTGCTGCTGCTGCTGCTGCTGCTGTTGCTGTTGCTGCTGCTGTTGCTGTTGATATAGAGTAACAGGAGATTCAGTGAATTGTGAATTGAATGGCAACATGATAACATTATCATTATTCATATAACGATATTCTTCTCTATAAGAAGGTGACTCATTGGATAAAGCCCTGGGTCTATTTGTTGTTCTCTTTCTAGACAATGTTGTCTTTGAAGGACTTTGTTGTTGTGGCTCATTATTAAGTTCTCTATGAGAACGATGATGAGTTTTATGACTAGCGCTACTATTACGTCTTGAACGAGGAGAACGTTTTCTGCTATTGTTCATCCTTTCATCATTCATAACTTCCTTGTTATTCGCATTTTGCTGTTGTTGTTGTTCTTCAGGTGTAGCCGTATATTGATAATGAAGGTAGTCTTCTGATCTACTTTTATTTAACATTTTCTCTTTTGCTAATGATGATTGCTCATTCTCCTCAATTAACGTATATTGCTTATTTGCCCTCGATTTTCCTATGACTTTATCTGACTTTGTTTCATTCTCTTGTTGCTGCTCCAATAATTGCTGAAATTGTTGTTGTTGTAATTGCTTTTGATAGAGCAACATTTCTTGCTCTTTTGCCTCTTTATCTTTCAGGGCATTCGTAAGTTGACCTTTAGTCTCTATAAGTGTTTCAATCATTTGATGTTGACGATCAAGAATTTCGAGTTCCTTTCTCTTCCATTTTTCTTTCTCCATCAAATGTTGTTTCTCCAACTCTTCAACCTGTTTCTTTAATTCTTGCAGTAGTAAGAGATTATCATTTTGTTCCTGTTGTTTTTCCTCAAATGCATGATGATCGTATTTAGGTGAGGAAGAAGGGAAGGCAGAGGAAGAGGAAGAGGAAGAGGAAGAAATGATTTTTTGTATAGTCTCATTTTGATATTGATTATGTAAAAGAGGTGTAACTGTAGCAGAAGAAGCAACAGTAGATGATCTCTTTGAACGTTGTTGAGTAGAAGGAGCATCTAGACTATTTATATTCTCTTGTTGCTGCTGATAGGATGGTTGATTTTTAAAAAGTAAAATAGGATTAGACATGATTTCATCCTTTTCACTAACTAAAGATTCATTTGCAGATTCGTAAAGACGATTAGAGTCATCACTCGTCTCAGTTGATTGAGAACTTGTTTTTAATTGTGTTTCCTTTTTGTGTGAAACTGGTTTAAGAATGTGAGATAAAGCAAAGTCTATTATTATACAAGAATTACATATATATATATATATAATGTACAAATAATCTATCTATCTATATACCTTCTTGTGATGTCGGAAGTAATATAGGTGGTATTTCTTCTTGTTGCTCATTCGTTGACTCATTATCCTCTTCTTCTACTTGAGTTTTATCTGTATCAAATCTATCTTGAATGATAGCTCTTGTGGGGGTAAAGACTCGCTTTGGTTTAGGCATAATAATTGGTGGAGGCGAATATCGAGTTGAAGCGAGTGTAGTAGGCGTTATTAAACTACTATTGTTAGTTATAGTTACTGGAATAGTATTCATGCTTGGTTGCTCCTTTTTTATAGGTGAATCATACATATTGAATGATTCTTGCTGAGCCATCATTGTTCTTGTTAAATTTTTATCTGATTTTTTCTTTTTAAATATTTTTAACATTTTTTGTGTTTTAAGAGGGAAAAAAAAAGAAGAAAAAAGGGCTAAAAAGGAAGAAATATAAATAAAAACAACATTGTGTCCAATTCAGGAATATAATGCACTCTATGTAGTACAACACATAATCATTTTTCAGTAATGGTTCATATAAAAAGAAAAAAAAATACTATTCCGAAAATTTTAACTTGGTGGCCTCCTCCTCCTCTTTACTTACATAAACTATAAAGAAGAAGAAAATGGTATGCACATACAATTGTTATTTTTAGGAAGTTTATACATAATTGTATTTGCTACGATGAATTTAAAGTGATTTATAGCTTTTTATTATTATTATCTATGTAGTATTCTGCTCTTTGTCTACAGTGGAGAGTACTGAGCAGATGAACATTGCAGAGGATTTAAAACAGTATAAATTACATAATCAAGTAAATACAACTACTTCATACAAGTAGATCAAAAAGAATAAATACTATATGAGAAGAGGTTTTTTTTTTCTCTCAATGTGCTTAACATGGATTCCTGAATCAAAATAATTTTATAAAAAAAATATAGATGTATATATGACTATCCAAGTATAAATTGCGCTTTTCCTCCTTATAGGAAGCTAAGATACTAATTAACTTGATATCCATTATTTTTAAAGTTGTAGCATCGATTTATTTGAGCACATGAATATGAACGGAATCAGTGTTAAAAAGGAATCTAATGTGATAATAGTAGCCGTAGTTTTCTTTTTTTTTTTTTTAATACGAGGATGTCATCAATGTTAAAGATTATGTTGACTATAATCAAAAATCATCATTTTTATAAGGAAAAATTAGCTTTTACTTACTTGGTGTATCAAATAGGAATCGTTAAAAGCAATTATTATTATATATTGAGACCTTCTATTCAGCCAAAAAAATTACCTTGTGCTACTGCAATGATGTCAGGTCTAATCAGTAAAGTAGGTTTCAATTATAATATTATTTTCTGAGCGGAAGGGAAATGTCTCTCTACACTATTCATATTCATGTTATTCTATCAAAGGAAATACTAAATAAACAATACGTGACTTCCACGGCACTTGTACTACAATAGTTATAAACTTTAGAATCCATCCTCTTTTTTTTTTCTTTTTTTTTTCTTGGAATCCTTATAATGTAGAGGTGGGTACATTCTGATTATTATTATTATTTTCCTTCTGCAGTGCTACCGAGTGCTCGAGGTATTCCCTATCGTAAGTGTTACTTTAAGGGAAGTTGTTCCCCTTACCATTGAACCATCATTTCACCACGAAGATTTGATGATAAGCACTGAATTATGCAAGACACACTATTCCTAATATAAGCATCCCATTTACAGCTACATTCATTTTCTTCATAGATCATCACTTGGTCTACAGAAATGCGCCATTCTTTTTTTTTTCTTTTGATCAAGTTATTTTATTTATAGTATATAAACCTGTTTTATAACTTGTCAAGTCAAATTGTGGTATATCAAAAAAAGATTAAACCAAAAAAAAAAAAAAAAAAAAAAAAAAAAAAAAAAAAACTCGTTCAATGCATATTGGATCTATTTCATTTTCCCCTTTTCTATAACAATATAAATAACACACAAGTAGATAAGCTTTTATTATATTTATTTATTGTTAACGTACATGTTAATATTAAATACATCATCAGATTTGTTTGGATTAAATAAAAAAAAATTGTTTTTAGATCAAAGATAAAATATGATTCAAGGAAGCTTTGATAAAGATGTGACAGTAACGTAAATGATTTAAATAATAAACGAGTTTATGAAATAGTTAACTAACGACGACTAAATTCAAAGAAGAGCATCAAGACATGTACATTTGGGTTTAATGTATGTGTGTAGTATTTCTTTTTTTTTTTAATAAAGATAAAATAAGTTTGATTAGAAGCAAGTCATTTTAAGTAAAGTAGACTTTATATTCTTCCGACAAAGTAACAGCAGTTTTTTTTTTTTTTTTTTTGGGAAATGACAAGGCTATCAGAATAAAAATGTATTATAACCATGTGAACATAGATGATATTAATTAAAAAATATCTGTGGTTGGTAAGACGACTAAAGAAACAAGTCACCAATCAGAGTGGATCTGGAGGATTCTTGTCCCTCCTTTCGGGTGTGGCAGAGAATAAAATAAAATAATAAACCCTTTGATCCCCTTACATTATTTGATTCATAGTCAAAGATTTTCATGAGAAGTAGCAAAGAATTTTGGTAATCAAAATCTGTGCGGATATTTAATTTTATTGTTATTAGGTTATATATAACTTTCTTCCATTCACCCACAATTTATGAATTTAATAACTCGGAGATTTAAAATTTAAATAAGAAAGATCGACAGAAATCTACTAAAGTAAATGCCTACTTTTTTTCTTGTTTTTTTTTTTCTTTTTAATCGTTAATGGGGATCTCAACTACTGATACACTAAAATTTAGTTGTATAATCACGTTTGTCTTGATAGGTCTAGCCTCTCTAAGTCGTTTTATATATAGTATGAACAATTCATTTTAAAATTTGAATTAAGTCTCATTTGGTATGCATAAATTATTATTATTTTTTTTTAGATGCCAATGATCAAACTAGATGTGAAAGTCTATTAAACGAAGGATGGTGGATTACTGATGCATATAAACAATGGCAACCTGCTAGTTGCATGATGCACACCTACAAGTCAACTGAAGTTTCAGACTGTCTTGGTTATTCAAATATTGTTTATATAGGTGATTCTATTGTTAGGCAACAATTCTTTGCGGCTGTTCAACTTATTCGACCCAATATAGACATATCCGGAGAGCCACATGTGAATCGAAAATATGTGTTTGATAAAGAACGTATAACGATAGAGTTCTTTTGGGACCCCTACTTAAATGAGACCAGAATAGACAAGCCTACAGGAAATCCTAGTTTATTGGTAGTTGGAACAGGGGCATGGCAAATGCGATATTTAGGGGATGATTATTTTGAATCATGGAAGGCCAGTATGAATAGAGTATTTAATGCGGCACAATCCAGCAAGATAGCAGATGCGTTATTAGTGAGTCCTGTTGAGATACCTGATTATGTTCATTTATCCCCTGATCGTACTGCGACCATCACGATGGATAAGATTGAGAGAATGAATAGTTATTTAAAAGAATTTCAATCTTTAAGGGCAAAGACACGGATTGGTATACCATTCGTTTGGAATCAAGTTAGTACGAGTGCAAGAAATATGACAGTAGATGGATTACATTATAATGATGCTATCACCTTTATTCAAACCCAAATTGCTCTAAACTTTCGATGTAATGATCAAGTTTTAGAAAAGACATTTCCTATGGACCATACCTGCTGCTTTAGTTATCCATTTCCCAAGTGGTATCAAATTCTATTTATCGCTTTCTTTTTTATTTATCTTCCATTAGGCTTTCTTTTCAAACATACTAGTTTAGAAGGTAAGTTTAAGTTTGATTTTAATGAAGATGGAAATTATAGTAATCCATCCCTCAACAGCCTTCAACGTATTATTTCCTTCAAAGAAAGTATTGAATGCATTCTTTGTATTTGGTTTATGTGTCATGTATATGTATTACAGTGATCGAACTCAACTCTTTGGTAAAATTCAAAAGCATTTTAGTCCTAGCGTATTTACAGGCATCATGATTTTATTAAGTGTGATTGGTTTATTTAAATTGGAGCACAATAAGGATGGTGGTGGTGGTGGTGGTGGATTCTTGAATCGTCAACAAACAGAAGAATGGAAAGGTTGGATGCAAATCATTATTTTGGTTTACCATTTTTGTGGTGCTTCAAGTATATCAGGCATTTACAATGCAGTACGTGTCCTAGTAGCTGCTTACCTCTTTCAAACTGGCTATGGACACTTTTTTTTCTTTTACAAGAAAGCTGATTTCGGTATAGGCCGAGTATTAAATGTGATGGTGAGACTCAACTTTTTAACATTTGTGCTTCAGTACTTGATGGATACGGATTATCTTAGTTATTATTTTACACCATTAGTATCGTTTTGGTTCTTTGTGATCTGGATAACGATGTATATTGGACATGGGTGGAATAAGAAGTCTATCTTTATAGTGGCTAAAATAGTCATTGCATGTTGTTTAACAACGTCTTTTATACATGTACCTGGAGTGCTCGAGACTGTCTTTGATGTATTTGAAGTATTAATGAATGTCAAATGGAATGCAAGTGAATGGCGTTTTCGATTAGGGTTAGATGCTTATATTGTCTATGTGGGTATGTTGTGTGCCCTTGGGTTTATAAAGATAACAGAGTATCAAGTTTTAAAGCATCGATACTGGAATGTCATACGACAAATCACATTATCTGCTTCCGTACTTGCAATGATAGGCTACTTTTGGTATGAACTAACACGCGAAAATAAGTTTATCTACAACAGAACACATCCTTATCTTAGTTGGATTCCTATCCTAGCCTTTGTATTTTTACGCAATGGTAATGCTTATCTGCGTATGACCTACTCTAAGGCATTTGCATTCATGGGTAGGATTTCATTAGAGACCTTTATTGGACAGTTTCACATGTGGTTAGCAGGTGATACAAAAGGATTATTAGTCGTATTAGTAAAACCAACGTGGGTCAAGGGGTTTGGGTGGTGGATCAATTTAGTGATCAGTAGCTATTTATTTATTTTCGTTTGTTATTATTTGAGCCAGAGTACACATGAGATATCAGGATGGATTTGTAATTTTATGATGCATTCAAATAAGAACGAAGAGAGAACAAAATACCAAACTGTACCCCTTTTGCCCGTCAAAACAGAAGATAATAATAATGCAGAACAAGGACTTGACTCTGATGAATTTTCTAAAGTAGAAGAAGAAGAAGAAGAAGTATGGGGAACTTCAAATATGAAAGAAGAGAAGAAATCAACATGGATTATAAAAATATTAAATGATACCCGAATGAAAATTCTTTTATTTATAATTTGTGTCGGTGTATTGAATCATTTATGCTAATAATAAAAATAATACTTTTCCATTTCTCCTCCTCTCCCCCGGACCGAAAATTGTATCATGGTCGGACAATTACCGAGATATATGTTTTGATTTTTTTTTTTACATTGTGCTGTATATGACTAAGATAGCAAATCATGAAGTGATAAATCCTCCTCTTCTCGCATATATCGCTAGTCGAAATGGTAAGGATAAAGGAAGATATTCATTAAAGAAGGAAACAGAAAAAAAAGATGGATTAATGTGTGACAGATGAAAAGAGAGAGTGAGAGTAAAAGAGCTTAAAAGGAAACCACCAATTATATGGATGTGATGGATAAACGAAAAAAAAAAGAGAGAGAGAGAGAGATGGAGAAAACTTACAAAATTCAGATGATGATCTAGATTTCTAATTTAATCTTCATGCACATGTGTGTGTATACATGTATTTTTATTTTATTTTGAATAGCCTTCTCAAAAGTCTTTCATCACCAAAGTCAAGCTTGGCAAGGCCAAGAAGCAAAACCGTCCTTTGCCTCACTGGTTCCGTATGAAGTCTGACACTAAGATTCGGTATGAAAGCATTTTTTTTTTTTTTTTATTTCGATATTTTTTTTTGAACTGATTTATTAATCACATTCTCCCTCTTTTTTTTTTTGCTCATAGTTGGAATGCCAAGAGACGTAACTGGCGTCACACCAAGTTGAACATCTAAGTTCACATCATTCTCGACTCGACTTGTTTTTCTTTTTTTCTTTGAAGAGGGAAAATAATAAACAAAAAGGAAGAAATACTCCTTCATTCCTGAGTTTTTTTTTTTCGAAAATGAACCTTTATTTTTTGACGTCAAATGAAATGGAATGCTATATTTTTTTTCACTTTTTAATTATTTGTTTAGACTGTATGATTTAGAGTAGAGATATAAATGTATATATTTGTGTGTGTGTGTGTGTGTGTATGTATGTGTATGTATTATTTATGAATACATAAATAGCACAGAATAATGAAACGCGTATAAGCTTTTTTTTTGATAAAATTAATAAAGTATAACAAGCACAAAGTTATAGATTCTGCACATAAGATTCATGTAAATATTCATTGTCTTGTACATAATAATATACTTTATCTTTGTAACTTTATAAAGAATATCATGAGATGATGTAAATATGACAGAAAGGGAGAAGGGGAGATGATGTATGTGCATACAAGTCATTGTTATAAACATCTGTTTTCTTTTCATTAATATAAAGTTTGTTTGATTCTATTTCTGTAATCTAAGCTTATCTCTTCTATATTAAAATACTAACATAAAGAAAATCTTAAAATTGTATGTAAATAATCTCTTATTCTGGTATGATCCGCATGTATAAAAAAAAAAATTAGGGGGTAATAATAAAGGACAACTATAGAAGAGCTTCTAGGCCCTGATGATCAACATAACAAAATGATATTAATAAATACACGTCAAAAATAAAACCATAATACCATTAAACAAAGAAGCAGTATACATGTGCTTATATTTTGTAAATAACCTCCTTAATACTTGATATAAATATATACAAATATATGTATATGTATGTGTATGTGTATGTATATATATATATAGCTTGTCTTTTTTTTTCATATAATTCTAAATTATATATATTCTTTCTCTCTCTCTCTCTCTCTTTTTCTCTCTCCTATATATCTATTCTAGCATATATAAGAAATGGGTTATTTTGACTGCTATATAAATCAATATTACAACAACAACAGTGATACATCTAATAAAGTACATCATGTTAATATGGCATACGCTATTAAGCCATTAAACTTACAAGGTGGACAATGGTAAGTAAACAAAACATACAATATAGAATACATATAGGGTTATTTAAACATCTATATACATATATAGTACTTGGTGTGGTAAATACGGTCATAAAAGAATATCATGTCCATTACTAAAATAAGTCTTGACATATTTATATGTAAATATTATTTCTTTTTTTTTACACGTTCTTTTCTTTAATTCCTCTCCTTCTATTACTACTGTACTCTTTATATGACCAACATCTTTAATATTCCACAACAAATACGCGCACTTTGTTTATTAAACAAACAAAAAAAAGCATATACTATGTATTAACAAAGAAGCTTCCTTTATGTTTATGTTTTATGCTTTATTTTTTGTATACTTTCTCCCTCTTATTCTTTCTTTAACAAAAAGTTATAAATACATATATATTTTTTTTTCGAATTAAAATGCATTTTTTGATAATTATATCTTTATAGTCCTATAAAGAAGGCCATATTTTTTTTTTTTTTTTTTTTTTTTTTTTTTAGGAGAAAATAGCTTTCTTGGTTTTTTTTTTTTTACTATTAATAAATGTGGATCCCCTTTTTTTTTTTTTGTTGGCTAAAATAATTTACACAAAAAAACAGCGATCAAATTCTAAAAAAGAATATTTTTTCTTTTTTCTGTATGGATGACAGAATAGAATCAAGATTAGAGGTTGGTAAACGACCTTCACGTCAACGTCGTCATTTACCTATACCTATGACTTCTGCAACACAAACGAGTCGCACGATTCAAACTAAACATGATGTACCTTTACTTGACATGTCCCTTAATGAAACAAATGCAACCGCCACTACAGAAAGTCAACCACTCGTCCATGTTGCTCCTGTGATCAATAACCGTAAAAGGAAACAAAATGGAAAGAATAATAATGTTCTTGATAAAAAAGTAGATACCCCATCTTTACATCCTAAAGAAAGAGCTCGTCAATTTGTAAAAGAGGCTACAGTTAAAAATGATAGAAAGAGAAAACGACTGATTTGGATTCTAAGTATAATTTGGATGATGTTTATTATCTATCGTATTTATAACAGAGTAATTCTCAATCTAAGCTGGAATTTTTTCTTTTTTTCCTGACAAGACAATGATTTTCTAAAGTGGGCGAGAGGGTTTATTACCGTAACTCATTAATCCCGTATATTATGTGTATATATAATGGACTTGACAATTAAATTTATTATTAAATAAAAGTTTAAAATTTTTTGAAATATCAATTAGAGTTATTTGAAAAAAAAAAAAAAAAAAAAAAAAAAAAAAAAAAAAAAAGAGTTTAGAGCACATCATTGCAATATTTTCAACTGTAGACATGTTAAACATATAGTATTCCTAGTAAACAATACTGAGCTATTTGACTTGGAATAATAAGGCAGTAAGACAAAAAAATAAGTTATATTGAAATATGCCGCTTCCTTTTTCTTTTCTTTTCTTTTTTTTTTTAGCTTCCTATTATTCTCACTTATAAGCCTAACCCAGGCGATTTTTTTTATATAATCAAGATCTTTATTTTTTTTTATTATACAATAAATAATCGAATTGATCAAGCTTATAAATATTTTAAATGGTATCTTTTGAGAAGGGATGGTATTGTTGCTGTTGTTGGTTGAGCATTTTAATTTCACGAATCTTTAACATCATTGAACCATAATTATCATAATAACGTTTTAATTCAGTCACATTTAATGTTATATCCAGTGAGAATAAATGAATTGGATGTATTAAGCCCTGATAGGATTCCCATCTATCCTTTTCATACGCTGACATTATATTATTAGTGTCAACGATTGCCTTTTCATCTATTGTATAGCCATATCCTTGCCATAAAATAGTCATGCTATCTTTATTGTACACTATCTCTAATGTATGATCATATTCTATTGATTGCACTTTTTTCTTCTTTTGCCCTTCTTCTTCTTCTTCCTCTGAATGAGGTTTGTCGTTGTTTGCTACTAACACGCCACCCAACGATTCTGAAAGCTCCGAGGTAACTAAAACTGGGACAAGCATGTTACCCTCTTTCGATGTCATACTATGTGGAGCTGCATATAAGACAGATGCTAAAGAATGTCGAATAGAACGACGAATATCCTTTATCTCTGCTGTTTGAATCGTCTTATTCGTTGATTTTACATAAAGACTTTTTGATTTTTGAGATCGTCTACTTTGATGATGTGGCTCTTTATCATAGTCTTTTGAATCACCTTTTGTTGATGTTTGTTGCTTTGGAACAGAGTTATTGTTATTAAAAGAAAACGCTCTTCCAAAACTAGCAAAGGAAAATCGTTTAGGTTTTATTGATTCCATAACAAAAAAAAAAAGAAAAGAAAGGAAAGGAAAAGAAGGGGAGTAAGTTGTTTTAAAGAGTGATGATGATGATGAAGGAAAACTTTTTTTTTTTCGCTGAAGTGGTATATCGTGTAACACTTTGTTTTACTAAATTAATGTAATTATAACGTGATTATTGGTTTGTTGCATGTGCGAATTCAGGCACTTTTTTTTTTTGTGCTGTCTGTTAATAGATGTATTATTATACATTATTTTATAGATTAAAGTTATTATATCAACAGTGAAGAAGACTCTATTGCATATAAATATAAATTTATCTACTATAACCTTGATGATTGATTATACCAAACCTCTCTTTGTAAATACTAATAATAATAAAGAAAGAAAGAAAGAAAGGAAAAGCACAGTAGTTTACCCAAATGATGAACAGTACTGCACAAGGAATTATAAACAACATGATTTTTATCAAGTTGACCGGATATCCGCCAAATAATAAACATAGAACAAAATGATATATCTTTACTAAACGATGGTTATCAAGACATTGCCTAGTTTCTTTTGATATTTATTATTCTAAAGAGAATCTTCGACTGCTGATTATCTTTTTTTTTTTTGGCCCTGATAATATAAAGTCAATGTAAAATAGGTTTGTCTGGGTTGAATTGAAAAAAAAAGGTACAAAGAGATGAATATGTTAGAGTGTTAGCCAGATCATTATTGTATTCAGTATAGAATACATTCCATACACACACACATAGTCAGTTATAATTATGTAATAATGATCTATTTTTCTTTATATATTTGTATATACTAGGTAATCGTAATAAGAGAGGCATAGAATGGAAAAGAAAATAATGTCGAGGAAATGTGAGTCAGCATATGATATAACTAAACACTCTATGTTTTATTAACTAACAATGACCAATGATGTATGTAATGCTTTGGATATTATGAATTCCCATTCATACTTTAGTAGTAAATAATATTTGCTAATGCAAGTCTTTTTTTTTTTTTTCTTTTTGTCTTCTTGGAAACGTGGAACATATTTATATTGAGTAGTTGTAGACTATGAGTTTGGCTTAATGATTTCCTTGTAGAATCATTCAGATATCTATTTTAGGGTTGCAACAGCGATTTTTTCAATGACTTGACATGTTAATTGCGTTATATCAATCAATACACATTTCACACGCTTCTTCTGCTTATTCAAAAGTAATGTTATTAACTCTTGAATAAACTTCTTAATGCTACCTTCCTAAAAAAGAAAATGGATTCTTCTCTAAATAAGCAATAGTATGTGTTGTATTGACATGTTTCTTGTAGTAATCATTTTTCATTAGAGTCCTAAACCATTCGACACTAATTATTATTTGGATATGCAGCACACAAAAAGAAAATGATATAAGCTGCTGACATTGAAAGTTATGATGTTGTTTGTTGGAAAATTCTGTGGCAAATTTGACAAAGTACAAAATAGTTTTTTTTTATTAGTCCGCTATCTCGATAAAAGGAATATGATTGGTTAACTGTCATATTCCATGATATGACAATGACATGTAGAAAATACATTTCCATGAAGAAGATATATATTATATCTAACAAAAGCATAAATCTGTAAATGTACTTTTTTATATCCTGCATATAAACCTTTTGCTTCAAGATAATGTCAAATCTGCAAGACTTGTTGTATATGACGATATAAAAGTGCATGTCACTTTTTTTTTTTTATTTATTTTTTATTTATTTATTTTATTTTTTTCGTTGTTGTTGATTGTTGTTCTTCTACTACTATTTTTTTTTTTTTTAATGAAACATTTATAAATAAAAGACAGACAGTATCAAGTAAAACACTCCTTTTTTCTTTATTTCTTTCTATATAAATATTTAGATATATATACATATACATACATATACACATATATTCTTTAATTTGAAGTATCTTTACTACAATGCCAACTATGATTAGTAAATTTATTGACAAGGCAAAACCTAGGTTTTCCTTTCATAATCATAGAGCAAATAGTCATTCGAGTAATAATGACAGCCATAGCAGTAGCAAATTTCATCTAAGTAATCCTTTACCCAATACACATCTATTTGGATATAAAGACGATACAAAGGATAATTATATTGAGCCACCTCCAAGTAATTAAAATAATAATATAAGAGGATAACTATTAAAAAAAAAAAAGAAAAGAAATTCATCATTTTATATATATATATAATACTAGTTGCTCCAACTGAGACTAAACCGATAAAAGAGAATATAGCTGCACAAACATCAAATATATCTACACCACCAACTACTCCAAAAAAAGGTAAAAATAAAATGTATATATACATATATAAATATATATATGTACGTATGTATGTATGTATGTACGTATGTATGCATGTATCTTACATCATATATTAGAATCTATATCTTCTTCTGAGCAACATACAAATGGTGATGACGATACAATACTAACTGACAAACAACATCCATCTTCGTCATCTAGTTCCGTTGAACAAGTACTAGATGATTCCGATGTCACACGTCCTCATTGTCAAATGAAATTGACCAATTTCAATTTACATCGAACTCTTGGTACAGGTTCATTTGGACGAGTTCATCTTGTTCAGTCCAAAATAAATAAACATTATTATGCATTAAAAGTACTCAAGAAAGCAGAAATTGTAAAACTAAAACAAGTGGAACATACTAATAACGAACATTCAATTCTTATCAGTGTCCAACATCCTTTTATCGTTAATCTTTGGGGTAGTTTTCAAGACTGTGCCAACTTGTATATGGTCATGGATTATATACCCGGTGGTGAATTATTTTCATATTTGAGAAAATCAAAGGTAACCATGTTTCTTATTTATTTGCATTCAATTCCTTATTGACGGGATTACACTTGTATTAGAAATTCTCCAATGATGTAGCGCGATTTTATGCAGGAGAAGTTTTATTAGCTATTGCTTATTTACATAGTAAAAATGTGATTTATCGTGATTTAAAACCAGAGAATTTACTTTTAGATGCGCATGGACATATCAAGATAACAGACTTTGGATTTGCAAAAATAGTACCTGATATTACATGGACATTATGTGGTACACCAGATTATCTTGCACCAGAAATTATTCAAACAAAAGGATATGGCAAAGCAGCAGATTATTGGGCATTGGGTGTCCTTATATTTGAAATGCTTGCAGGGTCTGTATATCCCTACCACCATAATATATATATATATGTGTGTATATATATAGTATGTCTAATCTTTTACATATATACATCTTTAGTTATCCTCCATTTTACGATGATAATCAATTTAAACTATATGAAAAAATCTTAACCACACAACCAAAATACCCTTCGTCCATGGATTCAGCGGCCAAGGACTTGCTAAAGCATTTACTTACACCAGATCTAAGTCAACGTTATGGTAATCTAAAACGAGGTTATCATGATATTTGTGAGCATAAATGGTTTTCTTCACTTGATTTTGAAAAACTGATTCAAAGAAAGATTAAGCCACCGCATATTCCTCATCTAAAAGGTGAAGGAGATACTAGTAACTTTGATAAATATCCTGAAGATATACATCCTTATGGTATTCCTCAAGAAGATCCTTATCGAGATCAATTTCCTGATTTTTAAAGGGGGAAAAAAAACCCCCCTCCCAATAACAATGCATTTAAAGAGTAATGTTAAAAATAAAGAAGGTTATAAATTTGTACATAATATTAGATTTGTGGGTAGTATGATTACATTACAATGGTGATGGGGAACCCTTTTTTTATATTATATATACAGGAAAACTTTTTTTCTGTAGAGTTTTATCTCTGAGTCGGTTGCAAAAAAAAAAAAAAAAAAAAAAAAAAAAAAAAAATAGGCAAATTCACTTTTATTAAATCATTACAAACTTCCAATAAATAAGACTAATAAAAAGCATTATTAAAAGACACTTTTTTCAAGAGATTTCCTTCCTTATCGCTTTAATAGCTGCTTTATATTCCCTTCGTCACTTGTAAAGACTTTCCTTTTTTTTTTCCTTTCACTTTTTGCGTACCAATATTGATTTTTATTACTGAAAAACAAGAAAATCTTTTGATTGCTTTATCTTCTTTTATTATTAGAAAATTAGTTGTTATAAAATATATTTAATTCTACAATGTTTATAATTATTGATTTTTTTTTTGATAAAGATCGAGAAGGCCGTAGATATAAAGAAAGAGGAGAAGAGCAGGAGAACCCTATTTCTTGTCTTTTGTGTTTGCATATCCAAGTATCAATAAAGTGTATGTTTATACTGCTGATAAAGTAGATCAAAATGCAGTAACGAGAAGAGGGAATAAGAAATAGACTCAAATACCATTCAACAAACTAGTCTTGCAAAGTATGATTGAATTTCGAACTGCTTGAATACTAACAAAAAAAAAAAAAGGATAATATCTTGTGCTATAAAGAAATGAGAAATATATACAAGTACAGTAATGAGAATGCTAAGTTATGCTTAAAACACTGATATGTTTGCTGTTGGATATGACGCAGTTATAAAGTATAGTAGCAATAAAATCAGTAGTTTCATAAAAAGGAGTAACTAGTACACGTACCCCATATTGCTATATACATATATACATATATATATATAAAAGATATGAGAGAGGCTTAACATTTTAAAGATAGTTATTGAATATGGCCTATTATTGGGTTTGGTATATCAAAATGAAAGTTATCTAATATATTATTGTGTTAATTTAGCAACTCCCTTCTTGAAGGATTCATCTGCATTTTATTTATTTATTTAAAATCTTTGTTTGAAAAAAAGATAGCTCTTGAGAGAATTTATCTAATATTGACAAACATATTCGGAGATTTCAATTGCAGATATTATTCTCTGGCTCCTTTTATCATAACGGGAATAGATGAGTGTAGTTTATGATTTAAACAAATCATTCAAACCACGTGTAAATGCATCCAATTCCTTATAAATGATATTGAGATTCATTCCAATTAGTTATACAAGTCAATTAGAGAGAAGGGACGATTGTTAGCTCAATCATATATAATTGAATCATGCTATATCTAAATATCATTCATTGATAGTTGATATGTGTAATTATTATTAAAGCTAAATATGGGATATATCCCGAAATTGTATTATAATTCATACCTGTAGTTACTTTTGTGAGAATACAATTGAATGTCTTTTAAATAATTAGCTACTGGAAGATATATATGTATATTTATATAACAAAAAAGTAAATGCAATAATAATTAATTGGTTTTATCTCTTTTTTTTTTAAAAAAAAAATAGTCTGGATCTGTTTCATTTATGGATATTTTATTATTAAAGATATACCAGTCAATTCCAATGCAAAGTATAGTCATATATATGTATATATACTTATATAAAAATCATACGCGTATATTACGACATTATATTTGCTTCTTCTTCCTTTTATTACCATTAGTATTTTATTGATATTTTAAACATCAATTAACGTGTCTGTACTCTAGTTTCAAATTATTGATATACATCTATATGTGTAAGTTGCGCTTTTAAAATATCGTAATTTTTTCAACTGTCATTCACAATGATGAAATAATTCGAGAGCCACTGACAAGAGTAGGAATATCAAACTCTTCCCCATCCCCCTCTTTTTTTTTTCTTCAAATATAAACATATAAACTGGATCTAATTTATTTTTTCTTGACTAGAAAAAAAGAACAATCAATCTTCTATTCTAAAGCTAGAAAGATGGATGGATATAACAAGACTGCATAAACAAATCCATTTATGTAAAGCTGATTGTAAATTACGGGATTATTCTTGTAGTCACCCCACACAATATTTTCATATCAAGTTTTTTTTCTTTTATAGTAAAATAAATGAAGCCGTATTGTTAGTAAGCTTATTTAAAGTTTTTATTCATCATCATCTTCTTCTTCTTCCGTTTGCAAATAAAGTTTAATAAAACTATCTCCACAGGGAAGAGGGGGGTAGAGGGAGGAATTTTTTTTATTTAACTTTGTTGAGTAAAAAAAGTTCTATAGCCACTAATACGCATATATATTTTACTCTGCTATTGATAATGTATTTGATTATTATCAATACTATATCAAAATAGAAGCTTATCATGATTCATACCTGTCTTATTTTTATTTAGAGTTATACAGAGTTTAACTATATGCTTTTTTTTTAAAAAAAAAAAGAAAAAGAAGGTCTATATATCTATAAAATAAAGGTTGATCGCATTTTATAGTCGCTCTTCTTTATCTTCAATAATTTCTTGCTGTTTTACCCTTTACACCTAATGTTTGTAAGTCATGAAATCAGCGTACTCATATTATTACTTCCTCTGACAATACTATTCAGTGAGAAATATGAATTACTAATATCACGTCATTATGTATGTTTAGTATTAGGTTCCTAGTAAATTTATCTCTTTAAGGTTATCAACAGTACTATTAAACTCAAGTATGAGCGTAATACATCCAACGAGAGAATAGTTTTATTTCATAAATCAATTACTGCTTTGCTATATTCGTTCTGAGTTATTTGAAAAGTACAGGCAACTATTAGTTGGTAAAAGCAATGCATTTTAGTGATCAGCAGATAAAAAAGTGAATTCTAAAATGAATTTATTACAAGCAATTGTTTTACTTTTGAATAAACTAATGTTAGACTATGAAGTTGTCATACTAAAAGGCAACCCAAGTCATTACATTGAAGGTGTTTTTTTTTAAGGGGAAGGAGGGTTTGTATAAGTTACTCTACCTCGAGATTTTTACCTTTTTTTTGGAATGATTTAAAGTTAATTACTAATAAATAAATGTTCATAATTCATTTCGTTAGCATATGCTCTTTAGCAATTAAATAGGATTAATTATAATAAGAGTTAAGATATTATTATTATTATCTTTTTTTTTTTTATGTAATATATAGGATTTCTTGTAAATGTGAAACTTTCTTCTGTGATTGTTATACAAATAAAAATTACAATATTCTGTAATTTTAGAATATTTTTATTTTCAGTATTATATATACTCTGAACGCTGACACTGATTTGATGAAGAACTATTGAAAGGCATATCATAATTCTCATCTTAATATATGACACTCTTGGAGAACTTTTTTTTTTTTTTTTTTTGTTAATTCAGAAAGTTTATTGCCTTTATTTTGGAAACAGAGGATCGCCGGGGCTGAATAATTTGACAGTTGAATAATACATATTAAAAAAAAAACAAAAAAAAAAAAAAGCTCAATAGATTTTACAACAACAAGTATAAGATATAGTGTAGAACATAAAATTATCTACAGCTGAGTCTATTCATTTCGAGGCTTATTCTCTTCTATTTAAGAATTTAAAAGATACTAATTCAAAAAGCTTGCTGTTGAATCATGCCAATCAGTTGCTGTTCTGGAAGATAGATTGGATATATTTTTATACTGAAAAAGTTTGGAAAAGACATCAAGAAGATAATAAAATACAAACAATATTATTGTTTTTTTATGTTCAGCAAAATTCCCGATAGAAGGACTAACAGCAATTCATAATAATGTCTAACTTTATTACCACTTAAAAAATCGTCTAATTTTAACTCTAAATTATTGCTTTAAAACATCCTCCTTCATCCCGAAGGAGAAGGTTTTAGTTCTTGTGACTCTCTCTCCCCCCCCAACCAGGGCAAACGTAGCATATTTAAGACACTTCGGTTGTTTAAAATAAAATTAAAGTTTGTTTAAACGCATATTATTGGTTGTATTATGTAATACTCACCCAAAACATAAATATTTGTATATTTATATACATTAAACACCTGTAAAAATGCAAATTTTCATAGAAAAGGAAAAAAAAAAGAGAGTTTATTATATAATAGACTTTATTATTATAAAGTTAAAAACTTTAAATATAACATAGTTTTTTTTTTTTTTTTGAAAAGAAGTTGTTATTTTTGTTGACAGGATTTATCTTTTAAAATTATAAATTACGATAGACGGTGACGTGTCACACATATTTTGGCGGGAAGAAATGAATACCTATTTTGTAAAATAATAATAATAATAATAATAATTTTTTCACGCGTCGTCTAAGTCTAAAGAGTTCAACTAGTTGAGCATATTCAATACATAAAAAAAAAAAAAAAAGAGAAAGAGAGCGAAAGGAAGAGAAACAACGTATGTTATTACAACAGTCTATTATATGTTCTAAATTTATTATTATATTTATTTTAATCATTGTACAGCATATTTCTTTATTATTAAAATCATAATGCGAAATTTACTCATCATCAGTACATTAATCAAATCACTTTTGATACCATCATAGTATGTTTATATTTTATTTTATTTTCATACTTGTTCATAATGATGAACTTTTTATTTTATTTTATTTTATTTTATTTTTGTTTTCTTATCATTAGTCGATCCACAGATTTTGAGGTACATAGAAATTGGTTAGCCATCACACATAGCTTACCTATCCAGAAGTGGTATATTGAAGTAAGCAATTAGTAATAATAATAATAAAGGGACTACTTTATATTGTTTATTCTAAAGTCTTATTAGAACACTTCAGAGTGGACATTAGATTATCCCCCTTTTTTTGCATGGTTTGAGAAATTCTTGAGTATGTTTGCTGCTTTAGTGGATCCTGAAATGCTTAAAGTGGATAATCTTAATTATGAGAGTATTGAGACGGTTATTTTTCAACGCTTGACTGTTATTGTGAGTGAATTGGTATTCTATTGGGCTTTATTAAGGTATATATCCAAATACATATTATAAATATATGTATATTATGTAGTATAAGCCCCTATATATTAAAAATAAATAATATAATAGATATGTGAAATACTTTGGAAACAAATATGTTAACTGTGTCTTAGCTGGTGCCTTATTCCTTCATCCTGGCCTTATTATTGTAGATCATATCCTTTTTCTTCTTTAAATCAAATCAAAAAAAAAAAAAATAGGCCTATTTTAGATACATATTTATATTAATCCTTAACGAATTTCTTACATATTCATTTCCAATATAACGGTCTACTTTATGGTATCTTGGTTTTATCTATAGTTGAAGCTAAAAGAGTAAGTCATATATTTTTTAAAAAAAACAACAACAAAAGAATTGGAGTTTAACTTCCTTGTAGAACAATTTACTTTGTTCTGGTGTATTGTTTGCTATTTTACTTAATTTTAAACATATCTACTTGTATATGTCACCTGCTTATTTTATATATTTGCTTAAATCCTATTGCTTTATTCAACAAAATGGGGCAAGTAAGTTTAAAATAGAAATGAATTGTACTTGCACTTGTACTAATCTTTTTTTTTTTTATTAAAGTCAAATTTTCTATGAAAAGACTAACAATATTAGGTAGTTCTGTTCTGGCAGTTTTTGCCATTTCATTTGGCCCTTTCATTTACTTGGGGCAATTACCCGACCTGTTTCAACGCCTCTTCCCATTTACCCGAGGTCTTTGCCATGCATATTGGGCACCTAATTTTTGGGCGCTTTATGCAGGTCTTGATAGAGTTTTAATTGTGTGTAAGTAATGATGTTGTACAAAATGGTAATATTCTTACATTGATATCCTAGTTGCAAAGAGATTTGGATGGAGCTTAAAGGAAGAAGCAATCTCTTCAATGACAAGAGGATATGTCGGGGATACTCAATTTGCTGTTTTACCTACAATTGAAGCTATTCATACATTAATTATCACCGTCGTTATTCAACTGGTATGTATTTTTTTTTTCTAGAAAAAAAAATAAGATGGCCTTAAAAAAAAAAATTGATTAGCTAAGCTTTTTCCCTCTCTCTTCACTATTTTTAATTTTAAAAAAAAATAATATTTGATTTATTTACAGATCGTATTACAAAAACTATGGAGAAAGCCTACATTTAATAACTTTTTATCTTCACTTATCTTGTGCACATTTTCTTCTTATTTATTTGGATGGCATGTGCATGAAAAAGCCATTATGCTTGTTTTGATCCCTTTTGGGTAAGTTCCAAAATTACATATAAAACAAAAACACCGTTTACCGGCTTTACTCATTTCCGACAAAAAAAAAAACGCCATTATTATTATAGATTGATGGCAGCAAATAGTAAAGTTAATTTGCGTATTTTAATTATTTTAAGTGCCGCTGGAATTGTATCTTTATATCCTTTACTATTTCATCCTGCTGGTAAGTAAGAAAGCAAACACAATATATTGATCTCATTTATTTCCTTCCTTCCTTCCTTCCTTTCTACCCCCCGCTGACCTATTTTCGTCTTCTTTTTCCCTAATTTTTTTTTACATATGTTATGATACATACTAGAAACACCAATTAAGATTATATTGACATTATTATGGTTTTGCGTCGTTATACCTAGTCTTGCAAATAATATAAAAACGTGAGTAATCTACTAAAACGATCCACTTTCTTTTATTTTTTCTAACTATTATTTATTTCATTTTATTTCATTTTATTTCATTTCATTTCATTTTATTTCACTTTATTTTATTTTTTTTACAGACCCCTCAAGGAACTCTTGACCATAGAAAAAAATTATTTGGCGGGAATGTTTCTTCTCCAAGCTTATACCGAGTTTGGACATGTATTGATTTTTGGAGACAAACTTCAGTTCTTACCATTAATGGTCACAAGTCTTTATTGTGCTATAGGAATCATATATGGCTGGGCATATTTTATGTTGAATTATTTAACTAATTAAATAATAGAATTATTAATAAAAGAAGAATACATACATACATACATTTATATATATATATTTTTTTAACAAAAAGGAAATACTAAATTAATATTGTTTTATATGTTAATATGAAAAAGATCATTGGGACATAATGTTTCAGAGAAGTGGGGGGGGGAGAGAGAGAGAGAAAGAAAGTTTAAAAAAAAAGGGAAATAGAATGCAACATTCTTCACCCACAATTATTTTCTAAAATAGGCGAATCCAAACGGAAATTGTAAGACACCTGGGAAAAAGTGGAATGAATCAAAGGACATAAGCCTTCTAATTTGTATATAAAAAGGATCAACCTTTCTTTGATTCTATGATGTTTGTACTTTAGTTTTTTTTTTTATTTTATTTTTATTTTTTATTTTTTATTTTTTATTTTAATTAATCAAGTACAATGGATTCAAAAGAAGTCAAGTTGCCGATGTACATGGTGTACTGTGTAGTCATGGCTTGTCTTGAATCTTTAAGTAACGGTTATGTTATTGGTTCTGCAAACGTTCCTGGTGCTGTTACTCATGGTTGTAAAAATGGTATGGCTCATGTTGCTAGTAAAGCGTTACCTGATTGTTTACCTATGGATACTGCACTTTGGTAAATACATAAAAATAGATATAGATTTGTATTAATATTAACCCGCTGTCTTTTTTTTTTTTTTCTTAGGGGTTTCGCTGTGTCTTCCTATTGTGTAGGTGGTTTAGTTGCTTCTTTAGTGGGTGGTTCAATTCAAGAAAGATTAGGTCGTCGTTTGACAATTGTTGTAAACAATGCAGGTTTTATTATTGGTTCACTTTTATGTGCTGTTTCTGTGCATCAAGCTATGTTTATTATTGGTCGTCTTCTTTGTGGTGTTTCTTGTGGTCTTGGTTCACTTGTCGTTCCTACCTATATTGGTGAAGTTTCTACTATTAAAGGTCGTGGTACGATGGGTTCATGTAATCAATTCTTGGTCGTTATTGGTATTCTTTTATCATCTGTCATCGGTCTTCCATTAGCCAAGGTTCCACTTTGGCGTATCAATTATGCCATCCCTGCCTTCCCTGCCATCTTCCAAGCCGTCTTTATGGGAACTTGTGTTGAATCCCCTCGTTGGTTGGTCTCAAGAAACCGTATTGAAGAAGCTCGTGCTAATCTTCAAAGACTTCGTGGTAACGCTAATATTGAACAAGAATTCTTTGAAATGGTCGAAGGTCAATTGGGTACTGCTACTGCTACTGTCTTGCTCCGTGGTGGTGATGAAGGTATCAAGGTAGATGACGATAAGGATATGTCCATGCCTAATGAAGGTGCTCTTGAAAAGGGTAACGGTGGTGCTGGTAATGCCCTTCGTCCTCCTATGTCCATGTGGGAAGTCGTAAAGGACCCTCTCCTTCGTCGTATTGGTTTCATCGTCTTTGTTCATCACGTTATCCAACAACTCTCCGGTATGAACGCTGTCATGTACTACTCTACTGATATCTTCTTGCTCGCCTTTAACGGTTCTGAAAGTATGGCTCAACTTATGGCTATCATCACCACTATTGTTAACTTTGTTGCTACCATCTTGGCTATTGGTGTCATTGATCGATATGGTCGTCGTGTGTTGTTGTTGATTGCTGAAGCTGGTACCTGTATCTTCTCTGTTTTGTTGGTTATCGGTTACAAGACAAATACACCCGGTCTTTTGATTGCCTCTGTCTTCTTGTATGTCGCTTCCTTCGCTGTCGGTATTGGTCCCATCCCTTGGTTGATTACATCTGAAATGACTCCTACTTATGCTGCCTCCTCTGTAGGTGCTGCCGCTACTTGTATTAATTGGTGTATGAACTTCTTGATTGGTCAACTTTTCCCTGTCATCTTTGCCGCCATTCACGGTTGGTCCTTCTTGATTTTCGCCGTTATCTGTTTCTCTGCTTTCTGCTTTACCTTTATCTTCCTTCATGAAACTAAGGGTAAATCTCTTGAAAGCATCGTTCGTGGATACGAAAAGCATGTTAACTAAACCTCTACTACTACTCTTACTACTACTACTCAATAATCATCATTATTTGTAACTTTTAAACACTTTATAACTAACAAGAAAAAAAAAATTTTTTTTTTACTATTACTTTTTTTTTTTTTTTTTTTTTTTTTTTCCTTGTTTCTTTTTTTCATTATTGTATTTTTATACCTATTTAGTTTAATAATTTTATATATACACATGTGTATATAAATGTGTATTATTATTTTTTTATTTTTTTTTTCCATTGTTGAATATCAATAAATATTACATGTATTTTTATTAATTAAGATAATGTTTATTAAAAATAACGTCCTTCTAGTAAATAAGATTTTTCACTTTTTTGTTGAACTGAAGGACCAAAGATAGGATCAGGTAAAACAAAATTTTTCAATTCTAATAAGCCTCTTCCACCAGGTATGAGTTTTTGTAATTCTTGACGAGTAGGAACAGGCTCATACGATACCTAAAAAAAAAAGGAAACGTAGATACATGTAAAAGGATTATTATACATTAAAATGCGTTCAACATATCTATTTTCTTACAGTATTATTGATCATGGTATATTTAGAGACAAGTTCAGATATGGCTTCTTTTTCTTTTGCTGCCCTAGCAGCGATAGCAGATTTACGTATATGAGGTTTTGATAAACTTGAGTGATGAATTAAATTTAATTCAGCTTTACATTCTCTTGCAAATCCAACAGCCTGACCCATTTTTCTTTTATTTAAAAAATGAAATTAATATTTATTCAAGTCACTTGTTATTAGTATGATGACTTACTGATTATCATTAGCATCCATAGCTAAATACTTCTTTGCTAACGCCTAAAATATTTTTATATATTGTATTGTATCATTATCATGATTTGTTCTTTTTTCTTTCTTTCTTTAAAAGATGATGTATTTACTTTATAAAATAGTGTCCCATCAGCCAAATATTTTTTCAATTCAGTTGAAATATCTTGATTTAGTGTCGATATCAAACTACAAGCCATTTCATATTGACCTGCAACACCTATAAATAATTTAGCAATGAGTGATTTTGATACATTATTTGTAGCTAATGCTCTATTGATGGAGATAGATTGTGCATCTGCTAAAGCCATTCTATAAAATAGTATAGTTTGTGAATATTTATGCATCTTTTTGTTGGTATCGTATTATCAACCATCTTACTTTGAAAGGGCGACAGGAAATTCACGCACTGTTTCTACAGGTCGATTGTCAGGTGATTGTTTCCAAGTAGGTATCACTTCATTCGCAACAAACTGAAAGACACCAGCGGCTGTATTTAACATGTCTGCCATTTTATTTGTAGCGGGTTCTTGCTTGGATAGATCATTATTCACTTGTAAAGAAAGTGCATAAGCGTACGTCATTAAAACAAAGATGAGTTCATATTGAATATCGATACAAGAGATACGAGGTGCATTACTTCCAGTGTGAATGAGATGGTCACTTAAGGTAGAACGCCAAGAGGTTTCTTAAATAGTAATGTCAAATCCGTTATTCATAAACATGCATGCAATTATACTTTTTTTTTTGTTATTATTTACCTATGCTTTTCTTTAATTGAAGTTTTTTAGTTTCAATACAATTCACAATGCTTATCAAGTAGGGTAAATATTCTTCTATTATCTTTTATTGTTATAACAGGAAAAAAAAAAAAAAAAGAGTGAGCATGTCAAATATAAGATGGGAAACATATTGTTTACATTAATAAGAAGTTGGTAATCACGAGTTGATTGATTTTCTTTTTTTAATTCTTTCAATACAGCTCTTAAACGACCTCTTTGAGCCGTTGCATCTGAGATTTCAGAAGAATAGGGTGCAGTTGTTTCAAGATAATCTGCAAATGATAAAGATCCAGTCGTTGGAAGTGAATATGGAAAGCTCATTTCTATTTTTTATTTTATTTAATTTGGCAGGAGATAGAAATAAATAAAATAAAAGTGTCAAGTATATATTTTTTATTATTAAAAGTCAAATATTTTACAGTTTTTTTTTTTCCCCCCAATTCAAGACATTTCATTTCCAGTAACATACCTTATAAGATTAACATAAAAAAAGACTCTATTATTTACTCATTTAAAACTTTGTAATGTTATGCTTATGAAAAAACTTTGCTAAATTATAAAATTGCTCAGTTGTCACATCCTCTGGTCTTGCCTTAAAATCAACCATTATTTCAATTTCTTCCATTAATGGATTGACCTGAGGCAGCTCCTTTGCAAGTCTTTTCGTTATATGTCCCATCGTTTTCCTTCTTTTCGTGAAATAATAGCGTAATATATTTTCAAGTGTTATATAGGTTCCTCCTAATCACAACAACAAAAGAAGTAAATAAAAATTGAACTCACACTATATAAATACATAAATGTATACATCTTCTTACCAGTCATGGTTTGTGTGATTGGTTTTGTGATTAATTGAATAACGCTTGCATCAACTTTAGGTTTTGGAACAAAAACAGTGGAGGGCACTTTGTATACTTCCTTGACATTACATAAACTTTGTGCCATAACAGAGAGACGGCCACGTTTTGAAGTAGAAACATCTGCAATAATGCGCTAGTGGTTTATTAAAACCAATGATGAAATGTATATGAATATATATATATAATGCATGCAACTTACATCGCCTACTTCTTTTTGAAACATCAATGTCATCCATACATCATTTTTTAGTCCAAATAGCCCTTTTTGACTTGCTTGTAAATGTAACCATTGTAATAATAAAGGGGTTGCTATATTAAAAGGTAAATTGCCCATGATATGTAAAGGTTCTTCTGAGGTGAATTGAGGACATGCGTCTAGTATCGTTTGATGTTCAACATCTAATACATTGCCTTGAATCACTTTAAATCTATGTGCAGATGCTTCTGATAGTTGCTATATATAAAGATAAGGAGCTTATCTTTTTTTTTTTTTTTTTTTTTTTTTTAAAAAAAAAAAATTCTTACCTGAAGTGTTGGAATGAATCGATCATCCTTTTCTATAGCAATTATAGTTTTTACACCAGTATCCAAGATGGATCTAGATAGTAGACCTGGTCCAGGCCCTACTTCCATGACTAAAGGTGTTTGTTCAGACACATGAGCAGTTCTAACAATCTTGTCTATACGAATTGATTAAAAAAAAAAAGGGGGCTTGCTGCTATAATAAAAAAGTATTACCTGTTACATTCTTATCAAGAATAAAATTTTGACTTAGTTGAGATTTAGCGGATAAACCATAAAGTTTTATCAATTCACGTATTGATGGTAACCGAGGTAATGTCATGTATAATAACCCTGGAAAGTAATCATCATAAATACACACACATATAATTTAGGAACAACGAGGACAGGCAAGGTCGGAGTAACCTAATAATTTCAATAAAAGGACTTTTTACACTAAAAAAAAAAAAAAAAAAAAAAAAAAAAAAAAAAAAAAAAAAAAAAAAGCGTGTCTTGCTGTTATTCAAGAAAGGATGTAAAATGAACATTCATAGTCTCACACACGTAGCTATTACGAATGCTGTGATAATGTATTATAGAATAGAAAAATGTATCCATTTTTTTTTAATATAAAGAAAATGAACAATTATATATAAAATAAATCATAAATATGTATATATTCGTTATTGAGAGCATTTATTTCTTTGTGGAAACTTGTGATGCAGTTCTTTTTTTTTATATAACAATAATATAAATTCATAAAATCGTTGTTCTCTTAAGAACGTTCACCACGAAGACGACGAGCCAATTGAATATCTTTAGGTTGAATGGTGACACGCTTAGCATGAATAGCGGCCAAGTTGGTATCTATTTTATAGATAAAAGAAAGACAAAAAAAAATTTTTTTTTTGAACGTTAGAAATTGAACATAATGGTCTATACATATATAAAACAAGATAATAATAAAAAAAAATTACCTTCAAAGAGAGAAACCAAATAAGCTTCAGAGGCTTCTTGAAGAGCACCAATGGCAGAAGATTGGAAACGCAAATCAGTCTTGAAATCTTGAGCAATTTCACGAACAAGACGTTGGAAAGGAAGCTTACGAATCAAGAGTTCAGTAGACTTTTGATAACGACGGATTTCACGAAGAGCGACAGTACCGGGTCTGTATCTGTGAGGCTTCTTAACACCACCAGTAGAGGGGGCAGACTTACGAGCGGCCTTGGTAGCTAATTGCTTACGAGGGGCCTTACCACCAGTTGATTTACGAGCTGTTTGCTTAGTACGAGCCATATTTTATTAAAATTTATGTATAAGAAAAAAAAAAAGAAAGGGATTTAAAATAAAAAAGTTTTTAATTATTATTATAAAAAAAAAACAATAAAAATTATTATATTAGCAGTAAACGTCACCTTTTTTTTTAAAAAAAAAAGAAAAAAAAACGCGTAGTTTAAGAATGCCAATTGGCTGGTTAGGAAGAAACTTACCCATTGGAATTCTACTCGTATTTACGAATTAGGCAAAATAAAAAAAGGCTAATTGAGTTGGAAAATTTGCCATTATTTGGTATTATTATGGATTTCATAAATATAAAAAAGTATACAAATTAATGTAGTATACATGTAGAAAAAAAAAACGCGTCTTTTTTTTTCTTTTTTCCTTTTTTTTTTACGCGTTATGGGTCGACATCATCAATAATAATAATAATTTTTTTTTTCTCATTAGTTTATTTTAATTCCTTTTATAGTTTTTTTTTTTTTTTTTTTCTTTTCTGGTTTTTGGTTTTTGTTTTCTTTTTCTTGTTTTCTTTTTCTTTTTAATTACTTAAAGTTACAAAAAAGAAGAAAAAAAGTAAGTCTGATAAATACAAAGATATTAATTATTATTATACATATACTTAATGTTTTGTTAGTGACTGGTCGTGGTAAAGGTGGTAAAGGTCTCGGAAAGGGAGGTGCTAAACGTCATAGAAAGATTCTTCGTGATAACATTCAAGGTATCACTAAGCCTGCTATTCGTCGTCTTGCTCGTCGTGGTGGTGTCAAGCGTATCTCTGGTCTCATTTATGAAGAAACCCGTAGTGTTTTGAAGGTCTTCCTTGAAAACGTCATTCGTGATGCTGTTACTTATACTGAACACGCCAAGAGAAAGACTGTTACTTCCTTGGATGTTGTTTACGCTCTTAAGAGACAAGGTCGTACTCTTTATGGTTTTGGTGGATAAATTTTTACCAGCTAAGCTATTCAATTTTAAAGAACAAATGTTATTTACAGCAAATAAAGGTCAACCAAAATACTAATAAATAAACAAACAAACCAATCATGTTCCTTTTTTTTTATTTTATTTTATTTTAGTTAATAAAATAATAATAAAAAAAAATTGTATGTATGTATGCATGTATTCATTCATTCATTCATTCATAAGGTCTTCAATTTCTTTTGGTAAGGCGGGTTGTGCATGTATCATATGATCTTCCATAAGTGATTCATTATATTTTTCTACATGAAGACGTACAGACGAAATAGGAGGGAATGCGTTTAATTTACTAAGTACAAGTCTTTGTCTTTGATGCTGGATATAACCACGAATATAGCCCTAAAACAACAAAGATAGAGAATAAGGATTATTGGGGGGAGAGGGGAAAAGTTACTTTTTTTTTTCTTTACCTGGCTAATAAGTGAGACTAAAATACATTCTAAATCCTCCATTCCAAAGGGAACTCGTTTCTTCTTTTTCATGGATAACTTGAAAGCATTATAACAATCTTTGAAGCTGATAACATGTGCATGCACACCAAGTCGCTTCCTTGCTGCATGTAAATTTTTTATCAAGCAACGCCAAACCAACACGACTCCTCTTTCTCGTAATAAAAGGAATGTTAAATGATGATAAAAATAATGAAAGTACTTTTTCAAGTGTTGCAAAAAGCCATAAATATAGCCAGAACGGATCATTTTGATTAAATTTGAATAAGGTCCAACTAATTGGTATTTTTCTAATAACTGTACAGATGGAAAGTAACCAAGAATAATACGTGTTGGTATTAAATAATGTAAGATGAGTCGTTTATTATGCCATTGTTGAGCATGACATCTTTCAAATGCAAATAAGAGATACTCTTGTGCCTTAATTAAAACAAAGAGGAATCAGTAAAGAATGATGAAATATCATAGATTGTCTATATACCTGTTTTAATCTTCCATGATATAATGCATATCTGCCAATATAATATTTATAAGTTACTTGTTGACTTATAGGAAACATATCTAACTCTACTCCTCCAGTGCGTATGTTCGATATAAATGTTTGACACATTCTAACTGAATTAAGCTTGAAATAGACTTTAAAAGCTAAATTTGTAACATGAAAAATGCCTTGACGTTTTGAACTTTCAAACGGTGATCTTTAACGATATCTTTTTTTTTTAGTAAAATATATAATAATTGAATCAAACATATCTTTACCTATCAGCTAACATAATATTAAACATTTTTGAAAGCAATCTTGCTGCTGTATTCGCTTTACGGGCCTTGCCCTTAAGTCCTAATTGATCCACCTAATAAAAAAAAAAAAAAAAAAAGTGTGAATAAATAAATTTTATATAAAAAACACTTGCACATTAAGGGACTTACTCGAAATGCTAATGTTACAAGTAATGTTGATAATGTCTTAACAACAGGTAATTGATAAAAGGTATCTGGTCCATTAAATACAGGAATGAATGAACTACTCGGGTGATTAATATTGCTTATATTATTATTATTATTATTATTTAAATGCTATACCTGTAAAAGGTTGATAATTTATCAAATACAAACTTAATATCTGTATTATCGATATGTCGTATGAGTTCTATATAATGAATGATTGCTTCTGCTAAGGAATAGGACGTATCTTCTAGAATGTTATTTACTATTTCTTCTACTTGTTGTTCTGATGTCTATAACAAAAGGATAATGCACATTAAAACTTGGAACACATATCATTTATAATCTATTTTTTTTTTTCATTATTATTATTACTTGATGAAGATCTTGGAGAAGGGTAATGACAACTGGACTAAATTGATTAACTGTTATTAATTGAGTAAATAGTTGCTCATCTTGATGAATATATGCTAATTGCACTTTATTAACGAATTCTCTGATGTTTGACATTTAACTATATTACTGGGAAAAAAATAAAATAAAAATAAATAAATAAATAAAATTGATAAATGCTTTTTTTTTTTTTTTTTTTTTTTTTTTTATCGCCAGACAATTTCTAGCCATGGTAAACACGATAAAGATTGAAATTCATTATTAAGACTAAAGTTAGAACTATTTCTACAGTAGATAAATGACACTTCTTTAAATATATTTTAATAATGCTATTTATTTATTTATTCATTCATTTATTCATTAAAAATATAAGACTAGTAATAACGATCATATCTTGATGACATTTGATCTGAATACATTTTACCAGATGAACTATAAATACAGAGTATCATTTAAGCATTGATCAAGCTATTTCCCTTTTTTTTTTTTTTTTTTTCTTCTTCTTCTTTTTACCTATAACTTGGTTGAATAATAGATTGAATTTGCTTTGCAGCAAAGCTTTGTGGAGGTTTTGGTTCTCGTAAAATAATACGTAAAAATTTACCTAATTAAAAAAATATAAGGGACTATATTCATCTACCATATAAATATATGTATATACCATCTGCCAATTGGTTATCCATCATGGCAATACAATCTAATGCTGCACTTTTTGTACTAAATTCCACTTCTGCTTCTCCAAAAGAACGACCTGCACGATCTCTTAAAACTTCACAATGCAAAATATTACCAAATTGTTCAAAGGAAATCTATTGCAAAAGAGTTAATTTTCTTTTTTTAAAAAAAAAAAAAAAAAAAAAAAGTTTAAATGTTAATCAAGCAACTACTCTACTCTAACATCTTCTGAATTAGCACCAGGATCTAAGCCAGTGATTAAAACGGTAGCTGGGCCTGATTCACCTTTGATTGACAAACCAGGTCTAGCTACAGCTGTGTTTGATCGACCGCGAATTGTAAATTCACCCATTCTCTCTGAAGGTCTTGGTTCATAAGCCATAGCATCTATACGCATACCACGATTTTCTCTCGGTGGCGATAGTGGCTCTCGAACTCTTGATATTGTTGTTCCCAAACGACTGCTGTTTGTAGTAATAACGCTTTTAATTCGTGGCTGCTCTTCCTTTGAAGAAGGACCAAGTCTATTTCGAATAATGCTTGTTGATTTGGGAAGTGTCTTTGTAATGATAATTTGAGATGGATCCGCTTTTACAGGTTTTGTTGGCGTTTGATGAAGTCTATTTTTTGCTGTAAAAAGGGGACCTCTTGGAGTACTCATAGTTTTAGAGGTGGACTTTATTTTATAAAATGATTAGTTTCTTAATAATAATAATTAAAGAGGGTATTAAACAAATATGACTTACTAAACGTGAGTTGATGCTACTACTAGTAGTTTGACGTTGTTTTGGTTTAGTTATTTTTGCTTTGTTTGTTTGAATAGGAGGTCGAGGATCTTGTTTTTTATTTTTTTGTTGCTTAGGGTTGTCCTTCTTGCCATTTTGTTTTCTCTTTTTAATGAGATCATCCAGAGATGAATCAAGGTCCATTGGGCTATAACTCATTTTACTTGAAAAATATTGTTATATTAAAAAAAGAAAGAAAAAAAAAAAAAAAAAAAAAAAGAGAAAAAGTAAATAAATATGAAATTTAACTAGGAATAATAATAATAATAATAAAAACGAACGAAAAAAAACGAAAAAAAAAATTAAATTAAAGCCAATCAAATTTTTATTCATGGAGCTATCCAGTGTTTTACTATTGGACTTGCACCTAAGGTTGGATGTAATACTACATATTTGAAAAAATATTCTAAATCTCTTCTTCTTTGTTCAACAAAGGTAGGTGTAAATTTGCCAACCACTTTTTTGGGCGGTAGTTTTGGTATACTTCTCTTTAAAGTTGGATATTCTTTCACAAGTGCTTCTCTTAATTCAACAAAGTCAGAATATCGTTTACGTACAGTAATTGGGGCACCCTATATAAACTATATTCATAAATAAATACTGTACTGTACTGTATTATCTTACGTAATAGTACTCACATACCTTATCACTTAGAATAGTACAACTATAACAAATGTAACTACCATAACCTATACCTATACGTAGAGGATGATCTACAATAGCATCTGTCGCAAATATAAAATGGTTTGTATCATCTTTACTATTATCATTTTTAAAAAAATTAATGTGTGCCGCTCCTTCACGATTGACAGGTGTAGACTGTGATGCTCGAAGTCCTTTAAATAATGGAAATAGACTGTTTTTAGTAGTCGATTTTGTAGCCTTTTTCATTGCTATTAACTCGTTGCCATCTTCGTCTATCTTTTTTTTTTTTTTTTTTTTTTTTTTGCTATGCAATAAGCTATATGTCATATTTGTTTATTCATTGAAAGAAATAATAGCTTACCGTAATAGATCTTCGACCGAAAATCGGTCTATTCTCAAATGACATAGAATCAATAGTTGTTTTTGATATAGAAGAAGATGGGCTACAACTAAGAGTAGGTTGCGCTATACCAGTTTCCTCATAATTGTTTATCGTTAATTCCCGGTCTGGTTCAGGCAATTCTTCTGAAGCATCCAAGAATTGTTCATCAGAATCTTCATCATCGTCTTCATTATTGTGTACCTCTTTAATATCCAAAACATGAGTGTTATCTGTTGGTTTAAATGTTTGAGTTGTTGACAATCTTAATGGTGAGGATTGACTTGTCACTGGTTTTACATTAACACTAACTTTTTTTTTTTTTTTTTTTTTTTTTAATAAAAATAAGAAATGTTAACAATTATGTTTGTTTGTTTGATTGAATAATTCAGATTTCTTACGATTCAAGGCTTCTTGTAATTTTTTTCGAACATCCTCCATTAATAGATCTGCTTTTTTATTCCATTCAGAATTATTCTCGACAATAGTACCAATTTCATCCAGATTATCTTGTAGCTGAACCAACTTTTTGATGCCTTCCCGTAAATCTTTACATATATAATGAATAGAAGAAGTTGCTTTGTTTTCTTTGACGATTTTATCTAAATTCACCCATTCATTTTGACATTGTTCTAATAATTCGTTTATTTTTTGTTGATAATCAATCATAATATTAGTTTAAGAAGAAAGGAAGGTAAGACAATTGCTATTGTTGCTTTCAGTCTCCGTAGTTTTATTTCGGTAACTATGCTTACCCTTTTTTTTTTTTTTTGTCAGTTCTTGTGGTGTTGTTTCGCCCAACAAATGGCTATAAAATTAAAGTTTGCTTTTCCTGCATAATACTTTCAGCGAATTATTGTTCCATTTAAAAAAAAAAAAGAATATTTGTTAATCATTGAGTTGACACCTCCTATTTAACGATTTCTAACAACGCTAGAGATAAAAAAAGATTAATGCAAAAAGTTTCAATTCGATATTCCAAAATATTTAATAGATGAAAATATCCCAAGATATTAAGTTTTTTTGATTACTTTTTTTTTTCTTTAGTAATGAAATCTGAGTAACCAACAACAGAACATAATAATCTATCAAACATTAATGATGATGATAGCCGTAGTGGTTCTATTCAAATGGTTATTACATAAATGCATTCGATAATAATATGATTTTGTTCAATATCAAGAACATGCATCAGTAAGATTTAAAAAAAAAAAAAAAACGTTTGGGCCGATACTAATTGCTCTTATTGTGTATCTTGATCTGGGAATATATTTGTGCAATTCGTGATGAGGATTCTCAATATTATTTAAAGAAAGCTACATACATTTATGGATGCTTATATCTCGAATAATGTGTCTAAACATGAGAGCTAAAATTACGTAAATATATTAATAATATCTATTGTTGTAATTAGAGTCAGTACAATAAATGCTATACAACAATAATCCAACGTACATGATTATTATTACTTTGATTCAAATACTCTAACAATCACTATTATTAATATAGAGTAAACAATGAACATCATAATGTAAAGTACAATAGGCTAGTTTTATTTAAATAATATCTTTGTTATGTAATAGAAGATGATTTATCTATATTAACTTAGTTATAAAGTCAATTACAAATATAACAGTCTAAACTATCATACTAATTCTGCTTGGAGAAACTACCAACTTGAAATACACTCATTAACACTAACACCCCTCCTCCTCCTCCCGAAACAACAAATTACATCCTACCTTTTAGCTTCCCATATCCTTCTTTGATGACGCTCGAGATAGTTATTTGGTAATCATTCAATTTAATATTCCAAATATCCTACTTAACTTTTGACACAGCAGCACGCCATTTACTATCTTCAAACACTTGAAATTATTGAGCGTCCTTTTTTCCTTTCTCTTAAATAAGCTTTCCTCTCATCAACTGCATACAGTTTTTTTTTTTAAATATACTTCTTTAGTTTATTCATTGACCAGTTATTTATATGATTCTTCACGGACTTGATTACCTTTTCCACTATAAACATTTAAATTTATTGTCGTTACAACAGCCTAGTCAACAACTCCTTGATTAACTCCATTCTCCTGCCTTTCATTAATTATCTAATAATTCCAATTGTAGATTACTCTCCCTACCACCACCATATATAGAATAATAACACTTTTACTTTTTTTCTCCAAAAAAAAAAAAAAAAAAAAAAAAAAAAATAAAAGCAATAAAAAAAGCTTATTGACATTATAGGATAAATAAATCTTTCAATGACATAAACTTACTTCATAGTAAACGCATTGAATAGTTTAAATAAATCACCATAATATGCTGAAAAGATGCATTTAGTTCAAAATGGAATACATTTTTTCCTCAAGGTAAAAAATGGATTTTAATGATTGTAAATGCAAGGTCATGTTTTGTCATTCTAATTGTAATTCTGGAATCTGGAAATGAATTATTTCTCTACTCAATGTCAAAATGAAGTTAAATTACTCTTTTGAATAATTCTTGTAAAATAAATTCAGATGTAATAAATAGATATAGTTTCAGATTGTGATTAAACTCAGATATATGTCTAGCCAAGGTATTCATTAGCCAAGGTACAGTGCCTCATTCAGCTATGCTATCAATAGACATGCTATAGCCTAATTCATGTATCAGTCCCTGATCTAATTTAATCCCTATCCTAAATCATGACTGGTCCAATAGTATACACTGGTTGAAAATAAATATTGTTCAATCAATAAAAAATACAAACAACAACAGCAACAGGAATTGAATTCGTTATAAATGAACAAGGAAAAACAAATTTATTTTCTATATTATGTATAGGTGTACCAATAAATTAACCTTTAATCATGTTCAGGTGAATCAAATGGTCCCAAATCCGCCATGCCTTTCTTATGGTCATTTTCAGTCAACTTGATGATATTAGGATTGATGATTTGTGATAATAATTTGGGTTTTTCTCCAGAATTATATCTATTGATTTTATGAGAATCTTGGATCTTCTTTACTGCATCCAAGCTTTCCTCTAATTTGCACTAAAAATATTTATACATATTAGTATGTACTTTTTGTTTTTAAATTTTTATATGATGCATATACATACCTTGAAAGTCCAATAAAAAGTTATTATATCTTGTTGATACGTTTCTTTATCTTCGAACTTTGGCTCAATGTTGAGCACACCCTCTCTCCAGAAATGGAATACCTCATCTTGGTAAGAGAGAGACCAAAGCTTGATTTTATTTGTCTATCAAATAGTGAAATAATTAGATTATGCTATAGCCATAACGGAATGTACATTACCTGCTGCATGAACGAAATATATTTTTAATTGTTCAAAGATATCAACTGATGCATACTTGTATTAATCAGCAATAGTCTTTAGCATTGCAAGACAGCCATAATTTGCCTTGTGGTGATCAAAGTATATCTTTCTGTTGTCTTGATTCAAATATTCATTAGAGACTTCTACCACGCAAATTTCGATGTCATGGGCTTCTTGAAGACGTACTACACCATCAGCCTTATAAATATATCGGTGATCTACAAATTTCCCTTTTCGTTTTAGCTGCTTGGTCATGGAAAGAAGCTCTTCTTCACCGTCAAAGAATCCTAGTTTTGCCCAATTATATTTGCTATGATCAATTGAATTGCAAACAGCCTTTAAGTTTGGTTCAACAAAGTAATTATTGAAAATGGCTTCATTGTGATTCAAGGGCACGTTAATCTTATACAACTTGAATCTGAATACAAGGATACATTTAAATCAGATATGCATACATATTGAAATAAAACAAGGGATTACTTACGATGCTGCAAAGATTTCTTCTAAAAAAAGAACCTGTGAAGCAATGGTGGTATCTTCAGTGTCGGGTGTATTTGTGATGTTCTTCTTAAACTCTTGTAAACAGTCCAGGCGAATGGTCTTAACTGTCTTAAATACTGGTTACTTCATCAAGAAGCCAAGGCGAAACTACGAAGAATGATTATCCAGCGGAGAAGGGAAACTTGGCGACTTTTCTGTGACAAAATGAAGAAAGGCGAATACACAAAGGCCATAGCTAAATTTTCACGAATACGAAAAAATCGTTTAATTAAACCTGTTTTCTCTGCCATAGATGGACCGAAAAAAGCCGCTGAATTAATGGCAGACCATCTAAAGCGGATATTATCAGGCACCTTTTTACTCAATGATCCACGACATGAATGTATATCGATTTCTCCCTATATATCTACTCATCAAACATCTCAAACGTCTTTTATTTCAGCTGACTGTCCGTTTAACTTAGATGAAATTAAATCAGTAATCTTAGATCTTCCACAAAATAAAGCACCTGGTGTTGATCATATTACTAGCGAAATGATTCAACTACTTGTAAATATTATTTCTCCAATTCTCCTTTATCTTTTCCAGTTATGCTGGCAATGGTCATACACACCCCAACTATGGCGCATTAGCCAGATAGTCCCAATCCATAAAAAAGGTGATACTTCTGACCCGGGCAATTATCGACCAATTAGTTTGACCTCAGTATTCCGTAAAATTTTAGAAAAATGCATGCAATATGAACTAATTAACACCGGTCCCACGCTGGATGTAGCTCAGGGAGGCTTCCGTGAAGCTAGAGGGTCGCTTGACCAAGTACTTTGTCTAACCGAATTATGCCAATTATATCATCGTAAACACTTACATTACAATCCAGTACTAGCCTTTCTCGATATAAAATCAGCTTATGATACGGTTGATCGAAGTATCATTTGGGACGAGCTTTCTTCAAGTGTCTCAACACCTCTTTTAGCCCTCTTATACAACATGTTTGAAGAAGTTTCTGTCGAGGTGATTCTTAGCAACCATACATCCTCCCGTTTCCATCCAAAAACAGGCGTTCTCCAAGGCTCTGTCTTATCACCTTACTTATATTCAGTATATATTAATAGTCTTCCAAATTTCTTACGACCAGCACCTCTCCTTGAAACAGACTTTAATGATCCTTCCCTTGTGGCGCCAAAGTTAAATTGCCTATTATATGCAGATGATGTGGTTCTCATTTCTGATGCTGATTCCATGCAGTCCCTCCTTTCCAAATGCGAAGAACACAGCCTTTCTTTAGGTTACAGATGGAACCCTAAAAAGTGCGTTATTGTGAATTCCGATCCTACACCTCAAAAATACTACCTCTACAATAATGAATTACCCAATGAAGATTTCTTCCCGTACCTCGGTGTTCCTATTAAATCTGGTGGTGTCGTACATAAATCAGCACTTTTACAACAAAACATCAATAAAGCACTTGGAACGATGAGACGGCTTACTACCCTTGGTGTAAATAAAAATGGCTTTGACCACCTTCTTTCAGCTCGTTTTTACGCCCAAATAGTTCGACTACAATTAGAATATGGATTAGCAACCACAACCTTCAACCTACGAGAAATTCGCTCTCTAGAAAACTGCCAAAATCAATGTATCCGTCAAATCTTCGGTGGACGACCTTTCACCTCAACCAAAGTAATGTTACACCTAACAAATTTACCTAACATAAAAGATCGTATTTCAATACTCCAAGCACAATTTCTTTTTAGATCCTCCTTTCTACCAAATGATGCATTATTGACGAAATTGCTACCATACATACAGTCTCAAACTAAATCAAAATGGTCCCAACTATCCAAATCTCCTCTATGGATATCAGTTTGCAATGAAAATCTTGACACTACGTCTCCTAAGGATTTTAGTAGAAAACGAAGACAATTCCTACTTGACAGCTACCACTCAAAACTACAAGAAAAATATTCGAAACTTTTATCCCATTGCCGTAATAATCTAATTGTCGACCCTATTCGTACGATACCAATGACAAGAAGAGAACGGTTTCGTTGCGTGCGATGGCGACTTGGTTGGTTACCTCTTGGTAAACCCCAAGCCTGCCCCTTCCATCCAAACGAACTCTTCACACGCTCACATAGTTTTTCTTGTTTACATATGCACAACCGCCTTCAGATGCCCAAATCTATTGAAGATCCACTCTCTTATCTCTTGAATCTATTACCATCAACATTCCATACGAAGAAAGTGAAAAAATCAATTGATGACTGGCTCATACGCTGGCCTTCTATATGTGCAATTCTATTTGAGATGGACTATCTAGCTCACTCCCAAATCCCTGAACCCTCTGACCATCTTGGTGAACCCTTTGTCAATCATCTTCTTTCAATACAAAAACGAATTTCTGATAATTAATTATCATCACTTATACATATACTTTAACATTTTCCCTTTTATCCCAAAAGGGTTTTTCTTTCCTTTTTTTTCCATAGCGATCTGACCAGGGCAAAACAGCATATATAAATGCTATGTGCTCATTGGTCATTTTTTAATTTTTAAATAAAATTCTTCTTCTTAATCGTAAACAGTCCTGTTAAATGAATAAATAAAAATGCATACGTAAACAAAAAACAAAACTAAGGAAATTTTTTTGTATAAATTTATGTGATTGGCTATGTTTTTATTAATTTTTATACAGTCTCAAACTGTTTTTGGTCAAAAAATTAGAAAATCATATGCTGTATAATGCTTGTAAATTATTATTTAAACTATTCAATGCGTTTACTATGAATTGAGTTTATGTCATTGAAAGATTTATTTATCCTATAATGTCAATAAGCTTTTTTTATTGCTTTTATTGTTTTTTTTTTTTTTTTTTTATTATTATTATTATTATTTCTTCAAAATAATATGTTTATGTTTTATGATATTCAAATCTCATTGAGGATTCAAAGTACGTCTATTGAACGCTGAACCCCTAACGACTAATAATTTACCATTTTAAAGATTTCTTTCCTCATTTAAGCACTTCTCGAAAAAAGACTTTGAGTGCTCAATCCACCCCTTACAATCTTTTTTTTGTTACTTTTCTAGCCGATTCCCATATACGATCTGTGAGACGATCATCTGCCGTCAATGGTGTTCTTCTAACACCAGCTTTTACTTTTGACCAAAATTCCTCAATTGGATTCAAGAAAGGAGAATATGGTGGTAAATATATGCATTTATGTCCTCGTTCTTCGATTAATGCTTTGATCACTTTTGGCTTATGAATAGGTGCATTATCCATAACAATATACTGACCCTTTATATTATTTTTATCTAGTGTATTCATTACGTTGGTTATGTAGGTCAAGAAGTGCTCAGTTCTTGTTCCAACTTTACCATTTATTTTTACTTCCTTACCATCTGCCTTTCTTTTTTTTTTTTTTAGAAGAAGCTGATTCTGGTTTTTTAACTCCAATATTTATGATACCTGCTTGAGAAATTGCACCTAAAATTGTAAATGTAACCCCCTTTCCAGTTGGTACAGTGCTCTTTGCAGGTGTGCCTTTTAATGAACGGCCGTGGTTGCTCTGAGTATGTAAATTGAAACCTGCTTCATCAATGAAAACACAATTATTGGAAAAATCCATGGCTGTATCACTCTTATACTGCTCAACAATCGCTTTTCACAATGCTATTACTCTGTCAGAATTTCTCGCTGCTGGTATCTTTTCCAGTTTCTTTAAAGTAATGTTATGTTTATGTACTAAATGTTTGTGAATGGCAGAAATAGAGATTTTCAAACCCTCAAATTTCTCACAAAGTTTTAACTTTAACTCATCTAATACAGCAGTAGTATTCTTTTTGACATAGTCAACAAGAAATTTAGAATGTTCCTCAGTTAACTTTGAACAAGGTCTTCCACGAGGTTTGTTATAAGATCCTGGAAGTCGTTTCTGCGGATCATTATTATACGTTTTTACATAATTTTGAGCAGTACGAATATTAATCCCAGTGACTAAAGCTGCATCTTTGGTAGTAAAGCCTTCTTCAATGATTAAATCAAAGAGTTTTTTCGATTTGTTCAACAGTATATTTCCTGTAAGAACCTCGAGTTTTAGCTACAGGAGTCTTGTGCTTTTTCTTTAATGGCATTGACTCTGCAAAAAGAAATGCATCGCCAAATGAATCTTCATCTTTGATTTCTTCTGGTGCATCAACATCCATAAATTCATGTATACAAGATAATGAATTGCCAATTTGTTTTATTTTCTCAAATTAAAATGGTCAATTTCAATTTCCTCTTCCTCATCTACTTCCATATAATCATCAGATGAAGTACCCATATCATTATCTGAAATAATTTCTCTATTAGTAATAAATTCGCTAAAGTTTTGCATGTTTGTTAGAATATTTGAATTAAACAAAAGAAAAAAGCAAATGAATCGCTTACAATCTTTTGGTTATTATATTTTTTTTTTTTTTTTTAGTCTCTTGGCGCAAAATTTATCACTAAGCAACGCCAAAATTATTTTTACCTTGGCGCAAATATTTTTTTAAGGTCAACGCAAAAATTTTCTAATCCCAGCGCAAATTCATATTCAAAAAACAGTACAACAATATTATTCTTTTCCCCTTAAAGATCTGCGACTGTTACTAAAAAATACATATTTATAAAATATTTATTAAATGACGTGTCAATATCATAGTAAATACTTCAACTAGGATAACATTACCAACTATTTATATGCTACCATTTATCATCGTCATGTATGAGACATCATTCCATGACATAATCACTACTAATGCTCGAATATTATAGCTAGCAATGACTATTATTAAAACTGAATGTAGAATGAATATATTATGCTATAAAGTACAATATACTAGTTTTAGTGGAATAACCTCTTTATTATTTAATAAATGAAGGTTTATTTCTATTAACTTAATTATAAAGACGACTACAATCGTAGCAACTTTGATTCTACAATGACTTTTGTTTCAAATTCTTCACTCTTTAGACCTGCTTCACTACAGCCAAGTTCTAAATCACTATTAGTAGAAATGATCAAATCACTTCTTCTTCCTCATGAACTCTTCAATGGTTCTGGTTCTATTTCTTCCGGCTACTGATGAAATAGAACACAGTTCACCTCTGTTAAAATATCAGAAAGATGAGTAATTTAAATGAATGGGTGTTAACAAAACGTTATTGTTAACTACCTCTTTGCTTGTAGACTGTAAGAGTTGATCATTGGGTCAACAATGCTCCAAATATTGAGCAAAATGTCATCCTCTAACACTTTTGATCTGCTAAACAAACCGTTTCTATATGCATTTAATACGAATTTAAAGCATGATATAGAAACATGTAAGTCTTTTTTCTTCATAGTATGAATAATTCTTTAAATGGCCAATTTCTTCATACGTTTTCTAAACGTAAAATATGTTAGAAATTCTGGCAACAATCAAATAATGAAAATAAATTAATTATCTTACTAAATTAGCAATCATTTCAAGATGTGCTTTTAAGTCAGCCGGTAGTAATGGCAAGGCCTCTTTATGTTCGTCCACTATTTGGGTCCAATAGTTTCCAAACTTATTTTTAAATGATATTTTTTCTTTTGTCTTTCCTTTTCCCTTTCACTCTTAATTTTAGTTTCTTAATCTATTAGATTGATACTGGCTCTCGGGTAAAATAATACATGTATACATTTTATACCATATGCTCATGTTGTTGTAAGTGTATTTCATTGCAGTAAATTTGAATTCCCGCTTTTTTTTTTCTTTTTTTTTTTACTGTTCCGCAAATTAATTCACATTCCCATTTTCTTTTTTGTTCTTTAAACAAATAAAAAAAAAATGCCTTTGGATTATAGTAAATGGGATAAACTTGAATTATCTGATGATTCAGATATTGAAGTACATCCTAATGTCGACAAGCGTTCAATGATCAAATGGAAACGGGAAGCCATTCATCGTGAGCGTGCTGAGCGTAAAGCCAAGATGGACTATTTAAGCAGATTTATATCTCAACAACAGAATGTATTGAAAAAAGTTCAAGAATTGATTCAAATGTTGAAAGGGAATGATGAGTCAACTGGACTTCAGATGATTATGCAAGAGCTTAATAAGGAACAAACAGAAGCTGTTCCCGGTATGAAAGTACCTGCTTCAGACGGCAAAGAGGTAGATATTTCACAAGTTTTTGCACTCATGAAAGCGCAGATTGAAGCAGGATTAGCTCAACAGTCGCCTGCTGAAGTGAAAAAGAGTTTATTAGACCGATTTGAGCAAACCGAAGCTACTGTACAAAAGAAAATTGATGAATCCACTCAAGAATTAGAAAAATTAGAAAAGGAAGCCAACAAAAAACTGACAAGTGACAATATGTTTACAAAGGAAAGATCGAGTAAGACGGTATGATCTTCATCTTGAGAAAAAAAAAAAGGTTCTCTTCCTTTCCTCTAATATCTTTCTTTTTCATACCTTAGATTATCAACAAGCCAAAGCCTTTACCAACTAAAACTGATAAGAAAAAAGAAAAGGTGATTGAGACATTAAATCCAAATGCTACTATGAAAGATTTGGGTGTAGAAGGTTCTAGTAAACAGCAAGAAGTTCAAGTAGATGAAGAAGAGAATGAAGATGAAGATATTGAAATGACACCTAATGCATCAAGATTTTCAAAATTGAAAGGTTTTGAAGATAGTTATAAATTCCTCAATAATTATCCTGAAATTATTAATGAAAAGACTTCTGATTCTATTCTTGGACAAGCATTTACAGCACAATTAAAGGGAGATGAATCTTATGCGAAGAATTGTGTCATTCAGTCTTTGATGATTCAGTATTGTGGACAGTTAGGCAAAAATGGTGTTAATCTCTTCTTTTCAAAGTAAGTGTAAATAGATGAAAAAAAAAAATGATATACTGATTTTTTTTTTTTGTTTTGTTTTATAGAATGAGTGGACCTAATTCACAAGGTCGTAAAATGTTCTTTGATGATGTTGAAAAAACTTATGATCGTATTCGTACTCGATGTGCAGAAATTGCAGCTGAAGAAGTTAGTGTTGAACAAGGTGGTGTGGAAACGATTCAGCTTCAACCCATGGGAGATGGGACCCAGTTAACAATTCGTGTACCCACTCCTGAAGATGAAGAACCCTATCAAGTCTTTTGTTCTTTACCTACAGACTTCCAAGAAGCACTCAAGACTGGAAAACTTGAAGAGATTAACAAAGTTTTAGAGAAAACACCTGTTACTGAAGCTGAAAACTTTGTCAAGATTTGTTCAGACTATGGCTTTTTAGATGTTGAAGGAGAAGTGATTGATCAAACTGGTAAACAATAATGATCTTAAACAGCTACTCATAACATAAATATGTAAAATAAATAAATTAAATACTTGATTTTACTTTTGTAAACTGAGCTTTTGAAGAAAAGTTATATATACACAAGTTTTTTTTTTTATTTTTTGTTCTTCTTCTTCTTGCAAGCGATAAGAGACACGACATCATTTATTTTGATGCTGTTATTCTCATAGAAACATGCAGTCTTTACTTTACTTTTATCTCTTACATGTACATAGTTTGATAAATTATAATTAGTTAAAATAATATGGATAATTTATATACATTTATTTATTAGAGTAAATAAAGTTATAAGAGATCAATATTTAATGTCTCTGTATAAGGTTTAAAATAAAAAATTATAAATTTAAAGTAGTTGTATACATATTTTCATGCACACAATTCGAAGGAAAAAAAAAAGAAAAGACACGAAATTTAAAGCTGACATCATTTATTTTTTTTTATCCAATTAAATGAATGAAGGTAATAATACCTATTGCCCGCCAGCCCCCCACATTTCAACTCTCCCTCGTACACTGTTTCTAGCATTTTTTTTTCTTTTTGACAGTTAACATTGAATATCTACATACATTTATTAGGAAAAAAAAATAAGTTAGAGTATTTCCCTTTTTTTTTTTTTTTTTCTTCTTATTCTTTTCCACATTAGATACACATTATGCAAAGACTATGGCATCGATTAAGTAGAGTGCCTAGTCGATCAACATGTATATACTGTCATACTATTTCGAACAATAGCCTTCTTTTACCCCTAAAGTTCATAAAGAGGACACCAGCATTACCAACTCAACGATTGCTTAGTTGGTTAACATGGGGATCATCGTCAACAGAAAATAATGAAAACCAAACGGGCTGTAAAGTGAATCGCAATAACAGGGCCATCATCATGGCCGATTTTTATCGATCGCTTTCAACGCAAGACATTGACCAAATCTGGCCTCTGTACACGTATTTGTATGATAACGACATGTTGGTCTATCTTACAAGGAAAAACTTTCATGATATTTTTGTCTTCACAATCCGATCCCAAGCAAGTCAAAAGAATCTGCAACGGTTGTTGGCGATTGTGGAAGATATGAGACGACGTCGGTTTGTATTACGATTATCAGAGTATACGGCTATTATCAATTGGACAGGTGGTAAGACAGTTCCTGAGAAACGTACGCATCATCTTACAGAAGCTCTGCGATGGTTTGATGAAATGCAACAAGATTTTTATGTGGATGAGCAAACAGGGGAAAAGATGGCTAAGGAACCCTTGAAACCTTCAGTACCGATCTTTAACATCCTTATACATATTGCAACTCAATTAAAGGATCTCACGACAGCACAAAAGTTGTATCATGAAATGCGTTCAATAGGATTAAAGCCGGATCGATATACGTATTCGACACTGTTACATGCGATGGGTCGTTTAGGGGACATGGAAGGTATGAATCATCTGTTAACGGAGATTAAAAAACATCGATTAAGACGAGTGATCAAGTCTACTGCAGTTTGGAATGTCATCATGTCTGGTTATGCACGAAATGGAGTGAAGGATGAAGCGTATAGTATATTTCATCAAATGGTGGAAGCTAATTATAAAAAGAAGAAGAAGGGGAGGAGGAAAGTGCCTGTGCCTAGAGCAGACAGTGAAAGTTTTCGTATTTATATCGATTCATTAGTGAGCGAGGAGAGACAAAGTGAAGCGATTCGTACATATGATAAAATGAAAGTCTTAAAGTTAAAGCCTACTATGGCCATTTATAATATTTTATTTCGTTCATTTATGAACCCTCTCTCAGCTGATCAAAGTGTATTAAAACGAATATATCAAGAGATGAAAACGAATCAAGTAAAGCCGAATTCAGAAACTATGTATACCCTCGTATCTGCTTTTCTTGATTTAGGTGATACCAAATCAGGTTTAGAGGCATTTGTCGAACTAAGTCAATTAGATAATAATACAGAGAAAAGTTTAAATGTGAAAACTACTGCTGTAGCAAGCTTGGCAAAAGATCGTTTATGGATCAAGAAGAAAACAGAGCCGTCAAAAATTGAACCAACTGCAGATTTACTGGATAGACTTAATCATCTTTTAGCTAGTAATAATAGTAGTAAATTATAGAAAACTCTGTAAATATATAATGTGTATTAGTATAAATTGACGATAGAATAATAAGAAAGAGGGACTGGTGCCATGAATTAAAATTTATCTTGTATTTTTTTTTTCATAAACATTTTATTAATCAATTTGTATGACTGTCTTGAAGGGGAAGGCAAAAAAAAAAAAAAAAAAAAAAAAGGAAGTCAAAGTAGTAGTAGTAGTGGTAGTAGGTAATACTAGTATTGTGTAGTGATTATTAACATTGGTAAGGATGTGTTGGTAGTAGTATTGTAGTTGTAGGTATAAATGGCGGTGTTGGTATAAGTGGGGTGTTTATAGTAAATATAGCCCTATGTGTATCCTCTATTTCTGATGAAAGTAAGACGGGTGTTTGGAGAGTGAGTAGAATTCGCAGCATATTTAGCCCAAGCCTAGGCCGTGGAATCGAATCACTTCAAGGGTTCCCCACCAAATCAAATGAACCCTTAATTTTTTTAATTATTCTTGTTTTTTGTACTACACCAATAACTCCTTTTTTTTTTACAGCAGCAGCATGAATAATGAAGGATGATATATTATAGCTTCATTCTACCAAGCAATGGTAGTGGGTACATGAGCAACAGTAGTAATTACAAATCTTCTAATATCACTTGATACTATTATAGTCAGATTATATATCAGAAATAAATTCTTACACATGAATGTATACTATGTACCTTGGTATCATTATGGTCCTCAAGCCATAGAAAGATAATAGAGTGTCTAAAAAGCCTTATTTTAAGCATATACAGATACAAATCTATAGTTGCTGTGTTTGATCATAATGTACATCTCAGGAAATAATCATAAGTAAACGTAATATACAGACTCTTTTAATTGATTAACAGCAAGCTTCTCTAGCTAATAATATACATTATGTTATGGCTTACTTAAGAATAAAGACTTAAAAAGATCTACCAAGAATATTGTAATAACAATCAATATCTCTCTATAAACTAGTGTAAAGAAGAATGTTCTCGATTACTTCAAAAAAAGAAGATATTGACAAATATAACAATTCTGTCACTGTAACAGTAATAAATGCAAGGATATTTCTTTTCCAGAAATATTCAACATTTTTTTTTTTTTTACTTTATTTTACTGAGACGTTATCTAGATATTGTATAAACAAAATGAATAATCTCAACTCTTCCTTCATCCAATTTTACATCTAAAGTTAATATTTTGCCTCATCAAAAAAAAAAAAAAAAAAAAAAAAAAAAAAAAAAGTTGAAATGAATTACCTAATAAATCCCTTGTTCCGTGTAGTATATTATCAAATACTTGTCAATGCCTACAAACTTGAAGGCTAAAAGAGGTTAAGGATAATATTTCAAAAGCTGTAAATTATACAATGAAGACAGCAGTAATATGAACATTATTGCTATGGATTATTATTTTTTTTTTAAGGAAGAAATAGGCATCATCAGAACAAATTATTCTAATTGATATCTTTGTTACAAAAAAGAGATATTTATACTGTTCCTCGTTTATATTTGGTATATTGTAACATATTATATATCATTCTTCTTATCTCCCTTTTAGTCTTTATAAGATTCCTTTACAGCCATTATAATCATTGGAATAGACCCAATTCATTTTAATGTACGTTAAATAAAATAAATAATAATAATTATATTACAGTAAATCTAAAGTGTCTTGATTATGATATGATCTGTATCTTTTTGTGAACCTAATTTGAATGTATGGCTTCCCACTTTATAGAAACCTTGACGTGTATAAAAGTTAATAGCTGAAGGATTATGCCCCCAAACACCTAACTACACCACATTATTTGTTTGCCTAATTGACGGGCTTTTTCAAGACTTGATGTCATGAGCTGATTAAACAAGCGAATCAAAGAATTCATTATCTATAACATATCTTTGTATTTAAAAAGGGAGGAAAGATTACTGTGAATGCAAGTCAAAGATACTTAAACTGGTTTTCATAGCATACATCAAAGAAGCTAAAATTGTTAATCTTTACAATATCATTTTGGCAAACGATGTATGTGAGTAAAAGAATGATTTTAAGCACAACATAAGGGAGACTAAATGAGATGCATATTAATTGCCTAAATAGGAAAAAAGAAAGTTGATGAGAATATAAACAAAAAAGTGAAAACAAAAGACATTTATTTTACTTACTTTTCTTTTCTTTAGCATAAACACATTTCATATAGTCATAAAGAAGATATAAAATTGACAACATTTTACTATTTTACATATTGTTACTTTTTATAAGAAAGGAAGAAAATTAAATAATGTAACTGTATTAAATGTGGGGTAACACATATTCTTATCGATTTCATATGATTGTGACTGTAATTTACAACAACGACCTCCTTATTCTTATAAAAAAGTAGATATTCAAAGTTATTATTTTTTCCCTTTTTTTTCGTCTTCTTTATCTTCTTTATTATTACTATTTCTTCTGTTGGTAAGTCATTAAATAATACTATTTTATTCTTCTTCTTCTTCCCTGCCCTAGGAGGAAATTCTTTTTCTCATGGTTATCACTTATGTAACGCCTTCTGAATCAACAAGACACCCTATCTTGCCCTCCTTGAATTAGGAGGACACTGTAGGGTATCTTGTTGTTTCAGAGGGCGTTACATATTGTGCTAGCCATGGGTTTTTTCTAACCTCCTAGTAAAAATAAAAAATACAAGAACAAAGAAGGTGCAAAGAATCCTAGCCTCCACGCGGCCACCTTTGGACTGCAGTAAATATTATTATTTTTACTGTTGACGAATTGGGGATTCACTTTTTATATGAAATAAAAATGAAAATAAAATACAATAAATATATCTTTTCTTACGCGTCTTTTAATAATCTTGTGCCTTCTTTAACTATTGTTTGTATAATAAAATATCTTTTTGCTCCAAATTGACTTTAAGAAGTATAAAAACAAGTAGAGAAGTTATAAAATAATTGACTTAAATAATATAGGAGATATAAGATGTAATGTAGTAGTGATTATGTAAACTATTGACTAATATTTTATCAGAGAAACTATCATGATTATTATTCTTCCTTTACAATCAAATTATCAAAAATTAACTAAGATGAGTACAATCTATTAAGGATATTGAAAAAGAGACTTTTAATTTCCGCTTTTCCTAAAACTTATACTACATATTTCTTTTTTTTTTTTTTTTGAAATCCCATTCATATAAAGCTTTTAAATGATTTAATAATGAGTGGTTTCTTTGGTTCTAGTGAAACTACTTCAAAATGGGAGTAGAGATTTAAGCAAGCTATTTCTAATGTAGAAACAACTTTTGATTCTTTTCTCGAGCAACCTATTTCTCAAAGACAGTCATCAGCAAACGAAGGTAAATGATGTTCTAATGTCCCTTATTAATCTCCTTTTTCTTTCTTTCTTTCTTTATTATAATAACGAACATTACTTTGCACTAGTTTTCTACTGGAAAAAAAAGTATGAGTATACTAACATCATTAGGATTATAAAAAAAAAAGAATCTACATAGTAAATTGTTAAACGACTTTAATACCATTACTGAAATATAGCGTACATAAAAGAAAGAAGGGAAGAGAACGCTACAACAAGAGTACTTTAAAGGATATGTATTTGATATACCTAATAATAATGTAACTTTGACGTGCCAAAGAATTTAAGTGAGTTTCACATTTCTGCTATACTCTCTAAGAAAAAGTAAGCAAACATAATAAGTAGCCCATTACATGTACATATATACACATATACTTTTCGGTGATGACTATATGAACCTTTCTTTTTTTATCTTCTTTTCTGACAAGCATATGAAGTATGTTTGATCCAAACAATATGACAGAAATCAATTTAAATACAACGTGCTATACTTAAGCTGATAAGATGACTAATCATTGTATGAAATGGACGCATGAAGTTAGCCAACTAGCAAATATCGTTCTGGGTAATCCTTTTGAGAGAATAGACCCTTTCAACAGCGGTAATGTACACCTTGTTTCTTTCTTTTAAAAAAATAAAAAATAATCCGCATTTATACATTTTGTCATGAGCTGACTTATAATGTCATGTACCTTGATTAAACAAGCGGATCAAGGAATTCTATCTAGATTCCCCTGAATCTCTCTTGATCCACTTTATCAAATAATATTAAAACCTCTAACACTTTATTAACTGTAACATATCTTATTCGGTCGTAACTAACATTTTTTCTTATTCACAACTTATCTGAGACCTCTTTAACAATTCTTATAAATAGCTAAATAAAAATTTTTGACCTTAGAACTATTGTTCGCTCTCATTGACTTCTTTTGTCTTTTATTTTTTTTTTTTAATATTTTACAAGTAATACTACAGTTTTATCTATAATTTTAACAGTTAGGTGTTCATATAAGAATATCTATGGTCAGAGAGGCATTAGAAAAGTATTAGTTACGACAGAATAATCCTGTTTAGTATTGTCAGTAGAGTGTACCAACTTCCTTAAGTTTATAAAACATGAGGAAGTATAATACATAAATAAGTTGAAGCCGCATTCCTTTATACTATTTGTCCAGGGACTTTAAGTATAACATTTAATAAAGGAAGAGTAAATGACTCTGACTACGCCTATTTATTTCGATGGTCGTTGAATTCTTATTAAAAAAAAATTGTTTGATGATATAAGATTATAGCATATGCATGCATAAAAGGGAAATGTTTTTTATTTTTTTCTGAATACCACAATTCGGCAACTATACCTAAAATCTTGGGTTTATAAAGAAAAAAATTGAGGTAAATAAAACAACTTGATCGGAAAGGGCAGCGCCTTTCTGTTGGCCAAGCGGCGATCATGGAGAGATGAACTTTGTTAGCTGTAGATGGGAGTGATTTAATAATAAAATCGGGGTTAGTTCTGAGCTTTAATGATAACATGCTACCTTCCAGGATCCAATGTTCAACACCAGGCCTTCAAATGGAGGTCGATAAAAAGATGTTGTTAAATCGCGGGGTAATTTCCTACCATGCAAGAGAGGAAAGCCCGCAGCATTGAGGGCATTCCTGGGAGTAACACGGCTGTAGTAGAAGCAAACAAGAACAGAATCTAATCCACCTCTACACTATAAAAGGA